TAAAGGTATTGTAAAACCAGATATTTTTAAAAATCTAAATGCCAGAAACGGTGCGAGCCCGTGGGCTTAGGCCTGACTTGAAGTAATGTGACAACCATTCCAGGTCTGTGTCCAACAGAGCAGAGGGTTTTTTTTAGTGAGTAGTCTGATAAATTCACGAGTCTCACACTACAGGCTGGCTACCTGTGTGCGTAAAAGCTTTTCCCTCCTTACCTTAAAAAAAATAAAGAAAAACACTGCGAAACTGACAGATATTGTATTTGCGAAGGTTTATATTTATTGCTATACAGTAATAGTTTTACCAGCGTATCTGGAAAAATGCACACTAAATATGCAAAACAACTCCTTTTCTGAATATAAGAAGGTTTCCACTTACTACAAGATCCCCGTACGTAGAACGGGCACACAGCTAGTAGGAAATAAATAGATTGAATTGAATTAAGCCCCCAACAAATCCTACCCTTACTAGCAACGTAGTGTAGAACGAAGCTACAAACAATCATTCGTCTTTTAAATGCTCCTCAGATCCCGTCATAAGACAACCCGATTGATATGGAAGTTGGAACAAAACATGAAATAGATTTTGATGTATTTATAAGGGTGTATTTAAAAGTTTTATTAAATTTGAATCCTCTAAAAAGTGTTCATCATTGTTAATATAATAACTATTTTTTTATTAAGTTAAATAAATTATCTAATAAATGTGGTAATTCATCCGAACAACGCTCGGTCGCCGGGTACTATATTATCTATATATATATTATTATACAGGGTACCAAAAAAGTCTGGAAACGGTTTAATATCTTTTTAACTAAATTCGTTAGAAAATTCAAACCTTTCACATCAACTTATATGTATGAAAACTACTTTTTGCAATCATTGCCATTATTTGACCTTCACCGGGGGTCGGCCCACGAGGAGTAGGTACATAATCTTAAAGTAAGCATAGGTTGATATGTACATCATTTTAAAGGTCTGGTTAAGTGGAGTTCATTACCGGAAACCGCGTCAAAAAAGGTTTATCCGTTACAAAATGGCGGCAGTTCAAAGTTCTTGCGGAATATACCTGCAGAGGCCTTAGTATTGGTAAATACCAGTCAACATTAGCAGGGAAATCTGAAACCCGGTTAAATTTGTTTTGATGATTGAATACTATTAGTCTATGAGCTAGTTGACTTTAAAATACAGTCTAAGCTCTCAAGCTAATGTTTAATACGAGTATTTGCCCATACTAAGGTCTGTGCAGGTATAGTTCACAAGAACTTTGGACAGCTGCCATTTTGTAACGGATGAACCTTTTTGGACACGGTTTCCGGCAATGAACTCCACTTGACTAACCCTTTAAAATGGTGTGCATATCAACCTATTCTTACATTAAAGATTATGTACCTACTCCTCATGGGTCGTCCCCTGGTAGAGGTAAAAAAATTGATTCGCGGACCGAGGAGCGCACAATACTTGCTCTAATGGGAGGTCATAAATAAAATCCGTAGGGGTAGGACCAAGGAGCGCAGAGGTACCTTGCGCGCCTCGGTCCTACCCATGCAAGGAACTAATCTTCTAATTATACGGATTAAAAGAGACAATGGCTGGGTAAACCCTGCAAGTAAATCCCATTAGTCGCGCCTCATTGAATACACTACTTTAAAATGAAAATGTAAGGAGTAATTTTGAAACTATAAATATGTTAACAGAGACAATGCAAGATACTGTATTATGCATTCGAAGTAGTTATCTTAAAAACAGTTGGTTTTTGTCCTACGTTAATAAGCACATTTTCAATGCAGACAAACTGCATATTTTTCTAAGTGCAGTTTAATACAAATTAAATATTTATCAAAATAATAGTACGGAACTAAATTTGCATTATTCTATTATAATTAAAATCATATTAGATTATTCGAGACAGCTAAACTTTCTCTCTGCGTTTCAGAACTATCAAATGTTTACATTATTTTGTTTTGCAGGTATAGTTTATACAATTTTGAAATAGATTTGAAGGCATGACGACTATTAATTGCTTATAGCATGCATGATTCTAGATTCTACGTGATTTGTTTTGATCATCGACCCGTGATTCAACCTTCGTCTCCGTCCTGTGGAAACACCTGACATTTTCTCTCGTGATAGAGGTTAGGATATTAAATGACTTAATATTACCGGACGTTCGTACTATTTAGGAGCAACGCATACCATTCTTGAAACTAATTCTTAAGAACAACATTACATTATGTTGTGCTTTTCCGGATTAGGTGGGTGAGCCTACTGCTGAAAGTGATACAGTATTTGCCAACTGACAATGTGCCTGGGCTAAAAAAGTAAAAAAGTTTACTTCAAGAAGTAGTGTTGTTTACATAGGCTTTGTTTAAATTCAAAAATACTTTTTGAATAAGAATTACTTAGGTTTTTCTGAAAGTACAGTATATAGTTAGAAATATCTGAAAATAAATCGATTATTTTGTTTCGTTTACTTTTTTAACTGTTGTATTGCCGACAAAAAAGTGTATCTAATGAAAACATTTACTCCTCAAGATCCTATAATTATTCCCAACTGTTTAGACAAGCACAAATTTGTTTAATCAGAATTTACTTGGCTATTTCCAAAGTAATGGTTTAAGCATCGTAGATTTTATAGCCTCCGGATTACCAATAAATATAAACATAATTACTCTATTTTAATGCTAAATTCAAATAACAATAACTGGCACATACTCTAAAAGGAATTCTAAAAAAGAGTAAACTACAAAAATTAAAACTTGTCTTTATTCAAGTAGTGTTACCTGTTACAAAGTAAATTATCTATTATAAAAAAATAAACTTTTGAGTCTAGAATCAAATAAGAGATAATAAGTAATGAGTAACTTACAATCAGTGACGTGGGTTTTTTTTTTTTTAATTTCTTGCTGTACATCTAATAAGGTGACCAATTTTACAAATTCGTTACCGGTGCAGATTCCTAAAGAAAGTTCTATTCTCGGTTAATGTTAACGGTGCAATTGGTACATTTTCTAACTAATGTCACAGATTCGTGGGTAATAATACTTCATTGGGGCAAATAAATCCTAATCAGAGTGCACCATTAGTCAGCATCCACAATGTAATATACTGTGATTTTTCTTTAAATTAACAATAACTGTTTCATCTAAATAAGGCTAACTGATTATTTCAGTGCAAAATAATCAAACTTATTTATCCAGCGAGAACAAAGTTATTTTTGAAAAACATCAAACCGTAGGCCTACAGTTTAAACATTTTTTAGGCCTATACAAACATTAGTAACAATGAATTATGTTGTTTGACGTTGTGACATGTTGCTATTTAGACATTGTGATGACAATGTTATATTATACATCATTTGTGTCATTTAACAAACGTTTTACATGGTGACAACATAAACGCCAAATATAGATGATAATTCGAAAACTAAAAGAAAGTACTGTAATACAAATTGAGTTTAAATTAGGAAGATGATTTGGAATTGCAATAACTTTAAAATTATATGGAATTTGATTCATGCTACCATATAAAGTGTTGGCTAAGTAACTTTAAAAAATTGTTCCTTTGTAAAATCTTGTTTTTGTAATATTATGTTATCACTGTTGGCATTAAAAAGTAAAGCTTACCTCCTAAGAAATGTGAAATGAATTGAGAATGGCCCGTATTGTATTTTTGGAAAAAATATATGGGATTCGAAATAGTACAAAATTGTCTACATAAAAAGTCATCATTTTGACACAAATACAATATACATAGTAACATTCTGACTCCGATCCTTGCTCTCGAGCCTGAGAAACTGCAAAGTATATCAACTATATACTGTATTGGTACGTATGTTTTGTATTACCTTTTCTTTTTATCAATCAATGGAAAAATAAAGTACTTCAATGGATATGCGCATTTTACATATCATAAAGAAGAGATGGTTTCTGTCTGTTGAATTTACCTATAAAACTAAGATGAAAAATTCAGGTTGTTTTTATCAATGGTGGGTACACGTTGAAAGCATTTAATTGTATTCATGGATTTAAATTAGCTAAGGATTTTACAAACCATTCCTGCATAAAAATTAGTATATTTCATAGCGAGGGGTCCCATTGCAAATTTGCAAAGATTATGTTTGTTTAAAGCAGTTATTAAAAGTGAATAAACTTACTAATTTACAATAATTTCCATTCATTGATTTTAGATCCACACCATGAAGACTAAAGTCACCTACCTTAATCAAGTCGCAATTATTAAAAAGTAGCCTATTTAAAATCCATTTTTATAAAATAAAAAAATCTAAATGTGGTTTAACATTCAACTGAAGGATCAGCTTTTATATTGCAATTTAAATTCGAAAGTGAAAGTGTACGGCCTGGTAATTTGTTGATACATTAGTTTGGTAATAAGTTGCACTAGAAAAATATACCTGAATCAATGGTGTAGTCAGTGAGGCGCGACTAATGGGATTTACTCGCAAGCATTGTCTTGTTCAACCCTCGTAAGTAGGGGATTAGTTCCTTGCACGGGTAGGACCAAGGAGCGCAAGCACCTCTGCGCTCCTTGGTCCTACCCCGACGAATTCTTCGGCCGAGGGGTTGACAGTTTTACGACTTGCGCTCCTCTGTCCGTTTCCCAAAAAAATTACAATGCTTGGAAAAATGTAGTTTTCATACATGTAAGTTGATGTGAAAGGTTTGAATTTTCTAACGGATTTAGTTAAAAAAGATATTAAACCGTTTCCAGACGTTTTTGTCACCCTGTATATACTTTAAATAATTTAAAAAAGGGTACTATGGTTTATTTTTTCTAAATGTTAATTACAGTAGCCCTACATGTGAAAATTTTCCAATATTTTATACATATATTGGAAAATATATATTTATACATATATTTTCCGATAATATATATATATATATATATATATATATATATATATATATATATATATCTGTTTTGTTATAATAAAGGTATATTATGTTAATCAAACTAGATTTTAATACATGTTTTCTTTGCAGCAAGGTTTTAAAGTCACAAGGCGAAAACGGCCAGAATGCAGCGGTGAGTTAATACGTTAAACTTACATATTACTTTGATCATACTAGTCAAATCTAAGCATTATTCCATGGTCTCCATTGCCAAAGATTATACTGACATTTCAAAAACTTATAGGTGGAATATATTAAAACAAGTTTACACAAGAAAGTATATTTTAATACTTTTGTAATATACTGTATAATTGGGATATAACATATTCTCTAGGAAAGTAAATCAAATGAGTTATGTTCGGTTGTTAAAAACGGTTGTGATTTTGACTTAAGTTTAAGTAAGATTCGACTATTATTTTTTAATAAAATCAAGTAAGGATATGATTAATTGATTTTAAACCACAGGTAAAAGCACCTTAGATAACTTACAGTTCTTAATAGGTGATAATACTGTACCTACAAAAATAATAATGAGTTGGTTATGAGACACAAACGGAGTGAAGAGTGTCTTGTGCAGTAATATTTTCATAGACTATCTGTGCCATTACCGATCAATCACTCCTGATGAGGACGTGTCACAATTAAGTCTGAGGAAATGAATAAAGATAGCCCAAGTTTAAAAGCACATAATTGAGGGATTTATTTGAAGGGAACGCCCCATAGTTTCCGTTGAAAAGGTCGACTCCATCGACAGTAGATATAGTCCAGGCAAACTAAACAAACTTACATAGGGACCGTTAAAAAAATTGCAAGAAAACGTTTTATGGTTTTATTTTGTAGAGTTGGGTTTGCAGAATGACATACTAAAAGTTGCCAAAAATCGGTGCACGAGAAAACCACTAAAATCACAATTTAAAATGGCGGCTTTTTTCAACATTGGACAAATTAAAAAAACATATTTCACATGCATTTGCTATGCACATTTTTCGAGATATTGACTTGGGACCACCGCCTGTATTTATTGAGTGGTTAGTACTTCATTTTGATAGGGAACATGTTTTTGGCCGCCATCTTGGATCCGCCATATTGGACATAGATATTTTTTTTTCAATGTAATGATAGTGTTGTGACACATCATTACCAACTACATTTTTACACTGATTTCAATGCCGAAATCCGTTTTTAAATATCTTTATTCATTTAGAAGATATATACAAAAGAAAACTCTGCACCATACATTTCTTATGGACGTTTCGTAGTTTGATATTTTTTTTTTAATTATTTTTCTTATATCTCCAGTTCTTATTAACGCTTGTAGTTCGTTCTAGGCTTAAAATATTCAGTAATGTAAGGGCTTTCATTTGAGCTCTTGATCATTAAAATCAGACGAGTTATAGACCTGCTACGAACCTCAGAACAATATTAAATTTAACTTTTTAGAAATATATTTTTATTAAAATATTTATAACTCGGGTTGTTAATACGTCACCAAGTTCTTTCTTGTCTCAAATTACTCAGTGAATGTTTAGCTTTGATTTTATTAATCACTAAACAAAATCTGACAATTTTAAAATGAGCCATGGACCATAATTTAACATTAAAATGTATTTATTTTGAAATTTGTCTTTAGTTAAGGACATATATCCCAAACCCTAATAACTCCTGGAATGTAATCCATAGCTAAAATAAAAGTCAATATTTTGGCGAATTATTTAAGACTATAAAGAGTTTTGGGAGTTATTTAGAATTAGGAATATACGTCTTTAACTAAAGACAAATTTCAATATAAATACATTCTAATGTTAAATTAGGGTCCATGGCTCATTTTAAAATTGTCAGATTTTGTTTAATGATCAATAAAATTAAAGCCAAACATTTACTGAGTAATTTGAGACCAGAAAGAACTTGGTGACGTATTAATAACCCGAGTTATAAATCTTTTAATAAAAATATATTTCTAAAAAGTTAAATTTAATATTGTTCTGAGGTTCGTAGCAGGTCTTTAACTCGTCTGATTTTAATGATCAAGAGCTCAAATGAAAGCCCTTACATTACTGAATATTTTAAGCCTAGAACGAACTACAAGCGTTAATAAGAACTGGAGATATAAGAAAAATAATTAAAAAAAATATCAAACTACGAAACGTCCATAAGAAATGTATGGTGCAGAGTTTTCTTTTGTATATATCTTCTAAATGAATAAAGATATTTAAAAACGGATTTCGGCATTGAAATCAGTGTAAAAATGTAGTTGGTAATGATGTGTCACAACACTATCATTACATTGAAAAAAAATTATCTATGTCCAATATGGCGGATCCAAGATGGCGGCCAAAAACATGTTCCCTATCAAAATGAAGTACTAACCACTCAATAAATACAGGCGGTGGTCCCAAGTCAATATCTCGAAAAATGTACATAACAAATACATGTGAAATATGTTTTTTTAATTTGTCCAATGTTGAAAAAAGCCGCCATTTTAAATTGTGATTTTAGTGGTTTTCTCGTGCACCGATTTTTGGCAACTTTTAGTATGTCATTCTGCAAACCCAACTCTACAAAATAAAACCATAAAACGTTTTCTTGCAATTTTTTTAAGGTCATATCCTATATTTACCCGACTAATAAGGTTTAAAGGTGTGACCTATCATCTTATAATTTAAACTCGGGACGGGTTAACTTGTAGGCATTCACTGAACATAAAATAGCGGGCCCATGCTTGATCAATTAATAGTAGTTTAAGTGGAAATTCTCATATTATTAGTGATAAGCCAACTTTCATTTAAGAAGATGTTCTTAAATGTGAGGGAAAAAGTAGAAATACACGATGAATATAAAGTAGTATGATAAAAGTAGATTAATATGGAATTTGAAATAACATCAACCAGTGACAAAGATAATGTTATAACTAGTGTACCTGTTGCTTGAATTCAAGCAATTGCGATGTATTACTGGCGTTTTTTTTTATGAATAACCGTTATAATTTGTGATGACCTTAAAAGAATCGACTCAAAGATTATGGAAATACTTATGATGTTCATAACAGTTCGATTTAATCAACAATTCTTGAAAATATCTTATAATTTTTCAAAATCTGATCTTGTTTTTTGTGTTTTTAAATATATTTCCCATTTATAGCCTCATTAGGTTGTCCATAATCAATTATAAATTTAAAAAAAAAACATTATTTCTTTTTTTTCTACTTGGTGGTATTCTATGACTTTCCTATTTTTCCATGTTATGCAAATCAGATCTTTCTATGATTGCTCAAGAAATACAGAACAGTGTTGATTCAGTTTACTTTTTAGTATTTCAAATTGTCCAGGGGTTCTCGCTTTTTTCTATTGTAATATTTATGTCAACCCAAATTCAAATAGTAAATATTTCACTTCAACCAAGTTAATAAATGTTTGTAGCACACGTTTCCTTAAATTGCAACTAAAATATTAACAGCAATTAAATTATCCAGCTGATCATAATTTAAACAAATATGTTCTTCATAAGGATAACATGGGAACTTTAATAGCCACTGGGGCAAAGCCCACGGGACTTTTTCAAAAATAGAAGGCCAGTTTGCAAATCTACACACCTAGACGAGCATTTTAGTATATAATATGTGGGTTGAAATCGTAAAACAAAAAAGCCTTGTTTGCAAAGTTTCATGTAGCGTAGGCCTATATATAAAATAGGTTGTGTATTCCAGTTGTATTACATAATCCTACTTTGATCAGTTAGATTACAGGTTTTCTCTGATTACATATTTCTAAGTAATGAAACAACATTTTGATTGGATTTTGTTTATTTGTTTTTTTTTCAGACGGAGATTCTTTTAATTTTCAAAATATAGATCAAAAGTACTTCAAAAAAATGTTTTATTCAACTGATTTTCCCCAAAGATTTCTTATTCGCTGTTACCATAAAGACAACCAATACCTTACTGTAATCCTTTCTGCAAGAGGAATAAGAATTGAGACTTTAACAGGCATAAACTGTTTGCAAAACCAATTTTACGATTTTAACTTTGTTATCAAAAATGATAAGAGATTGGTAATCTCCCAGGAAGATATAAAATTTTGTACTCGTGAAAACGATAAATGCTGGTTATACGAGTGCAACGAAGAAGAGGACAAAAATCAGAAAGTTATGATGTTCTTTTTCTTTGCACCCGAAGGACCATTGGGTTCTTTAAAGGACGCAAATGGAGAAACACAAACCATGGCTGGACCAGGATGGAGGGTTGTAGAGGTGAGTCGATCAAATACTTATAGACTCAAGGCCAAACTCTAGTTTAGCCAAAATAAAAAAATTATGAGTACAATTAAGGAGAGAAACACACCAGAGGAGACGTTACTGGTTACATTACGCCTACTTATCACAGAGTAGAAGATTGTAATGTTTAAACTTTTGTAAAACCTGCTATATTTATTCGTAAAAATAACTCAACTCATCAATGCTATACTAAAATTACATTAAATAAACTGTATTACTGATTTATCCTGTTCGTATAACTAATTTAGTAAATAATGTATAGTGTTGAATGTCTAGTTTAACTTATTACATTAGTTGACTCTTATTATATACTATACAAGAGGTTAAGTTACCTTGATTCTGTCCAAGTAATAGTTTAAGTCGTCATAAGTGCGGCCGGTTTCGATGTCTATGATGGCATCATTGTCAAGCTGGACTTAAAATCGCTCCTAGGAGGTCGTCGTGAGTCTTGAAAAACACGTAACACACAACACGTAAACGAAATACGATAATATACATGGCCACACAACTAATTTACAACACGGTGGTGGGTACAGGGTGTAGGTCTATACTGACGCCGTGTCTTCCTCTCCTCAACTTCCCCCTCAAGTTATCAGCTCTTGATAATATCTCGTCAATGTTTAAGACTGCCTCATACAGTATATTGGATTAAAATGAAGATTTATCATTTAGGATGTATTGGGGGTATTTTTTGCTGGTCTTGTAAATTTCATATTCTTCGATAGTATGTAAATATCTTCCTCTTCCTTTATGGGACCGTAAAACCTCTAGATTAATGTTGATATATTTATTGTGTATTCATGGTTGTTCAGCAAATGCAGAGGTAGGTTGGTTACCCCTTTGGGGAACCGTCCACAAGGAGTATTACAAAATTCTTAAATAGCAGCATAGGTCGAGATTGGTATGAAATTAAAGGTCTCCGTTAGTAAAATACAATGCCACAAATCTGAACTCAAACAGACAATGGAGTCAAAAATGACAGCTGTTCAAATATTCCTTGAATTTGCATTGCTTCTGTGGCGCCCGCTAGAAGTCGGGTGAAAATCATAAACTTAAGCATAGGTCGATATGCACATCACATTAAAGGTCTTTATTAGTAGAATACAATGCCACAAATTTTAGCTCAAAATATCAGATGGGTAGAAAATGGCAGCCGCTCAAATATTCAAAATGGTAGATTAAATAAATATTTGAACGGCAGTCATTTTTGACTTGGTTGTTCGTTTGAGTTCGGATTTATGGCATTGTATTTTACTAACCTTTCGTTTGATATCAAATTCGCCCTATACTGTTGTTATACATTTTTTTTACTCTTTGTGGCCCATCCCCCAAAGGGGTTATCCGGTTGTTAATTGGGCAGATTTGTGCGTTACCATCACCAGTAAGCATGTGCGAACATTGGTATTTTTTCTATTGTGGTTTAAAAAATAAAAAGAGGTTTCAGACTTAATTAATTAACTTAATGACTTTATTAACGGAATTAATTAGCCGTTAATACAATTTAAATTAATGATTTGATTTTGGGTCTACGCAAAGATCCGGAATCTTGTTTTAAGTAATTTTTGTTCAGAAAAATAATAAATTATATGTTTGTTTGACTCCAGTTTCCGTTTGTGCCTACACAACCAGAAGATCAAGACAAACCTTCTGATGACAGGACCCAAAATCAGGGTTCAGCACAGGTAAAACAAAATCAACAACAGTTCTGAATCAGGGATTTATAAGTCAAGGACTAACTAGTCATGGATTAAAATCAGCCGTTGACTAAAAAACTACTTTCTGAGTCACGGATTAAGGACACACGGACTAATTTAACGCTGAGACTAAGTTTAGTCAGAGATTAATAGAGCTCTTGATTTTCAAGGGAAATGTAGGGTAACTTGTGCCGCCATGTTGGACACACTGTATCAGTTCGATGTGCACTGCTACAAAAACGTAAACAACCATCTCAGTCAACCCTTGGTTTTGAGTTTTATTTATCAATTTTAATTAATTTATCATTATTATACATTTTATTATTGTTATAAATTAGTTACATCGTAAAATTATCAAGGTATTTTAAAAGTAGGATTGGTGTTTATCATTTTAATTCTTTTAAATAAGTCACTTGGCCTACGTTGTATTACAGTTTTTGAGCATGTGCTTAGCTTTGATTCTTGGACTGTTGGAAGGCGTTGCTTAAACTTATGTTAGAGGATAATCAATACTAAGTTTGATGATATTCTGATATCCACAATGATATACTTTTCATTTTAAATATTTTAAAACTTTGGGAATACCATATACTAACCTAGAGCCAAGTGAGCCAAGGAATCTCCAGGCTGTATTAGATTAAGGACATTCCTTTAGGGTTTTGAGTACAGCTTAGTTGTTTATTGTTTGCATCCTGAGACTAATTACTAGAGTATTGCACGAGGAAGATACAAACATATAGCGGCTGGCGTTTACCCCCCCTCCCCCCCCCGGTGGGAATTTTCGACATATACATTTTTTGGTTTGTATTGACATGTACTTTAAGGTTTTAGGTGTTTGCCACTTGTGAATTACAGCATGTTCTGGAAAACACGAAAATATCATGAATATATATATTTAAAAAAATGGTTTTTCTTTAGCGAGTTCGTTTGGCTCTACAACCCAACCGATTTTCATGATTGAGGTCTCAAATTGAAGGTATTAACGCACAGATTTCACATCAAACATCGGCATATAGCTGCCTACAGTCCCACTCGGCTTATACGTAAACAACATTTTTTCCAATGTATTTCTTATGAGAGTTAAATTTGGTTTTTCTTTTCCGAGTTCGTTTGGCGCTTCTACCTACCCGATTTTCATTATTGAGGTCTCAAATTGAAGGTATGCACGCACAGATTTCACATCAAGCATCAGTTTATATTTATCGACAGTCCCACTCGGCTTATACGTAAATTAAATTTACCCCCCATGTATTTCTAAAGGGAGTTAAATTTGTTTTTTTTTCTTTTCCGAGTTTCTTTGGCTCTTCTACACGTCCGATCTTCATGATTGAGGTCTTAAATTGGTAGTATGCACACATATATTTCACATCAAGCATAATCTTATATTTATCTACTTTATTACTCGACCAAAAAACATAGGTTTGATATATTTTTTAATTCGTTTTAATTCAAATTGTACAGTATTTTACCATTTGTAATTATATAACCCTATATATTTTGGTCTAAGAACCTTCAGTGAAATACCGGCTTGCATTTAAGATATTAGTTATTATTCAAATCGGACGGTTTTCAAGCAAACGCAAGGTGAACATCCAACATAAAAAAAATGTATAAGGTTTTTCTATGATTGAATATCAATAGCTCCAGTATTGTTTACGTTTTTTAATATGTTTTAGACTCAAAATAATCAGTCAATTATAGGCTTTAATTTGAGCTATTGATCGTTTGAATCAGTTAAGTTTAAGATACTGTATTACGCAATCAAAAATAATATATTTGATTATTTCTCGGATATGATATTTATTTTAACGCCGCAGTGCAGCATGGGTCCTTAAGTATAGATTTTTTAGTTTGATTTGATTTGATTAGTTGATTCCTGTGCGTAGGACGGGCCCACAGCAAGTTAGAATTTTAAAATGCAAGTATGGTGAAGTCATCAGATTGTTCTCAGTGACATGCAAGCAAATGAAATGAAACGAAGTGACCAAAGTATTTTGCAAGTACTGTACTTGATGCTTTTGAACAATGCATTATTCTGCTTGAAGTTGAAAACCGTGATCAGAATTCCTAGATTGTCTGTTTATCAGCTGGAAGACCTGTACCCGAATCGGTGGAAGACAAAGATTCAAAGATTCAAAGATTTTAATTAGGCCATTAAGTTTGTACAATAGGCTACGTCAAAGTACAATAAAAAATTCAATAAAACTAAATATAAAAAGGAAAACAAACCAAACAAAACTGCAAATCAAAACAGCAAACCATGCAAAGGTAAATAAAAATTAGGCATACCTTTTTTTATCATCGGGTCCATGCACTACATGATATATTTCAAACCTTCAAAGCCTCAAAATATTCGTCACATTTATAGAAAGGATTTGTTATTAGCCAATTCTTTAACACTTTCATAAACATCAATTTTGGCAAGTTTCTAATGGTAACAGGCAGAGCATTGAAAAATTTGAAACCTGAAACAGGGAAACACTTTTGACTTTTACTTAGCCTGTTGCTAGGAGTATGTACATCATTACAAGTTCTAGTGCTATACGGATGGATGTCTCTATTGAAAATAAGATCATTTTCCATCGATTTGATAGCTTCTAAGCACTGGTAAATATATACATTGAAGACACTCATGATCTGCATATCAACAAAAAATGTTCTACAATGTGCTCTAAAAGGCAAATTACACATCACACGAATTGCTCTTTTTTGTAGCAAGAGGACCTTCTGAACCTGTGGGGAGTGACCCCAAAGCCTGGTTCCATACACAACGTGTGACTGAAAAAAAATAGAAAAATGCTAGTCTCACAAAGTCAGGAGGCAATTCAGATGTTAATTTCCTCAAAAGACAAATTACTCTGTTAAGTTTAGTACATAGGGCGTTGACATGTTCATCCCACACAAGCTCAGAGTCCAAAGTAAAGCCCAAGAGTTTGACAGAGTCACAAACAGAATTAGTTTTACTTAAGCTAAACATTATTTCTTGGGTTTTCTTGTCATTAAGAGCCAGTTTGTTCCCTGAAAACCATTCAGAAGCTATGTTAAACAATCTTTTTGCGGAGTTACTGGCAATTACAGGATCAATGTGCTTTGCAAACAAGGTTGTGTCATCAGCATAGAGCAGTACATCGTTTGAAACAGAAAAACAGAGGTCATTCATTGCTATAATGAACAAAAAAGGCCCCAGTACTGAGCCCTGGGGCACCCCGTGTTTGACTGGCAGGGCGCCTGAATGAACACCTGACCAACTTACAATTTGGAATCTACCTGCAAGATATGATTTGACCACCTTGAGGGCACTCTCGCCAAACCCATATTTTTGTAGTTTTTTAAGTAAAATATCATGTGGTATACAATCAAATGCTCGAGACAAATCACACAGCAAAACAGAAACAGAAGATTTGCTTTCAAATGCCTCCAGTATGACCCTCACAAGGGAATCAACTGCCGAAACAGTCGACAAACCCCTCCGAAAGCCATGCTGGGCAGGAACAAGGAGATTGTGCTCCTCAAAGTGGTTACTCAGCTGCTGCAACATCACAGCCTCAAACACTTTACCAAAAACAGGTATCAAAGACACTGGTCTATAGCTAGAAAGATCTTTTTTGGGGCCCTTTTTATATACGGGAACAGTTCTGGATGTTTTTAGCACATCAGGGTAAACACCTTGCAACAAACAACAGTTAATCAAATGAGCCAACAAAGGTGCAATCACATTTACAATTTTTTTCAAAAACTCAGTCGACATGTCAAAGATATCCTTACTTTTTGAGGATTTGAAACCGTTTACGATTTTGACAATATCGACAGCATTGACCATACTCCATTCATAATTTACATCTACAACAGGTATGTTATCAAGATAATCAGTATTATTTACAGGAATACCATCAACAATACTATCCACTGAGTCCAAGAAGTAGCTGTTGAAGTCATCCGCCGTGGCGAAGTCAAGGTCAGCGGCTACTCTGGTACTGGGCCTGCTCTGGTTGATCAGGTCCCAAGCTGCCTTGCATGGGTTTGCAGCAGTGGAGATCATATCAGCCGCTGCACGCTGCTTTGCCTCGCGGAGTTGGAATCGATACTCTCTCCTCAATTCCCGAAGATATGGGATAAGATCAGGCCTATCCTTAGATATGTCAAGCACTAGCAAAATGTACCTTTTTAAACCAGCAAGCTCCTCAGAATACCAATTCTTGATCTTTCCTTTGGCACCGTCAGATACTCTATCAGTTGACTTAACTGTTTTTTGCTTTAATGGGAAGTAAAAATCAAATTTGTCCTTAAATTTAGAAAAGAAATTTGAAAATGCAGTTACATAGAATCAGGCCAATTTGAAATCCGCATTGCCTGCAGGTTTGCTGCAGCGGGGGTATTTTATTAACTTTTTTTATTTTCATTTAAAGCCTTTGAATACATACTAAAGAAGTCCATAAAAAAATATTGCACCAGTAATTAACGCACACTACCCTTTCGTAATTTAAATAAAACAGTTTTTTAAATTTAACAGTTTTTCTTTATTTTCCGGAATACGCTGTAATTTAAAAGAGGCAAACAACTGAATACTTAATCTGGTAGGTAATACCAACAAAAAAAGTATAAGTCATCAATTCCCACGGGGGGGGGGAGGGTTTCATATTGGTGGCTCATGGTCTAATAGCTTTGTTCTGTTGGTTACATGTTACATTGTGGGTTACACAGTGGTTAAGTGCTCGCCTAACAAACAAAAGGTCACAGTTTCAATCCTGAAACAAGTTATTAGCTTTTTCCTACAGTCACCCGACAAAGTTGGCTTCCTTGTACTGTTTATAGTACAGAAAGCTGCTAATTGCTGCATATTTATACTTTGCCATACGGTTTATACTTTGTCGTACGGTTTATACTTTGCCGCACATCAGGATTCCAACGAAACAACACAAAACAGCGTGGTTCTATTATGCACGTAATCCGTGTACGCTTGGAAATAGGTTGGCAACACTTAAAGATAATAATACTATGAGCAGCTGATTGACTATTATAACTACGATTTAACCTGTCATTTCGTGTTTATAGTTTCGGTATTTCTGAACTTACTGGACTTTTCTTTTAAACGTTTTTTAAAACATTCCTACGATCTTAATAAACAAGAAAATACCTTTAAAGCATTTTTTTAGGCACGGAAACCACTTCAAATTACAAAAACATACGGAACTATATTCTCAAAACGCGGAGCACATTTCTTGCCGAGGAAAAATAGCGGAGTGATATGGACCGCGGGTACTACTTTCTCTAGGGCACCATTTGTGTTGCCAGCTGAACCTAAAAACGTGTTGTATAGTGTTTGAAAGACTAATTATTTATATGCTTTATAGTGACTGTAGGAAAAATATAATGTGTAACACGAGTGAAAAAGGCCTTTGCTGCACTCGAGATCATTCCGCACTCGCCTGCGGCTCGTGCGTAAGCATTGCTCTCGTGTGCAGCAAAGTGCCTCTTTCACCACTAGTTATACAAATAACTATTTCATGGTTCTAAACCGGTCACATCTGTTCCTGACCATTGGGCTTCAAACAAACGATCATGGCTAGTCAAACAGCTGATCTTAGTCAGTAACAAAGCTACACATATCATATCACGCCATTCTACACTAATCCTTTACTCATATTTAGGTAAAAATACCCACCTAGGGGGCGTCCCCATCTCAGTAATTGATAGTTTCCATAGTAGTAAGATATTGAATAGAAAATTAATGTTTACTATGTTTAGTAAATATAAATTAAATACAAATTTAGATTCTGCACACAACTGTACCGATCGTTAAATTCAACTTTATTTAAATGGATTATTTTCCTGCCCAAGACGAATTCGCGGCCCCCAAAAACGGTAGAAATCATAATAATTTACATAATCCATATCACTTTCAACTTAAAACACACAAAAATGGATGACTAAAATAATCCTACCCCTATACAGGATTAAAATGTAGCATATTTTTATCCGTGGACTAGGGCATAATTTCTTTTGTTCAGACTTAATAGTTGTTGACTAAATTAAGTCACTGACTTATAAGTACTCGAATCAGAAAGATATTTTTCTTAGTCCAGTACTAAAATGAGCTTTAGTCAAGACTAGCGCTAATACCTGAATCAGAAACCCACGCCTATGTTGTCGGTGAAGTTTTTTGGCAACTACAGCAACTGAGACGACTCTATTTAGATTGGCATGTGATTTAAAACTAAAGTAAGGATATCTCTGAAGACTAAATTTAATTACTTTGAATGTCTTCCTCACTATTAAATTTTACTTCCAAAATGCATTGATTGGTTTTTGCAGTATCAATGCCTTCATAAATATTTGTCTCCATAGATCTCTTATCCGTCCTTCCATCTTCTTACTCATAATCCGTGGAGGTCATTCTTCCACCCTCCAGATAGTTACAATCGGTTCCTCAGTTTGCAGCTTGTAGTAGATGTAACTAGTGGTCCTTAAGGTATTCTTCCCTGCCCATATAAGTAAGTATATGTATTGTGGTAGGCAATATACGATTACTGTACAACACACTAGTTGATAAAAATGCTCTATATTAGTGTTTATCCTCCAAACTCCATACTCAAATAGCTCTCCATGAATTCGATAAGATATACAGATAGAGATCTCGTATACGCCTCTTTATTCACGAATCTTTCTAAAATAATTTTCAGAATGTATAACTTCGATTAAATGAAAGTTTTTTCCAGGTATCTGAACCTCACCAGAAGAATATTATAAAGCGTAAGTTTCCTCTTACAATGCTATGTATTTAGTTTGCAAATAAAATTAAACACCCATTTTCTGGGCAAATCTTTATTATAATAATACAGTTGTAATAAACAGAAAAGTTTTCTAGTAATCTTATATATTTAAAAAATTTGTTTTTTCTTTTCTGAGTTCGTTTGGATCTTCTACCCGACCGATTTTCGTCATTGAGGTTTCAAATTGAAGGTATGCACGCACAGATTTGCCATCAAGCATCGGCATATATTTATCTGAAATCAAACTCGGCTATTAGTAAACGAAATTTGCTCCCCATATATTTCTTATGGGAGTTGAATTTGTGTTTTTTTCCAAGTTCGTTTGGCTCTTCTACCCGACCAATTTTCGTGATTGTGGTCTCATATTAAAGGCATGCGCGCACAGATTTCCTATCAAGCATCGGCATATATTTACCTACTGTATTAGCCTACTCGACCAAATAAAATAATTTGATTAATTTTTGAATTTAAGATTACTTTAACTTAAGATGTATTTCACCAGTTATAATTATATAATCCTATATATTTTGGTCTAAGAACCTTCAGTAAAATACCGGCTATCATTTAAGCTATTAGTTATTCAAATCGGACGAGTTTCAAGCAAACGCAAGGTGAACAACCAACATACAAATTATTTAGAAAGATCTATATTATTATTAGAAAGATTACGAAAACGGCTCCGACGATTTTCTTCAAATGTTGGATATAGTGGTATGCTGGCCTAAAAACGAGTTTACTGCAGTTAGAACTACCCAAAAAAATCTAATTACGTAGTAAAATGAAACTGAAAGTCACAATTTTTAAACATTAGTCTTATGGGTGCTAAGTAACCATGTTGGTTGAATTAAATAACAAAGAAAAAGTAAACAAAAGAATTGTAAGTTGTAACATGTGATCATAAAGGCATCTACCTACAGTATACTAGCAAATTACAAAATACATACAGTACAAAGGGAAAAACGTCACTTGAACTATTGAGCAAAGATTATAATGAATATTACTCGATACATTGTAGTACTACAACTACTTTATTGCTATAGCAGTGCGGAGTGTGGGAACTGTTTATGACGATTAGATTCAGGTATCTGCAATCTTAAAATGCACAGGGAAGGGAGCGAAACCGGTCTGTGACGTAGGAAGTGGTGAAGGAAGTAGTACAGACAAGTAGTCTGTTTGTGACGATTAGTTTAAGGTATCTGCAATTCTAAAATGATATAGAAAGGGAGGAAAACAGGTCCGCGACGTAGGAAGTTGTGAAGGAAGTACTCCTCCGTAAAGGCAATGTTTTGTAGGTCCGGAGCGTGGGAACTGTTTATGGCGATTAGTTTAAGGTATCTGCAATCTTAAAATGCACTGAGAAGGGAGGGAAACCGGTCCGCGACGTAGGAAGTGGTGAAGGAAGTAGTAAATGCGAGTATCCGGAGTGTGGGAACTGTGTATGACGATCAGAGTAAGGTATCTGCAATCCTAAAATGCCGTGGGAAGGTAGGGAAACAGGTCCGTGACGTTAGAATTAATGAAGGAAGTAGGATATAGTCGAGAAGTCCGGAGTGTGGGAACTGTGTATGACGATTAGATTAAGGTATCTGCAATCCTAAAATTCTATGGGAAGGGAAGGAAACAGGTCCGCGACGTAGGAAGTGGAGAAAAAGTAGTAAAGGCGAGCAGTCTGGAGAGTGGGAACTGTTTATGACGATTAGATTAAGGTATCTGCAATCCTAAAATGCCGTGGGAAGGGAGGGAAACAGGTCCACTACGTAAGAAGAGTTGAAGGAAGTAGTAAAGGCGAGCAGTGTGGAGTGTGGGAACTGTTTATGACGATCAGAGTAATGCAGGCGAGCAGTCCAGAGTGTGTTAACTGTTGATGACGAACTGGTCCTAATAAGGTTTCTGCGATCCTAAAATGCCATGGGAAGGGAAGGAAACAGGTCTGCGACGTAGGAAGTGGTGATGGAAGTATTAAAGGAGAACAGTCCAGAGTGTAGGAACTGTTTATTACGATTAGATTAAGGTATCTGCAATCCTAAAATGCTATGGGAAGGGAGGGAAAAAGGTCCGGGACGTAGGAAGTGGTGAAGGAAGTAGTAAAGGCGAGCAGTCTTGAGTGTGGGGAATGTTTGTGGCAATTAGATTAATGTACCTAAAATACTAAAATGCTATGGAAAGAGATGAAAACAGGTCCACGACGTAGGAAGTTGCTTAGGAAGTAGTAAAGTTTAGGAACAAAGAGTGTACGAACTGTCTGTAACAGTTGGAATAATGTATCTGTGATACTTAAATGCTATGAGAAGGGAAGGCAACAGGTCCATGACGTAGGAAATGGTGAAGGAAGTAGTAAGGCTAGCAGTGCATGGTGTGGGAACTGTCTGGCAATTACATTAGTGTATTTGCAATCATAAAATGCTGTTGGAAGGGAGGGAAACAGGTCCAGGACGTAGGGGCCTATTGAGTGGTGAAGGAAGGAGTAAAGGCGAGCAGTCTGGAGTTTGGAAATAGATTAATGTATTTTTTAATACTAAGACTGCTTTCAGAGTAAACTAATGACATTCCCCGAGCAAAGCTCGGTCCCCAGGTACTTTAAATAATATCAACCAACATAATACAATAACAAACATCAATAATAAATACATAACAGCTGTTATGTTACATACCCCTTTTTTCAGGAACAAAGTCTTTGTATTTTGTTGGAGTCTCGTGGTCCTTTTCGGCTGACTTGCACGCTCCTTTTTTATTTTTGATTTTTTCTGTTAAACTGCTGGTGACAGATTCGGCATTTTGTTGTATTAATCTTTTTAATCCATACAAACTTAGAGTGGTAAACAATTACCAACATGTGTTCTGCTCCTTTGACTTAAAAAAATCAATGCCAATTTCTTACAATGGATTCTCTAGTGCCTGTTAAGTATTAAGAGATGCTCTAGTGAAAGATGTTTGTGGAGGAAATGATGTTTCTTAGAACAGAGTCTAGCGTGGATATTGTTTTAGCTAAAACTAATATATTTCTAACAATTAATTATGAAGAAATCATTGGAGCCGTTTTTTTTTTCAATCATTGTGCGCAAACGTTACTCATATTAAACTGTAGTATCATCTGATGGCTGTTAAAGTTTTTTGGGCTACCCCAAACAGTTGTTGAAGTCGTGGTGATACATTGGAGATAGACTTTTCAAGAAGGTCAATAAAAGGTCTATATCAGTATTTATGACAAATTTCGTCCCATATAAGTAATAGTGGAATTTCTTATATCTATTTATGTTAGCTAGAGGTTCCTTTTGAATTTGGCTATCTTTGTTGAGTAGTGGTTAAGGTAGAAGAGCTATAGCAAATTGGATTACTTTCTTGTAGAAGTACAGCACCAAGTCCATACTTCAGATATAATTGATGCCTTCTTGTTGTCAAAGTAAGCCAACACAGGGCTTCTGGTGACTTCTTCTAAGGCCATAAAATCATGCTGCTCTACATCTGTCCACACACAACTTTTATGTTTTATAAGTAATCTTAACGTCACTGTTTTGTCGGACAGGTTATTTATGAATCTTATATACAAACCCCCCCCCCCTACTTTTTTCTACATTTTTTTAAATATCAATCCCAGACCACTTCCAAACATTGTTGGATAGTAAGTACTTCATTTTGACAAGGTGGTCATTTCCGGCCGCCATCTTGGATTCGCCATATTGGATGCAAAATATTTTTCCAAATGTAAAGGTGGGGTTGTGACCCATTATTTCGAACAAGATTTTTACCCTAATTACAATGACACAAATTGTTTTAAAAAATCTTGATCCATTCTAAAGTTATGATGTGTTTTTAAAACTTTATTTTTAGCCCATTTTGACATTGTGCATTTACAAACTAAGACCATAATCTCAAAATAGTGCTAGATAAAGATAAATAAACACCACCAGTCATTGTCGACCTATTTTCACTTGGTTATGACGGATGTATTTTTTCGGCCGCCATCTTGGATCTGCCATTTTGAAATGTGATAAACTTTTTTAAATACGAAGGGGGTGTTGTGACCCATCATTTCGAATCCCTTTTTTAAGCTGAACTCAATTCCACGATCAGTTTTTCAGTTTCATATTTTGATTTTGAAATACTTAAATTGTTAACCAAAAAAATTTAATATTTTATAAAGAAAACTTGATTACAAAAAATGGATTGTGGCATTGAGTTTAGTTTTAAAAAAAGTAATTCGAAATGATGGGTCACAACACCCCCTTCGTATTTAAAATAGTTTATCACATTTCAAAATGGCGGATCCAAGATGGCGGCAGAAAAAATACATCCATCATAACCAAGTGAAAATAGGTCGACAATGACTGGTGGTGTATACCTATCTTTATCTAGCACTATTTTGAGATTATGGTCTTAGTTTGTAATACACAATGTTAAAATGGGTTAAAATGAAGTTATAAAAAGCCTTCATAACTTAAAAAGATTTTTTAAAACGGTTTGTGGCATTGTAATCAGGGTAAAAATCTAGTTTGAAATAATGGGTCACAACCTCACCTTTACATTTGAAAAAAAAAATATTTTGCATCTAATAGCCTATGGCGAATCCAAGATGGCAGCCGGAAATGACTACCTTGTCAAAATGAAGTACCTACTACCCAACAATGTTTGGAAGTGGTCTGGGACGGATATTTGAAAAAAATGTAGAAAAAAGTTGGGGGGGGGGCAATTAAAACTCACCCTGTATATGTCCGTTAGCAAGATAACTCGAGCAAAAATCATCCGATCTTTATGAAATTTGGTACAAACCTGTAAACCTACAGTTATTCGAACTAGTTTGCGAACCAGCATGATCGGACTCTGGGAACAGGGGTTTATGGGGGGTTTTATGGGGTAAAAATAGGTTTTTCCCATTTTTTACCCTAAAAACAAAAAAATTTGGAATTTCTTTTCCAACCATTTTTAGAGCTTAAAAAATTTAGTAATTTGAAGCATTGTTGTATCCCTAATGGTTGCAGAGAAAATTCAAAAAAGTGTAAATTTAAAATCCCCACGTTATTTTTATGGAGAAAATTGTAAACTATTGTAGTTTGCTTGTTTATGAGCATATTTTGGTCAAATTTGGAAAATACATTAATTTTATACTAAACTATTAACATTTTATAAAATACACCTTTTACCCTCCCTGTTGCAGCAAACCTAAGTACTCGTTAAACTAATGCTATTTAAATAGGGAATAAATGTGATATTTTTAAGGACACATTTTAGTGTTAATCCAATTAGGCAAATAGAAATTCGCTTATTCTGCAGGTTATTTAGAATTATTAGGCAGGGGTATTTAGAATTTCTGAGTATGAGAATATCATGACAAAATTGCTCCATCTAAACCAGATATTTCGAAATCCATTGATTTTTTACACTTCCGGAGCGCTATTCAATCCATACTTTAGTCATACATCGATGTCAGTAGGTAACGAAATCGTCCAAAAGGGACATAAAAATTACCCCTATTGTACATAAAAGTGAACTTTCCTAAAGGGTAGGCCTAGTTGTAAAAACGCCAATGAAGCATCAAGAACACTAAAGTATTTTGTTTCTTTCAGTTTGGAGGAAATGTATTGTAACGTTGGCATTTTATAGTGCTCTGTCTTGATGTACTTATTTGATGTTCTAGGATCTATGCAAATTCTTACTTTACCATTTGGCTTTTTGCAATTAATATGAGACGAATCATGAGTACTTTGATAGAACTAGTATGGACCATAAACATAAACAAATGACGTTGCTGGCCCGAATCCTATAGCATTAACATATGGTTTAGACAGTTCCGTTCAAGCAACGTAAAAGATTTTTTTTTAGCAAGGTAAAACCAGCGAGACTGACAAACGCGTTCATGGACGTTTTTACTCTAGTTTACTCTCCGGCCATTAAGCGGTTTAATCTGTTACAGTTGGTACACCTTTTTCCTCAAGCTGGACAGTTTCCATATACTACCATATGGCTACTCTTACACCAAAAACAGTTCTTTTTAAATTAATTTTTAGAAGGCCTAAAGTCATTATTCTTAACTATTCTCTGAATTTCTCTTCCCTAGCCTTATAATACTGAATAGCTTCATCAAGCTTTAAATCAGATTCCATTAACACCCTTTCCATAGTCATCACATCTTTGGTTCCAATAATAAGCAAATCCCTAAAAAATTGTGTTCTTGTTCACCGAACTGACATTATTGTGACTAAGCTTTCAGATGGGTTACAAATGTGTCAATTGTTTTTATTCTCTGATCTTTGTCTCATATTGAACTGTTTACCACAGTGTTGAATTATGGCTTAAAGTAGTCATCGAAACATTGAACAACATAATCTGAATTATCAATATCTGTTTTTGTTAGTTCAGAGTTATTGAAAATGTCCAAACAATCACTAAGTATCAAGCAAAGAAGTAAGGTACCTTTAGTTTTACCGGGCTTTTTAGATTTCTGTGTAGCTTCTAAAAAGGCAAAAAGAATATTAGCTTGGATCCAGCCCATTCATCAAAAGTGTTTTGTTCAAATCTATAGACGGCAGGGCTTTCGAATCTATAACTTGTGGTTGTAGGATGTAACACCGTAATGGTTTTATAGCTATGGTTTTATATTACCTTAAATCCTACCTATGCCACAAGCAATACAGTTTTATTAACCAGAATAGTTTTCTAGCAAAGTTATTTTTATTTCCATTATGTCAAACTTCATAAAACAATAACAAACAGTAATAATAAATACATAACAGCTGTTCCGTTACAAATGTATAAACATACGTTATACGAAAAAAAAATCAATTGCATAAAACTATAATTATTCAGCTAAGCAATATTGCTGAAAATTTACTGCTATGTAATTTTTGCAGCTAATGAAATAATACTGGAAGACTTTACCAGTACAGGATCTTGGGAGTTGGTAGCAAAGTACGAACAGATAAACGGTTTGGGATTTGAACTACTTTGCCTACGATCAGCAGAAAACAAATACTACTCTCATGTGTTCAAAGACAATGAATACGTTCTTACAATAGCGAGTCACGATTGCTCACCCGACCCATATAGATCCCCACCACGTGTTACACTCGATGAAAGAGATCGAAAAAGTGGATATGATTATGTCTTAGTACAATCGTCAGACAATGCCTGGTATAGCGTTTGTAGAAAATGTGACACAAAAGTAACCTATTTATCTGCTTATCGACCCTTGAAACTCTACTACTGGCTACAGGTAAGAATAAATGTTAAACTTAGAAATAATCTGTCATGATATTACCGATTTTGATTAAACTATTATCAAACATCGCCCATCCAATTCACCACCAATTAAATGACTTACTGATATTGACGAATTTTTACTCAACAGAATTTTGCTATTATTGAGCAGAGCGAACGTGGTGATTGACCATATCGGTCAGTGCCAACATCTATCTATATGGCTTTTCCCAGGAATCCGACCCACTAGGTCTCAAAGTTTCATTTTTATTATTATGGACTCAGAACACATTCTTATTTGACACACAAATAAAAGCATGACTTTAGCTGTTGACTTAAATACATAGGGAACAAACTTAAAGAATTTTTGTAACTGTTTATTGCGGATATTAGAACAGAAACAATATGGATCTTAAACATAAACAAATGACGTCACTGGTATGAACCTTATACTAAAAACATTAACATGGTTTAGGTATTTATAGTGTTCCACTTAAATAATAATACAAGCCTTTTGTTTTGAGATGATCAATCTTGCCTTCGTTCTAATATTCATGCTGGTATCATGTATGTATTCTTATGTATATTATATATTCTTCCAGGCCGTGATTTATTCTTGGTTTCGGTATTAACTTGATTTATTATTTATTACCTACATAACATGTTAATTATTACTAGTAAAATTATAGCTAGTAAAATTAGTAGTGAAATTATTTGCCTCACGATTTGCATTATAAAAATACGATCACTGCCCTAAACATACTTGGAAGAGAGGTTATCTCTAAGCTATATATAACACCCTGATAACTCAGCTCAATTTTGTGGACGTCCTGCGAATACCAAGTTACCATCGTCATCACTTGTTAGTTTATTTTTCTCGACAAGGCTACTCTACACTTGGGGGGTAAACTTCGATATGGTGGACTGTATAAAAAATGAGGGATGTGAGATATATTATGTTAAGATCAGCTTTAGAGACACACTGTGAGCACAAAATAATAAACTTTTAAATAGGAAGAAATGTGATTTGGTACCTTCCTTTTTACTGAAGTGATGTCTAGTAGACCGTTGACGCACTTGATGTTTGCTGGCCAGCTTTCGCGTACGCGACCGGTAGTTGCACCAAGAACAGTTTGAATACAGTTTTTAACTATTCAGTTCACTTTTTTTGTTAGGTGTGTCACAAATAAATACATAAGATAAACATACGATAATATAAGTTCAATTTATATGCCACAAATAGAGTAGGGGAATATTATAATACAAAACTAGGGAAAATCGCGAGAACATGATGCCGGGTTGAAGAGTACATGAGGAATGGGGGAAATTGCCAGACATCACGTGACAGGGCAAGGGTCAGAACAAAATATGAATGAAGTCTGGATTCACCTGGTTGCGTAGATGCTTGAATACGGAACATGCCGCCCGCCTTGAACCATACATGGTTCAACAGAGATTCATAAATTGATTCATTGACTCATAAAAGGGCACAAGTAATACAATGTAGATATATATACACAATAGATAATGATGACACACCTAATTATAAGATATGATATATATGACAATTATAAATATAAACATGAAATAGGACATTGAATAGAAATATTTTGTGATTAGGGGAGCGGGTACACCTTGGTAGCAGGGCGACAGAAGATTCCTCTCGAAGTCTTGATGGAGACAACTCGAACGATGCCATCTGCTCCAGGTGATGTCTTCACAATGCGACCAAGAGGCCAGAGAAGTGGTGGTGTTTTTGGGTCATGGATAATGACTAAATCGCCTACTTCAAGATTCTTGTTTGGCTTTATCCACTTTTTCCTTTGTTGAAGCTGGTGCAAATACTCTTGGTGCCACCTTCTCCAGAAGCGCTGATGTAGAGCCTGAACTGTTTGCCAATGCTTTAGTCGATTGTCAGGAATATCGGATACATTTACTTCAGGTACTGCGACAAGAGATGCCCCGATGAGAAAATGACCTGGGGTGAGTGCTGTGATGTCAGATGGATCTGCTGATAGAGCTGTTAGTGGACGAGAGTTCAATACTGCTTCCACCTGCGTGACAAGAGTTATCAGCTCCATTAGTGTTAGAATTTGATCTCCAATTACTCTCTTGAGATGGTACTTTGAGCTCTTTATGGCACTCTCCCAAAGGCCTCCTTGGTGAGGCGCGGCTGGTGGTTGGAAATGAAAATTAATTGAATGATCGAGGGCGAAGTTAGTGAGAGCATCTTGAGTATTCCTTTCATCAATGAAATTCTGGAAGGTCTTATTCAGTTGCTTGGAGGCACCGACATAGTTCGTTCCACAATCAGAGTATAGGTGAGCACAAAGTCCACGACGAGAAACAAATCTTTTAAGAGCAGCAATGAATGAGTCCACTGAGAGATCAGTTACAACTTCCAAGTGCACCGCTTTTGTGGTAAAGCAAACAAATAGGCAGAGGTATGACTTAAGCTTTTGAGAATTCCTAGTGGTGTGTACTTTCACTTCAAAGTGACCGCTATAATCCATGCCAGTATGATAGAATGGTCTTACAGGCCGTAGTCGAGTTTCGGGTAAGTCTCCCATAAGTGGAGGTTGATTTGTAGGTTTCAACTTAAAACATCTTTGACATTTAAAGATTACAGATCTGATTACACTACGAGCAGATAATATCCATACTTCTTGAGTGAGGATCGATTGCAGCAACTGAGGGCCTGCGTGTAAATATTTGAGATGATAGTGCATGACCAACAGTTTTACAACATTATGAGATTTAGGTAACAGGATTGGGTATTTGGCATCTTGAGTAAGGTTTGAATGTTTCAACCTACCGCCTACTCTTACCAAACCGTTATCGTCAATGTAAGGTGATAACCGAGCCAGTCTTAAGCTGCACTGAGTGCCCTTTTTCAGAGCTGTGATGTCATCCTTGAAAGATGAAATTTGAATGAGTTTGAAGAGATTCATTTTAGCAGAAGAGATCTCTTTATAACTAAGTTGTCCAGCTAGTCGGGCGTTCCCACGAAGATAATGGATGAATCGTAGAACATAAGCAGTGACATTTACAAGTTTTCTAAAGCATGAGAATTTTTCAAGTAAATCAAATCTGTCATTTTCTAACTTTTCAACGTTAACTAGGACATTCAAGGGATTTGGTTTGACTTCAAGAGTGTCTTGATCAGTGATTAAACTGAATTCGGGCTTTGGCCAAAGATCTGATGACAAGTATAACCATTCAGGTCCCTTCCACCACAATTGGTGGCTTAAGAGTTGAGATGGGGAGAGTCCTCGGGTTGCACAATCTGCTGGGTTGTCGAGGGACTTGACGTAATGCCATGATTCAGGAGAGATTAATTCTTGTAGTTCTGAGACACGGTTGGCCACATAGACTTTTAAGCGATAGGGGTGAGTGCGTATCCATGTAAGAACAATGGTAGAGTCACACCAAGCATACATCGAGTCAATCTTAATGTGGGACGAAAGAAGATTTGAACAGTATTGCAGGAGCTTTCCAAGTAGGTGAGCACCGCACAGTTCGAGACGAGGCAGAGATACTCTTTTTAGTGGGGCGACTTTATATTTGGCCATTATCAGATTAATTTTAACATCATTCGATAAGTTGATCACACGGAGGTAGACTACTGCAGCATATCCTTTCTCCGAAGCATCGCTGAAACCATGAAGTTCTGCAAGCTTATGAGTTGAGGTAAAGATGTAACGTGGGATCCTTAGGTTTTGGATCACGGGTAGTTCTTCTAAAAAGGAAATCCATTTTGTTCTTATCTCATCTTGAAATGGATCATCCCATTTTAGACCTGTGGTCCAAAGATATTGAATGAGTGTTTTAGCCCAAAATATTACAGGTGTGAGAAATCCTGGGAGATCATAGAGTTTAGCGATTGTTGAGAGAATCATTCTCTTGGTTAGCAAGTGGCCTACTTCAACATTCTTTACTTTGTATGAGAGCATGTCTGTCTCTGGGGTCCATCTTAAACCCAATACACTGTAGAAGGCCTCACTACCATCAGTCAACTCCACTGGTGATTCTTTGTGTTCGACTGGAATCTGATCCAAGAGTTGGGGTGCATTACTGATCCACTTACGGAGTTCAAAACCGCCTTTAGACAGCAATGTTTTTAGTTCATTTTGAGCTGACATAGCTTTATCAAGATCTTCAGCTCCAGCTATAATATCATCATAGAAGATAGACTTGGTCAAGATATCAGAAGCTTGTGGGTATGGTTGACCTTCGTCCAAAACTAGCTGGTGCAAGGTTTTGATTGCAATAAAAGGGGAACAATTAAGCCCATATGTAACTGTATTGAGTTTGTACGTTTGGAGTGGATCATCTGGACTAGCACGCCAGTATATCATTTGATAACTTTTGTCCTTATCAGAAACCAAGATCTGACGATACATTTGACGTATGTCACAGGTGAATACAATTTTATGACATCTAAAATACAATAAAACATCACTGATATCATTTTGAAGTTTGGGACCAGGCATGAGAATGTCGTTCAATGATATGCCATTAGTAGTTTTAGCGCTGCCGTCAAAAACAACACGTATTTTTGAATTCGGGGGATTCTCCTTGAAGACACCGTGGTGAGGCAAATAATAGTATTCAGAGGTGGGAGGTTCTTTACAAATAGTCATATGACCTGATTCAATGTAGTCATCCATAAATTCAGAATAGAGCCTTTGTAACTCGGGTTGATTAGAGAATTTCCTTTCCATCGAGCTAAGTCTCAATTGTGCTTTGGTACAAAATTCACCAAGAGGGGAATGATTTGGTTTCTTGGGCAGCTCGATTATGTAACGACCTGAGTCATCACGTCTATGGGTGTTTTCAAAATGTTGTAAACAGAGGGTATCTTCCTCAGTCTGAGCCTTGATCCGTATTGGGGGTTCTTCTAGCGTCCAGAATTTTTGAAGTGAATTATGAAGGTCCAAATCATGAGTTGTCAAGAGTGAGATGGGAAATGTGTTTGATGAGTTTCCTGCTACAGAGGCTACAGGAGCGAGGCCCATCACAACAAAACCAAAAATGGTTCCAAGAGCTTGAGGTAAATTTTGTCCTAATCTATGCTGTTCGCCTGTGAGGGTTAGGGCAAATAAGTCTGCACCGATAAGTAAATCTATCTCTCCAGGCTGATCGAAACAGGGATCGGCTAGGATAAAATGTTTCAAAGATTCCTTAACCTGGTGTGAAACTGGTATCTGAGGCAGGGGTGATGTGATACTACTCAAAACCATACAAGGATGGTTTTTAGCCAAAGGATTTCCATTGATCGCAGACATGTTGACATGTACGATACCTCTAGAATTAATAACTGCACCAGAGATTCCTTTTATTTCATCATGGAGTCGAGTACGTGGGGCGTTGATGAGTTGAATAGCTTTCTCTGATATAAGGGTAAGTTGGGCAGCGGGGTCGAGCACAGCACGGAGTACAGTATGTTGACCATGTTGTGAAGAGACATGAACTAAACATGTACCAAGAAGGATTGTGGTTTTAGTTGGATTGAGTTGACTAGACAATCCTACAAAAGCGTTAACGTTTGTAGAAGCAGTAGGATTAATAGTTGTTGTATTCTTTGAAGATGAATTAGGTGTGTAGGTCTTATTTTGAGGAGACAGCTTAGTTTGATAGCTTGACTGTGACTGAAGTGAACTACGTGTGGGCTCATGCAATAGAGTATGGTGATGTTTGGAGCAAATCTGACACACTTTACTTGAGGGGCAGTTGATTGTGTTATGAAGATAACCGAGGCAGTTTGTACAAATCCTATTCTTGCGAATAAACTCAGATCTTTCACTCACACTTCTAGCTAGGAAAGCTTGACACTTGTATATGTTGTGATCTGCAGCTTGACAAAATCTACAAGAGTTGGTTGTGGCGACAAGAGCAGTTTTTGTATGGTTGGTGAAATGTGGCTTACTTTCACGTGTAAACTTACTAGGCCTAGTTATGTTTGTAGGACACTTTTGGCCAGTGGAATACTTTGAGGTAGATGGTGAATTGAGACAAATACTAGCACCTTCTAAACGTTTGAATTCTATTTCAAGAAAGGTCATTAAATCATTAACAAGAGGGATCTCATTGTTTAAGGCGCGAGAGTCTTCAAAAGATTTTCTAATATCAGCTGGGATCTTCTTTAAAAGTGTTAAGACTAACAGGGTGTTTTCAGTTGTAATGTCATGATTTAAGTTTTTCAAAGCTTGAGTATTTTCCTTATATACAGTGAGAAATGATTGCAAGCTCTTAAGCGAACCACTAGTAATGGGCGACAAATCCAGAATTTTTGTAACGAGCTGAGTGACAATACGTCTCTTGTTTTCATAGCGATCCTTGAGAAGTCGAAGGGCTACCACATAGTTTTCAGGAGTAATATTAAGACTCTTAACCAAGTCTAAGGGCTCACCACTCAGGGCACTAAGCAAATACTGAAACTTATTCACTGGGGAGACAGAATTATTCGCATTGACAGAGGCTTCAAAAATATTATAGAAACTAACCCACTCTTCATAGAGTTACCACTAAATTTAGGCAACTCAAATTTAGGCAGGCGCAGAGAAGCTGGAGGTGGAGTAGGTGTTACAACAGGTTCAACTGGCAAAAGAACTTTAATGTCACTTATAAGGGCTACATACAAGTCAGAAAGTTCATCATGCATTGAAAATGATTCCTCCTCATCACAATCAGAAGCAGGGTCATCAGTCACAACTCTATTAAATAAAGTTTTAAAGTCAGTAAATAGATCTCTGACCTCCTCATTATAATTGTGTAAACGCTGTATATTAGCAGGAGTCAATTCTTGACCTTCAGTTCGAGGAAGTTGGTTTGACAAATATTTATTTATTTTCTGAAACCTGTTTTTAACAAGTTTTGCTTTTCTTTGTAGGGTAGTGAATCTCATCATGAACAAACAAATTAAATAACACACAACAAGAATAGATGAGTTTTCATAAAATAGCCCAAAATCTTAAATTAATAATGATCTCATAAATCTAGGCCTACTGAAGTGCATAAATCAATTTGCAATTCAACTTCAATAGTAAAGTGAAGTCAATTATCTATTTGTTATTATCACCAATAATCTCTGTTGACAATAATATTTACAATAATGAATAAAGAGAGCATAGCAATAACAATAATTACCAGTTTTCTCCAGTTCAGGACCCTTTTCAATTAGTATTTGATTAAATAAATAATGTCTTCATTTTTCAACAACATAAACAAACTTGCAGGTTATGTTGATATGTTTCAATTCAATATCGGGTTATATTTAAACAAACAGCTGATGTAGATGAACAGAGTTTTGATGAGTTGAGTTTTCAGTTTAATAGCAGACAGGTGATTGGTTCGTCCTCAGTTCCACCGTTTCACTAATCTTGCAGGTTATTGGTTGCCATGTAGCGCAGAGCGATCTGTTGGCGAAGTTGAGAACTACCAACTACCAAGGTGTATCGCAAAGGACAGAACGTTGTTGCAAAATGGCGGACAATGGGATAGAATATTTCAGGGAAATAACTACTAACTAACTTTGCAGTTTTATTTATAAACCCAAATAATAAGACTGAATTGATTGTGAGACCTTATTATTTAAAAGGATTTTATGGATGAGATGTGAATAAATATTCAATCCTACAAATTTTCTACGCTTGATTTATTTCAAGACAAACTAGGTAGGCCTAACTTGACGTGATTTAGGTGGCAGTGACAAAATTGAACATGAAAATAATTGTCTGGTATGAAACAGGAATGGACATTAAAATTGTTCGTAATAATGTTTCAGAAGACAAAATATTACCAGTTAGGGATGTGACACTGTTCATAAACATTCATTTGAGAAATAAATTATTGTACTGTAGCAATTATATTTTAATTGGCAAATGTAGTCCGGGTCGACAGGACCAGCGAATGGGGGGTAAACTTCGATATGGTGGACTGTATAAAAAATGAGGGATGTGAGATATATTATGTTAAGATCAGCTTTAGAGACACACTGTGAGCACAAAATAATAAACTTTTAAATAGGAAGAAATGTGATTTGGTACCTTCCTTTTTACTGAAGTGATGTCTAGTAGACCGTTGACGCACTTGATGTTTGCTGGCCAGCTTTCGCGTACGCGACCGGTAGTTGCACCAAGAACAGTTTGAATACAGTTTTTAACTATTCAGTTCACTTTTTTTGTTAGGTGTGTCACAAATAAATACATAAGATAAACATACGATAATATAAGTTCAATTTATATGCCACAAATAGAGTAGGGGAATATTATAATACAAAACTAGGGAAAATCGCGAGAACATGATGCCGGGTTGAAGAGTACATGAGGAATGGGGGAAATTGCCAGACATCACGTGACAGGGCAAGGGTCAGAACAAAATATGAATGAAGTCTGGATTCACCTGGTTGCGTAGATGCTTGAATACGGAACAACACTCTCTACGCAGGATCTAGAAGAAATAAGGAAAATCTTGAGCTTACGCATGATTGTTATGGGTAACTGTTTCATGATTTGATTATTGTTGTGTGTTAAATCTTACTCATAATAAAACTTTTTTAGGAGCCTATAATGGAAGGATGCCCTCTTAAAAGTAAGTAATTATTGCTATTGTATAGTGTTTGTTAAAATAATGTCATGAAATAATAAGGAAAATTACTGGTAAATTGGTAGGACATACAGGGTGTATATAAAGTCCCGCACGGGCTTAATATTTTCTAAACGACAACAGATAAATCAATAAGATTTGGTACATCAACCACACCTAAAAATCTACTTTTTCAAGGAACTATCAATTTTCTGACATATAATGGGGACGTCCCGCAAGGAGTCAGAAGGAAGTCCTAAATAGAAGCATAGGTTGGCATGTACATCAAATTAAAGGTCTTTACTAGCAGAACATAATGCCACAAATTTGAACTCAAACGGACAACCGAGCCAATAATGACAGTTGTTGAACGATTAATTTAATTTGAATTGCTATTATACGCTTACTATACTCCTCAGGGGGCACAGCCCTAGGAATCGGAAAACAATTGTTAACGTAGGCATAGGTCGATATGCACATCAAATTAAAGGTCTTCACTAGTAGATTACAATGCCGTAAATTCAAGCTCAAAAGAACGCCTGAGTAAAAAATGGCAGTCGTTCAAAGATTCAAAATGGCGGATTCAAGAAATCTTTGAACGGACGCCATTTTGCGCAGGATCAACCTTTTGAAGTGCGGTTTGCGGCATTGTATGCTACTGAAGAAGACCTTTCATTTGATGTGCATATTGACCTATGCTCCTATTTAAGATTTCCTTCTGACTCCTTGAGGAACGTCCCCATGATATGACAGGAAATTCATAGTTCCTTGAAAAAGTAGATTTTTAGGTGTGGTGTTGATGTACCAAATCTTATTGATTTATCTGTTGTCGTTTAGAAAATATTAAGCCCGTGCGGGACTTTATATACACCCTGTATAGTTTAAGATATAAATGTAATTCAAGAGAAAAAAATTCAGTCTTAAGATAGATGGATCTTGGAAAAGGCCATTAAGATAGATATGACGTATTATTTTAACATAAAAATAAAATTTCTACCACTATGTAATTTATTTTTTTATCCAATTACATTGTGAAAATCACACCATGTCGGCCTATTAGAGTTTTCATAAACACCATGTACAGGAAATTACGTGTTCGTCGCCTCTTTGAATGCATCGTGTTTTAAACACTGATATTATCTTAGTTTGTGTAGTTAAAATGTGCTATATGAAGTTTGTCGACGGAAACGAGAAACCTTTCTAAATTTGTAAAAGAATATAATTTCACTATGTTGGATAATTTATTTCCAAACACCAAGCTACGCACAAATGAGTGTACGCATGGCATAATTGACTCTGTACTTTCAATTGAATTGTGTTTCATTCTGTTTATACTAGTTTCCCCGTGCTTTAACCGAAATAAAGACTTCGAAGACAATAGTTCCGGTGCTGTCATCTACTGTAGACAATAGTAAATTTCCACCGTTGATTTTGGAGGAGCAAATTAAATTGTGCGCCCTAGTTAAATTAAAATCTCTTTACTTTAATGTTGGTAAGGGGTTTAAACTTATTTATTCATGCACTTTTGAAAATACTGTAACTATAAAATTTAATTTAAAAAACACCGCATGCTTCTTTAAAAGATAATCGACCTAAAGTTCTTTATTAAAAAAGACCTAGGCCTACATGCATTTTGGAGTCAATCAATATAGATATTTTTTTCGATACACTTCTGTGAAATTACCCTTTTTTTCGTTAGGCTACATGTTTATCCTCTGTGAAAATTCATTATTACATTGTTTACTATGGAAAATGAATGATTACTACGCAAATACCAACTATCATTTAACACTAGTTTTTGTTACTGTTTTTATTATCTTTTTTGTATTTTGCAACGCAAACAAACAAATAGTTGTTAATGTTTTTGTCAACTGTTTCTATTTGCAAAAACCAAAACTAATCAGTATCACAGGTCAATTTTAAATCTAGTTCACGTAAATGAGATGCCTTGTTAAAGTATCCATAATCAATAAAATTATGGTTCACATAAATGAGAAATATAGTGGCAGCGACCAAAGTCAATGGTATATTTGGTTAGGCTAACAAAAATAGAATGGCCGTTTTAAAATTCAACCGACAGTGCTTGTAAATGAAACTTGCAGTAACTAAAGTCAATGGTATATGAAGATATTACGTTATTAAGTCCAGATTACCACGTGCATTTCAACCTTTGAGGCAGTATTGTGTGACCGAGTCGTCTGATGGCACTTAGATAATTATGTACTTCACTGCCTCCTGGACTTACACCCTGCGCATTCTGTAGGTCGCAGGGCAAACTACAAAGACATCAAAATTGCACAGAGGTCACTTTGTAATCCATTGGCGAATGGACTTAGATCATTTGGAGTGAAAATGCAAAAAATACAAAAATTGCAGATAGTTTTGAAATGAATATCTTCATATTTGTTTGACCTAAATCTTAAAAAAATATCTCGAGCCAGCAAAACCTCATTTTCGGCCCTAAGTACGAAATTTACTATTGTGATTCTCAACCAATCTATTAAGCATGCGAAAGCACTTCCCCAACAGATTAGACTGTACTTTGATTTAGAGTAAATTAAGGCAAAATATAGGGTTCTTAAAAGAAAAGTATTGCAACAGTTTCGTAAAAAAAAGTTCTCATTGATCACGTAAACTCACGTTCTCACTGATGGTTGTGTTATGGAGGGTGTTGATAAGTATATTTTAGTTTAGTTTTTCGTATAATGTGACGCCTATATATTCGAAACTAGCCACCTTTTCAATAGTTAGGCAATCGCATATAGTGGTGTGATACAGATAAACGTATAGTCTTTATATAAACGTGTAAGTAAGCGTAACAATAGAAAATTAAATTGCATTACACAATATTTTTACAAATGCATTGGCACCTCATATAATTCGTACTAGGTAACCTAGTTTAAATAAAGATATTTTTTTTACCAAGAAGTTCGATTGAATTTTTGTCCAAAACCAAAAATGGATTTGTATCTATTTACTACAACAGATTTAAAGAACAAACTTTTCTCTTCTGCACCCTCTCCGTTGCGAAGCACGGGTACAGCAGCTTGTAATAAATAAAACAATATTTATTTTTAAAAAGTTGTTACTGCATCTTAGTGTCATTAAAAAGAAAGCATATCAATTTCCTGAATCAACACAGAGTATTTCCTCCATAAGAGTCATACTGTTTCAGAGGAAAATATATATATTGGAGAAACAAAACTGGTGGAGGTACAGAAAGAACTAGTCGCCAGATATATCAGCGAAGACGGACACTATAACCTCAATTGCTATAAAAGTGGAAACACGGAACATATATTGGACATAAGAATCATAGAACAAGTAATAATGTCCATCAAAGGCTTGGATTGTTCTGAAGATGTAAACTCAGTGTTGTATTTCGCATCCAGCGATGCGACGAGTTATACTATAGGAGCATCCTTACGAGAGTCCTATCAAAACGGCAGACTTTGGAAACTGGAAACCCCTTGGTGCCTCTACAACGTCAGGTTTTACTCGTGGTCTCCAGTTACCACAATCGAACCAAGAGTTTATAAGAAATATCTGGCAAATATTAAATGGATTAAGGTAAATAAATATTTTTTTAATGTTTTTCCTATCAGAAAGATTAATAAAATTATTTAGATTTAGTTTGGTGTTGCTGTTAGCTTACATTCTGATTCTTATAAAGTTGATAACTCTTGGAGGTTGAAATGTTACTTGCTAAACTATGATGACACACAGTAGGCCCTACCTAAGCAGTAGTTTTACAATCATATCTACATAACAGGGGAAATAGTTTTAAGAGCGGGGCAAAGCCGGAAAACAACTACCCCGGAATGATAGAACATGCTACGTGGTAAACTATACTTTTTCACTATGTTGCAAATTATCACGCACAACTTCTTGGTTTCAAATAATAAATCATTCCATACTCTAAACTGTAATTCCATAATCGTTCAATAATTGTAGTAATTATACTGAAGTATGTCATTTAATCTAAAAGTCAGCAATTTGAACAGTATTTCTCGTAATGAAAAAGGGAACATCTATATATATAATACGCTAAGCCTATTTTTGTAAACATAACTCCTCCCTCATTTTTAGACCGATTTTGATAATTAAAGTGTCAAAAGAATGGCCCTGATCTGTTGTTATGCAAAGTGTTTTTATTTTTTGGAAATCTTTATTAGTTCGGGCTGGATCTTCCATCAAAGTTGGGTTTTCTCCCATAAGATTAACATGGGGGAATCTATATATATAATACGCTAAGCCGATTTTTGTAAACATAACTGCTCCCTCATTTTTAGACCGATTTTGATAATTAAAGTGGCATAAGAATGGCCCTGATCTGTAGTTATGCAGTTTTTTTTTGTTTTTTTTTTTTAATCTTTGTTAGTTCGGGCTGGATCTTCCATCAAAGTTGGGTTTTCTCCCATAAGATTAACATAGGGGAATCTAAATATTTAATTGGAAACTTTGTCTCCACTAATTTAAGAGAACGACTGGGCGTAGAAACTTAGTAGAGGTGTCCAAAGAAATGTCTTGGTCTGTAGATGAGTTATCAAAAGAAAAACGAAGTAAGTTCCCTTAGGGCTCTGCCCCAGAAGCCTTTGAAAGATACCTCCACAGATTTGTTTACATTTTGGCCATGGTGGTGGTAATACTTTTTAATTAAACAGCTGTTCATTTTTAAATAGTATTTTAAACAACACACATTTATTGAGAGTTACTGAATTGTCCAAAGAAAGTATTTGCAATGTTATTTTCTTGAACTCTTAGAGAGCCTTTGAATGTTATTAGGCTAACGAAAAAGCGTTGTGCATGTTTACTAGCGCTACTCAGCAACAAAAATAATTTAATTTATCTCTAAAAAACATATTCTTAAAGTGGACTGAGCAGCAGTCTAAAAAATACTATGTAACTTTCTCATATAGTTACAAAATGCTCAAACTCGCATTGTGACATTAATTTATGAATCGGTTTATATTTCTCCAACAGTTATTCATCTGCAGAAGAAGTTCAGTGTGCTCTTATCGTGTCTAATAACATCCAAACACAAAAACCTTGCCTAAAATGGTACCTATCTTGACACATTATTTGTAGTGGCCTATATTACGGACCGTGTTCCACTGGGTTGGTAACATCATTGAAAGTAACACGATATTTTGGCTGGAAGAGTAAATACTATTTAAGCAGCTACTGTCATGACAGAAAGGTCATATTTCTTTTAAACTAGATCACATTATCCTTAATAAGTTGATTAACAATGCATATAAACGTCAATATTTACGTAACAGCCAATTTACATTATGTTTTTCTCTTTAGAAATGCCATATTGCTATTTGATTTGCATTATTTGTTGCCAATGAAGCCACACGACCATATAAACGAGGAGGCCCCCAACCGTCGATTTCGACGGGTTTCACCTAGTATACATTAATGCTTCTGTTGAACTAAACGGGAACTTTCGTTGTTTCAGAAATGAAAGATTTTTTGCAAAATCGTTATGTTTTCATGGATTAGAAATCAAAGATTAAAAAAAAGCTAGCTTTACAGAAATGATCTACTATCGTATACAGCTTCTACAAATCTATTTCGGTAAAAATTACTTGATCGAAAAATAGACTTAAATTCTCCTTTTAGTGTATTTAGCGAGTTGACGAAACATGCGATTTATACAAGTTCAATCGTTTGGTTCGTTTATTTAGGCTCATGTATGCAATCGTAATATTACCGTTCTGCAAAATTGGAACTGTTAGTACGGTATAAACTTAAGTGTATAAAACTTAAGTGTGGTGTTAGGTTTAAGAACTGAAATCCCGTGATTAAGTACATGTTCTTGGTACAGTACCAGTAGATATCAAGCAAACTTTGAGGTGATAACGTTCATTTCCTACAGTGTGCTTCGCAAATGTAGATTCATAATATACTGAATGTTAATGCAGTCTGGGGCTTTTTAAGACTACTGCGTGAAAGGAAAGATTTTACAAAATGCACTGGAATTGTATATAAATTTACACACATATATATATGTGTATATATATGAGCTGTAGAAATACCGCACGAATTTTAAATATAAAGCCTATCCTCCACTTCTGCAATGGACCAGTCTAACAGCGGCTGATCATGAGACTCACTTGTACTTAATAGCCTAACTGCATTCAGTCAACGGCAAGGTAGCCCTGGTAGCCCCGGGTAGCCCACCTAAAGTTGATAACATAACTGTATTTCAACTTATTATTACGCCGCATTCTATCGTAGCCCAGAAATGGATAGGCTATAAAATAACCTTCAAAACATACGTACCAAGTTTCCTCTACGCCTACATGTCAAGAAACGTTTGAGGAGGTATATTTCTTTTATTGTTTTTGCTCAACTCTTAATCATTGGGCTATAAAATGAATATAATTACTGCTAGTCAACCCGATCAATAAAGGTATTTATTTATATAGTCTGTTTGTATATTACATCCTTTATGTTAATACCTTGTAATATAAAAATATTGTTTCAGGCGCCATTAAATTTTGCTTTGCTGGTGAAACGTAAGTATCAAACTAATAACCAGACAGATTGCGCGCTGTAAAATTACACCTACACCTTTACTACGGTATCATTAGTTCTTTAATGATATCTTTGGTACTGTTTTACGAAATAAAGATATTAAAATCTAATAGAGTAAATATAAAATGTTGGTACCAAATACGAGTATTTCACCAAGATTTTCTACACTCGTATGGGTAATGACCTGTTGATAAGAGTAATTGTTCAAAACTCGTAAGTGTAAAGTTAAATATTGCATTGTAATGGTAGCTTGACAAACTTTACTCTGATGAGAAAATATTACATTTCATCACAAAGGCTTAAAGTGACTCTTTCGACCCGAACTCAAGTTTAAGGAAAATGAGCGGGGTGAAAAGACACTTTTTGGCCCGTGTGATGAACTATATATCGTCATATTACACCATAACTCAGAAGTAGGCTAAACTTCGACTGTAAGATATGGCATGTATTGAAAGTGCGTACCGAATGTTTTAATCAGCTGTAGCTTATTGCTGCGTTATTGTCAATAGTTCAACATAGCGATAGAGTACACCACAATCGTAATGTAGGAAAATTATTTTATCACTTACTAAACAGATACTTGTTTGCACTAACAAAATTGAAATAAGTTGAAAAGTCGTTTTAGAGGTTACCTTTACATGCAAAGCATTTCCGTTTCATAACTTGATTTATCTAATAGTTTTGCAATATGACGATGCATATCAGACGGTAGAAACTTGAGCTCGGGTCGAAAAGAGTCACTTTACACCTGAGAGATAAAATATACTATTTCAGATCCTTGGAGAGTTGCCTAATCATTTCAAATCACATCAAACCCCATGCCTATTATAATATTGACCACCGTTTACATAATGATTTCTTACTTACTTACTTACTCACTTACTTACTATCCTTTTATTAGTCATATAATGTACTTACTGAAAATGTAGTAGGCCTAACTATCGAAAAAAGAGTTAAATTGTATTTTTTTTCAGGGGAAGATGTAATTTTAGAAGAAGATAAAATAACTGTTCAAGAGAGTGATCTTAAAGTCACATACCTAAGTCAATTTACTAACTCCAGATTGCGAGACCATTACACAGTGTCGTGTTACAAAAATGAGAATTCAGAATATATATCTGTCATCAAACAACTTGGATCCTTCAAACTAGCTGTTAAAGGAGTGGACTGCTCGTCCCTTTCAAGCTTGCAGTTAGGTTTCTTCTTATCACATCAACAGGAAAAAATGACTATAGGGTTCAAACGGCCGGAATTCCCTGAGAATACTCTCTGGTGTCTGTATGACGTAAACATTAGCCCTACTAAAACTAAAGCAGTCGTTCCCTCTAGTACCAAGCTCGATGAAATACAAAGGCTGATCTGGTTCAATGTAAGTATTGCAAAAATATATTGTGTACCTTTAATGACGAGTCCTTGTTGTATATTACGTTTGTATGTGTTATTTTCTCTAACAGTTTATTTTATTTCATGGAAATTACATATAATAAGCCTATTTTAGTGTTAAATAAACGGTTTATAAGTTTTAGCGATCATTAATTATTCGTAAAAGCAAAGAAGTAAATATTCATTTACGTTTATATTAATTAATAGGTTTAATTTTTCCTTGAACTACTACCAGTATTGGTTCAGCGGTTTGGAGTGTTGGTCAGAGTGGTAAGAAGTAGAAGAGAGGTATAGATAGGGCTAGACATAAGTGTTGAAGTAGTGACCGAACTTATCAGCTGTACTAGTATTTCAAACAGCGTTTTCGGATAGGATTCACGACAAAAAAATGAGTCATTTTGTAACGGGTCAAATGTGTAGGGGGTAAAATAACGGCGAAACCACGAAACTTAAACAGCTGAATGTAAGCTGTTGTTGTGCCCTAGTCGCGACGCTAAACTGACATCGCACCTAACCTCCAATTCCAAGACAGCAGACGACGTTGACCAACTTTTGGGATACCTCGGAATGTGATTGTGACGTCACTTAACTATCGAATAACCGTGGAACTATCGATTGCTACAGCTACACTCTGGCGACTCTTTGATTCGACTCTTGAGTCTTGACACTTGAGTCTTGATTCCTTGATTAAACTACACCATCCCACCCGAATTTTGACTTGGACTTGACGTTATTTTCATTTACTTATTAGAGAGGCAGATGTTAGGAATTTAGTTATTTAAAATAATTAAAAAATTGGGTTTCCTGTGTCCTTTCTGGTTTTTTACTGTTTAGTTCCTACAAAACACCAACGTTTACCAAACAAATATTAAATTATTTCCTAAGGAAATAACTTAAAGAATATTGAGATTTATTTGATGATGATTAAATTGTAGGCTAGACCTATTTGTATTGCAGTTTATAGCTATGGATTCTGACTGCGATAGGCTGAATTCGTTTTTAATTGTAACTAAATTAGCTAATTAATTGTAATTAAAATGGGAGTTGCAAATTTTGTCACTATAGGCCTAGGCCTTGGATATGACAGAGGTACGGTACCTAGTGGCCAAAAGGAATAAGCCCTTAATTCAGTTATAGTGTTTTTGTTGTAATATGATTCTACACTGTATTTACAAATGTTATATTTTTGATAACTTTGTGTCAGTAAAGCTTCTTTTATTTCAGGCAATTAGATTAGGAAAGAACTCAAGCCCTATTTCACTTTAGGCCTATTTGGGAACCAAATACATAGTCCAACTTACCCAAAAATGGGATTTAATTACAGATTAAAACTACCAGGAGACAATCAAATGTAAGCTAGGACTTAACTTATTATTAATACCCCCGCCACAGCAAACGTGCAGACTAAGCGAATTTTAATTTGCCTGATTTGATGTTTAATTAAATCCTTTTAGGTAGGTACGGTAGAACCTCTAAAGTTCGACACTTTTGAGTAAATGGAGTTTAATATACAGGAAATTAAAACGCAAGTTTTAGGCCTTTTGGCCTAAATCACCCAAATTTGTTGAATTTAAAATTAAACAGCATAACAGCCAATTCATTTCAATCCAATTATTTGTTGACAACACAACTTACGACTACGATACGATTACGAACTAAAACCGCAAACCGCCCATCCGGTTGTTGGTCGATACTTGAACTACTATGACGTCACGATCACATTCTGAGGTATCCCAAAAGTTGCTCACCGACGACGTTGGTGTCAGTTTGGTCACAGACAATTTTGGTTGTTTGGTTGTTCGACTGCGTCTGAGGGCGGGCTACGGGAGAGAATAAGAGCAGCTGATCCACCTTGTGAGCGAGGCAGCTATAAAGCATGTTAAAGCTGTCATACGCCTGCCTTTGCTGACACGGGACTCAGCTGACTCTGTTTGTGCTGACCAATCAGGAAGCGTTTTAACTTTCGTCTCGATTCTGAGACGAAGGTGAAGGAAGAAGAAGAATTGTGGAGGAGAATTGTCATTCATTCGTAATCCCGGCTTTTCGTAAGTTTGTTTCGCTTTTGGTTCGTTCTCGAAAATTCGTGCAAGTTAAAGTTCGTATCGCAAGCTCTGAAAGCTTAAGTCCATTGTTTTGTAGTGAATATTTTGATATAATTTCGTCATCGGGTAAGTTTTGTAACTAACTTACAGATTATTGTATATTACTTTACCAGTTTTCGTGTACGAAACTTGGTTGAACTTGAAGGCTAGGCCTGATTCGCAGACCTAGTCATACGCTTTAACCAACTCATTTAATTAAAGTATCGGAGTTGGTGGCAGAACATTTCGATTAACGTTTCATAATCCATATTTGGGACTTATTTTTTAATTCTTAAAACCCTTTGTAAAGTTCCCAAACGTCCCAAAGTTTGTCCCAGCAGACAGGTTTCTACTGGACAATTTCTGTCGAAGTTGGTTTAAGTTGAACACGTGAGGAAGTTAAAGTTTTAGTTTTTCGTTATCAGCTCCAGGAGCAGTTTTATTTTTAGTTTCAGTTTTTCCCTCGTTTCGTGTCTCACTTGTGCAATTTAAGCCAACTTGTTTTCTTGTTTTAGTAAATTTGGACTCTGTGGGAGTTAGGCTAGGTTAGGCCTATCTTGTACTAACCTTGTTTGTTACAGGTTGACGATTTAACTCCGTAGGTAAGCGGAGTGACTATTTAGCTTACTTGTTGATTCGTTGAGTTAGCTATTAGTGTGTCATTTAGATATTTGCCCACAGAGTCAAGTCAAAATTATTTATTTCCCCACAAGCCCTAGGCTAGAGTGGTGATTTCGAGTAGGGTGTTTAGTAACCCGCAACGTTCGTCTAGAGCTCTGACAACCAGGGCTATCAAATTTAGGCTATCCGAATCACTATCGACTCCTGGGAAACTCCCCGCGACCAGACTAGGGCGAATCCTGGGATCTTCGTTTTATTACCGGTGGCGTAATTTCCCACTTGTCGTCCGCCAGGAAAATTACGTTACAATTTTTAAAATCATTATTATATAGGCTGCAATCCTACTAGAAATAAAACTACAGATAAAATATAAAACTATTTATCGATAAAACAAATTCACGAACTTAACAAGAAATGAGTCAAACTGACACCTGAAGACGACATTCATAGTACAGTATTATATTACCAGCTAATGAAAAATTTTTTTCCAGCCAACTGAGCCTACCCAAAAAAGAGAGAACAAGAACTCAGAAGATGACGAGGTTAAAGCAAGTAAGTGTAATTTACAATGCTTGTCATTTGCTTCGCAATTGTAATAAAAGCACCCCTTTTTTGGACTTTTTAGTAAATTTCCCTATAAGGAAGTAGCTATTACCGTAGGTCTCATGGTACCAAGGCCCGGGGCCTATTTACTTTTTCATTTTGATGTCCCCAGAGCCAAAATCGCTATTCGTTCAAATTTGTATCTGTGGCGTCATTTCACCAAATCCTTGGGGAGGGGGCAAACACTGGGGAGTATGGAATACCCCGCAGCAATCGGTGGGGGGGTGTCCGGGGGTCCTCTTCCGGAAAAATTTTGCAGTTTTGAAACAAAAAAAGAGAGGTTTAAGCTTATTTTAATTGTCAAAAGCACACAAATGCAAATTGTAAGCAACAACGTTCAATCAAAGAAAACCCAAATAAATAACAATATAACAGTAAGCTGTTTAATTATTAACTCATGTTTCGTATGTTTAGATTATGCATACTGGTAAACCAATGATTACCATCTATAAAAAATGTTGGTTTTTCTTTTCTGAGTCGGGTTAAAGGTCTTCTACCCGACCGATTCTCAAAAGGTATGGACGCACCACAGATTTGCCATCAGTCATCGGCATTCATTTTAACGTGTATTTCGAGTTATGCACAAACTGCCTCCCTGTACATTTTTTATGGGAGTTACATTTTTTTTTTCGAGTTAGTTTGGCTCTTCTACCCTACCGATTTTTATAATGTTGTTCTTAAAATAAAGCTATGCAAGCACATATTGGTCATCAAGTATCATTATTAATTGATATAATGTATTACTCGACAAAAATATAAATTTAATTATTATTACTTCAATTAAAGATGTATTTCAGCAGTTCTAATTACATTACCCTTATATGTTTTGGATTATAAACCTTTAGTGAAATACCAGCTTTCATTTGAGCTACTGATTATTAAGATCAGACTACCTAAAGCAAACTGCTGAATCATAAATCAAGAATAATTATAATCGTTTTAGTACTTATCTGCAATCAATGATACGTAACTCTATTTTTATTTAAGTTATTTTATATGGCTTGGTCTTAAAATACTTCTAGAAATAAAGGTTTTCATTTGAGATATTGATAGTTTCAATCAGTTAAGTACAAGATACTGCATCGCTAAATCAGAAAAAATTAATTTGATTACATCTTGGATATGGAATTTAGTTTTAGATATATTTACTCAATTCGTAAATTAGCTATCCTATTTGCCGTTCTGGAAAAGATTATCCAAAAGCAGGTTCTTTTGACTTAAGAACCTTTAGTGAAATACCAGCTTCCATTTGAATTATTGCTTATTTAAGATCGGACGTACCTAAGCACACTGCTAAATCACGAAAAACCCAAGTTAAAAAATTGAGTTATTTAACATCGATTTATAGTCAACGATCTTGCCTGCAACCTCAACAGTAACTGTCGATTTTGACGGGTTTCGCCTAGTAAATCTTAAAAAAAAATCAAACTTTCATAATTATTTGCAAATCTACACTAATTAGGCTTTCCAATTGCCTATTATTATTAATATTGTTTCAGTAGAACTGTAGATTTAATTGTACAAAGTTTAACAACAACAATTTTAATTCAGTATTTTCTCACCACTACAAATAGGGAGATTGCTTGACGTTTTTGCAAATAACTTTGAAATGGTGAGGAAATAGACCAAAGTGGAAGGTGATATTCTGATAGAGAATAAAGTTTCCTACAAATTACTATCATGTATTTCATGAAAATACTCAATGAAGGCATCATAAAGTTGGCTACAAACATAAACTTCGAAAAATAAACTTGGAGAAAAAAGGCGTTTTAAATGTAATATTGTTTATTACTATTTTTTACCTCAAATATGTAATAAAATCTACACAAATTAAGCTTTCCAACAACCGATTAAGTAAGAAAATCGGTCCGGTAGAAGTCTAGATTTAGTTGTACAAAGTTTAACCAAAGTTTAAGTTTAGTTATATATAGAAAAATATATCTAATTCAGTATTTTCGCACCACTATAAATTTGGAGGTCACTTAGCTTATTGCCAATAACTTTTAAATGGAGGGGAAATCGACCAAAGTGGATGTGATATTTTGAAAGAGAATAAAACTTACTACAAATATCTGTTATGCATTTCTTTAAAATACTAAATAAATGCAGACAAAAGCTGGCTACAAATAGAAACTTGATACAGAAACTTGGGAAAAACAGTTTTTAATGTATTTTGTTATTTTTACTTTTTTTTTACATTAAATATTTAATAAAATCACACTTTCATAATTATTTACAAATCTACATACATTAGGCTTTCAAATGACCCATCAATTAACAAAATCGGTCTATAAGTCTAGATTATAAGAATAAGAATAAGAATAAGAATCCATTTATTGTCATTTGTCAATTTACATTGCTATAGACAACGTCAAAGAAATACATTAAAGTGCAGTATAAAAGGAGATGAGTACAATGTACTTGTCAGGATAACAGATAAAACATCACAATTAACAATTAGCAACAAATCAATATAAACTATGAAAATTAACAATAAATAAATTACAACTATTCACCAAAGCATCACTGGATCAAAGCTCAATAATATTAAGTTAAAATCTATATGCTAAAAACTCATCAAGAGAATAAAACGCTTTATTTATAAACCAGCTTGACAGTTTTGATTTGAATGGTTGGATTTCAAAGTTTCTGATCTCTGGTGGCAATTTATTGAAGCACTTGATTTGTAGATATTTATGGCTGACTATTGTTTTCCGCAATCTAAAAGAGGGTGGGACAATATCTTGTGCTCTTCTAGTGTTATAATTATGAACTTTCTCAAAACATACATAATCACTCTGGTTTTCCTTTACATATACAAGATTTTGAAATATGAAAATGCAAGGGACAGTCATTATATTGTAATCAATAAAACATTGCTTACAGTCATCTTGATAAGGTAGATTGGCTATAATCCTTACTGCTTTTCTTTGCCAAGCAAAAACATGGATAGCACCTCTACTATTTCCCCAGAGCATTGTGGCATACAGCAAATGGGAATGAAAATCACTAAAATAAGTATTTAATAACATATTTCTACCAACACATTGTTGTAGCTTACGTAGCAAAAAACAAGCCCTTGAAAGTTTTGAAACTACTGAGTTGGTGTGAGATTCCCATGTAAGCTTCTGATCTAAAGTGACCCCTAGTAATCTAACAGGCTTACAATCTTCATCTGAGTCTAATTTTTTCAAAGTAAAACAGATTGTTTCAGTCTTGTTGGCATTGACTGTAAGGTGGTTAGCATTAAACCAAGAACTGGCTAATTCCATTACTCTGTCACTGTGTGCTTTTACATTTTTTAACACTTTATCGGTAACTACAAAAGAAGTGTCATCCGCATATAGAATGGTTTTACAAGGAATATTGCTAGGCAGATCGTTTATATAGATAAGAAATAAAAGTGGACCCAGAACTGACCCCTGTGGAACCCCTGCAAGGACCTCCTGAAAAGAGGACTCAATGCCTGCCGATGAAACCTTGTGCAATCTACCACAGAGATAAGTTTTAAAGAATTGCATCTGCTTATCATCTATACCATAAAATGTTAGTTTGTTTAGAAGGGCTTCATGTGATATACTATCAAAGGCCTTGCTGAGGTCTACAAGAGTCATATTAACATAATCACAATTTTCAAAGCTATTAATAATACCAGTTACAACTTCATTTAATGCCTTAGTTGTAGAACGTCCAGGTCGAAAACCAAATTGGCTACTACTTAAAACATTATGTTGATCCAGAAATTCTAAGAGTTGGTTCTTAACACATGATTCTATTATTTTTGAAAATACAGATACGATACATATTGTTCTATAGTTATCAATACATGACCTGTCACCCTTTTTGAAAAGCGGTATACTCTTGGACATTTTTAAACAATTAGGAAACAAGGAGCAATAAAAGGAAAGATTGATCAAATATGTCAAAGGTGATACAATATTAGCTGCAATATGTTTGATAACTCTGTTACTAAAACCAAAAATATCTTCACTCTTAGATGGTTTCAGAAATCTCATTATTTTAAGCACATCAAGCTCACTAACATAATGCAACTTAAATTTATCAGGAGGCTGGTCTACATTGTTTAGAAAGGTGAAATAACTCAAATTACCTTTATTAGTTAATTTAGTACTATCAAGCACCTTTTTCCCAATACTTAAATAGTAATCATTAAATTCATTAGCTGAAATAGGTGGAATTGGATTTTCCCGCTGATAGTAGTTACCAGCTTCTGATTTAATTACTTGCCATGCAGCTGAACACTTATTCTTAGAACTTTTTATTCTGCTTTCATTGTGCATGATTTTGGCTTCCTTTATTTTAGACCTGTACAATTTCTTTTTTTCTTTGTAGTAGTTCTTCAGTGTCATGTTATTTTTATAATTTGGTATCTTTAATAGATCCTGCAACAAAATTACTGTTTTTCTCATTCTTCTTAAGCTATGGTCAAACCATGAAGAATTATGTCTAATTGGTTTTCTTTGTTGAACTTTTTTACTCTTTGTTGGACAACAGCTATTATACACGGTTGATAGTTTAGTTACAAAGTATTCAAATGCAAAATTAACATCCTCAATACCATACAACAAGTCCCAATTTAATATGGAGGTTGCTTCAATAAACTCATGCAAAGTCTCATCATTTAGTTTCCTATATGAAATATTTACAGATTGGGAAACAAAGGTAGGCACATTAAATTCAAAGTAAATAATCGAGTGATCTGAGATCCTGTCCTTCCATATACATGTTTTATAAAGACTATCATCTAAATCAGTAACTATATTATCAATACAGGTTTTGTTTCTAGTTGGAAATTTATTTACACATTTGAGGTTAAATGACTTTAAATGGTTAACAAACATTACAGTGTCTTGGTCCACACTCTTTAAGATGTCAATATTAAAATCTCCCCCAAGTACAATTTTGCATTTAGGTTTTTTTCTTTGCACGTAGTACAGAAGATTGTCAAGATAATCCAGAAATGTTTTACAGTTAGAGTTGGGAGTTCTGTAAACAGATATGAACACCACATTAAATATATTTACATATATACAAACAGCTTCAAGGATACCAACTTCCGTTAAATGACCAATATTGATCACCTCAAAAGAAATGTCATCCCTAACAAGAATAGAGGCACCTCCATAAGCATTCTCTCTACAAAATGAAGAAGCCAATTTAAAACCTACTGGAACATATAAGGAGACTTCTAATCTGTGCAACCAGTGCTCGTTAATGAGGACAATATCACATTTAGCATCATCTAAAACAACAGCTAATTCATTCAATTTATTTCTTATAGACTGGGCATTTAAATGCAACACACGGACACCAGAATCAGTTGGTTTTGGTTTACTTATCTTTGGGATACCTGCTAAATTACATACAAGTCTGCTGTTTAAACTACAATTAAAATTAGTGCTTAAGCTATCAACCTCACAATGCATCAAGTTGTTAGATGGTGCACTACCAGTGGAGCGTTTCCCGATGTAGGTCCTTCTGATGACTGCTTAGGGCTTGATATGATGTCTATCAGTGCTGATTGCTCACTGATGGTGATATCCTCCGTTAGTTGTAGATTAGTTGTACAAAGTTTAAAAAAATTATCCCTAACTCAGTATTTACTCATTACTATAATTTCGGAGGTTGCTTAGCTTTTTTGCAAATAACTTTTGAATGGTGAGGAAATCGACCAAAGTGGAAGGTGATATTCTGAAAGAGAATAAAGTTTCCTACAAATTGATACCATACACTTCTTGGACATACTCAAAAAAGGCAGCCATAAGTCGCACACAAATAAAAAGTGTGAAAAACACCGTTTTTAATGAATTTCTTATGGAAAACATGTTTTTTTTTATTTTTCACCATAAATCATGACAAAAACTAACTTTCATAATTATTTGCAAATCTACACGACTAAAGCTTTCCAACGACCCATTAATTAATAAAATCGGTCCAGTAGAACTTAAGCTTTAGTTGTACAAAGATTTTTAAAACTGAATTATTACAGGGTGTTTTTTTTTTTTAAACTTGCATCTCTATTTATGTAAAAACCGCAATAGATAGAAATATGCAGTTTGCGGGAATCATATATTGACGTAGGGGGCCCAATTTTTTCGATCCAACGTTACATTCACATTCCCTTCCCTTTCCCCCCCTGCCCACAACTTATTTTTTTTAAATAGCAAGGCACCCCTTGTGACATATCAAATGAAAGAGCATGGAAAAAGAAAATGTTTGATGAAAAAAAATTGAAAATCGGATCATGCATTTGTGAGATAATCTCCCCCCCTTTTCCCCTACCCATAACCTTTTTTCACATATCAAATGAAAAATAAATGTCACCAAACATTTTATTTTTTTCATGCTCTTTCATTTGATATTTCACAAGGGGTACCTTGCTATTAAAAAAAATAAGTTGTGGGCAGGGGGGGGGGGAAGGGAAGGGAATGTGAATGTAACGTTTAATCGAAAAAATTGGGCCCCCTACGTCAATATATGATTCCCGCAAACTGCATATAAGTATGTGAGGGGGAATATCTCACAAATTTATGAACCGATTTTCAAGTTTTTTTCATCAAACATTTTCTTTTTTCATGCTGTTTCATTTGATATGTCACAAAGGATGCCTTGCTGTTAAAAAAAAAAAATTAAGTCGGGGGCAGGGGGGTAAAGGGGGGAAATGTTAATGTAACATTGAATTAAAAAAAAATTGGGCCCCCTACCTCAATAGATGATTCCCGCAAACTGTATATTTCTATCTATTGCGGTTTTTACATAAATAAAGATGCAAGTTTTTTAAAAAACACCCTGTATATAGAATAGATAATTTAAGTTATAAGTCAGCTGTTAAATGGCAAATGTAAATTCGCTTGGTCAGCAGGTTTGCTGCAGTGGGGGTATTTTTTACAATATACTGTATGCTAACTGTTTGGAATTAAATTTGAAAATAAAACACTTAGGCATCATAATATTAAATAATGAACCGTTATGTGAGAAAAATAAAAGCAATTGCATGACACTACAATTCGAAAGAAATTAAAAAAATTGTACTGATTGATAATTTCACTGCTGTATTATTTTTCAGGTGATTATATGGCGCTAGTAGACAACACCAGGGAGCTTGTGTTGGTAGCAAAGTACAAACCAGAGATGCACGCTACGGCAAATTCAGGACTGACACTACTTTGTATACGATCAAAGCAAAACAATTACTACTTCAGTTTGTTCGACAACGAAAATCATCTTTTGACACTAAATTACCATTGCTCCGACGTTGGAAATTCTTTATCGCCATCTAAAGGGTTAACGATAGCTGTAGACAAGGATGACAAAACGAATGGCAAAGAATTTGTCTTCGTACGAATAAATAATAATTGGTTCAGCGTCCATAAATTTAGCAAGGCAGTAATTCATCTAACTAGTTACAGCACTGGGAAAGACCTCACCTGGAAAAAGGTAAATGTACTGAAATGTTAAACCTGAAATTCCCTGTAATGGATTTAGCGGTTTTGAACATTAGAGTTTAACATTACCAAAATGAGTAATATGTTGTCATGATGTGTTGATTTAGTATTTTTTAAATATTATTAAACCATACTTAATATTATAAATAAATGTGAAAGTTAATGTGTTTGTTTGTTTGAAGTTCAATCACGCATTACTGGTTGGATTGAGCTGAAATCTGGGATGATGATAGCTTACGTTCCCGATTAACATATGGACATACTCTTATCTCAATGATCCTTTCCGGCTCCAACCCGGTGGTTCTGGAGATTCCCATATTAACCTTATGAGAGTATTTATATTTAAAAGGAATTAAAGTCACTTGCCAACAACATTCAAAATATGATTAAATACGACCATAATTTCTTATTTCATTGAAATCTTCAGTACCTTTGTCAGAACACTTTAGGGGACTTACCAGAAAAAACAAAGCAAGGTAAACGCAAAGTTCCACCCAAAGAGTGGATTACGAATATTCAATGAAAAATAAGAACGGTTATTTACAGTTAAAACTGCCAATGATCAGATAAATGTTCTTCAGACCAATTACTAATGTCACAAATATTCTTGTCTACTAGTGTAGTTATTAATCTAGTACCTGGGGACCGGGCCATGGCTCGGTGTACTTTATTTCGATTGTAAAAGCTATATAAAGGAAACTCATGTTTTATTTACAACTAATTTTAGCTTTTATTATTTACGTTTCAGTGGAATTTCAGTTTATTATGAGGGAAATTTCAACCTGGCAATCCTTATCATTTATTTTACAGTAGATGAAAGGTCGCTCGTTTATAATAGCCTTTACTTGCATAAGAATTGTTTTGACATTTTATTTAAATTAAAACAGCTGCTGATTACTTTGGGGATTAAGTTTTGAAAGGAGAGAACCAATTAAGTTGAATAATCAGTATTTGATCACAGCTTGGAACTTTTTTCACCTATATCGAGTTTTCTTCAGTGTAATCTTTGCTCAATAGTAACAACTGATGTTTTTCCTTTTGTGCTGTATTTTGTAATTTGCTAGTATACTGTGGGTGGTTGGGTTATTTTGAACACATGTTACAACTTTAAAGTCTTTTGATTACTTTTAACTTGTTATTTTGTTAAAACAACATGGTTACTTAGCAACATATAAGGCCAATGATAAAAAGTTAATTTAATTTTTTACGAAATTAGATTTTTGTTGGCAGTTTCAACTGTATTAAACACGTTTTTAGGCCACAAATTAATTATTTACAACATTTGAAGGAAATCGTCGAAGCCGTTTTCGAGATCTTTGTGCAAGTAAGCATACAAACATACATAAATACAAGCAAACATTGCAAATATAATATAATGATAATAATAAATAAATAAAATATAATATAGGATATTATTTGTATTTCAAAACATAGTACATCTCGAAAATCAGTAGCTTTTAGCACACATCCATAGTCAGTTAGTATGGCAAAGCTTATGGTTAAATTAATTTTGTTGTGTTTACAATTTTACTAATGATAGCGCTTTTTCAGGAGCATATAATGGAAGACTGTCTATTTAAAGGTAAGTGCTTTTTGAATCGTCATAATATATTTCACTGAGTTACGGATAAAAACAACACTGGTGATTTAGTGACATTAAAAACATAATATCACTTTCAATCAGTAGAAATAGAATGGAACAGTTCATTTTGATTTAAATTTTCTGTTGTGAAGTAGAAAAACGTGATAAAAATGGTTACGTAACATATTTTTTAGCTAAAAATTACAACTAGAGGACCTGAGCTCACGGAGTCGTGCGCTACGCTAGCAGGCGGGTAATCGGTATAAATCGACGGTGATCTCAGAACTTGTATATTAATTTAGGCCAAACATATTAATGCTTCCAAAAATCGTCTAAAGCTGGAAAGTGATTTAATACCTTTAAGGGGTCCCAAATAAGTGTCTTGTAAGTTAACGAAGAATTCGGACGTCTGCTTAAGTTTTTGGAGTCGTAAAACTATGAATATTTTGCTATTTTTCTCTTTATTTCCTATAACTATTAAACGAACCATGCTGAAATGGCTGTTCATCCTTCAACTACCTTAAGCGGATTAATTAATGAGTCGACTGGTATTAAATATGTCTAAATCGACTGTGCCGTTTAGGCGCAGTAGCTTTTTAAATTTGGTTATATTTACCAACGTGGCCAAAAATGTAATGCTCTGTTCAGTTTTTCGCTTGCAGCTCCTAATCGACGCATGCTACATGAACAAAATTCTGTGTAGAATGCGTTTCAATTCATTAAGACTGACTCATCCACTTAACCGCAATCAAATTGATTGTTAAAGTTGGATAATTTTACCTAGCCTACTTATAAAAAACGTAAGTTCTACCCTATAAATGGATTATATTAATTATTAGATTATTAGTTGGTGGCTTATTTCATGGTAATCATCCATAAGTTTATCCAAGAATGAGTGAAGAGAGCATGACCCCCTATGTAATTTTAGGTCTAATATTGTTGTCTGGGGTTCCGGAAATTCATGGATTCGTCCCAACCTTCCTTTTATTCGATGTAATCACGCTTGTCCACTCACGCTGTCCGCCCGGCGTGATCTTGGAAACCCTAGCTTTAGTCAGCAGTTGTAACCCGTCAGAACAGTGAGATCCACTTGGATTGAAGTGAACAGCTTAAACAGTTTATATTTTCTCCTCTTCCACATCATGCTGTCATCATCTAACAATGCTAGTGGATACTGTTCCAAATGCAAAGTATGATTCAAGCTGATACTTGGATTTCGTGTGGAATGGAATGATGGACTGGTGGTGCTGATTCTCCTTCTCCTAGAGTTTGTCGTGTCAACCTTTGTTTGTTTGTTGTTGAAGGATGATATGTTCAACAGGTATTTTTGAAAACCTGGATTTATATTTTGAATTATAAGCATGTGTTGCTTAAAAATTGACAATTGATTGTACATTAAATTTGTCTTTCTAGTTGTTGTATTAGCTACAGACGTTTTCAAAATAGTTTTCATTTATGGGAAATTTCCGTCAGTACAGAAACTTGACGTGTATCTGATCTTGGGTTAACAAACAATAGTGGCTAACCGACAAAGCCGGTCTTGATGAATGAAGCATATTCTACGCGGAATTCCATGTTCTTTACATTAATCACAGATACAATTTTCTGTAGCTTTTGTCGTTTAGGAGTTGTAGGCCCAAAACTTAACAAGGAATTAACTTGTTGGCCATATTAGTAAAAATAATCCAAATTTAAAAAGCCACTGCGATTAAACGTCTCAGTCAATTTTAAAATATTTAATTTCAGTCGACGCATAATTTACTGCGCTTAAAAAAGTAACTGAACAGCTACTGACGTAGGATGCGTAATTTAAAAGTTAGAAGTGATACTAAAAAGAGTGCAAAATCGTCATAGTCTTTCGACTCCCAAAACATAAGCAGACGTCAGAGTCCGTTCCAAACTCAGAGGACCATTATTTGGGAGCCCCAAAAGGTTTTAAAACACTTTCCAGCATTAGACTATTTTTCAGGAAGCACGACCTGCCCAGGTCCATAAAGTTGCCCCCCTCCTATTTAAGCACTAACGTCAAAAATGGTACCAATCGTTAGTGCTACGTTAGTGCTGTAATCCCCAACGTTAGTACTCTTTTGGTTTAAGTGTTATTATAAAAAAAAACTGTGGGCGAGGCCAACTTTATATAAAGTTAGCCCCCCCCTGTACAAAAAAGTGAGCACTAATGGCAAAAATGATACATTTCGTTATGATGTCAATTAATTCATTCTCTAAATGTAAACAATTTCAATAAATTCTATATTAAAAATTCAAACTTTAATCTTTCATAACTTTTCTTATCATTTCATTATCATCTAGTTTAGGGCATTCGTCTTCTTTGATTTATATTCTTTATATTTAAAATGACTTGTCTCTCAAAAGGGGTTTATATTTGGGAAAAGATTTTCCAGTTATATAAAATGCAGTATATTTTTCTAACAAGAAACAATTTATGTTTCATTACTTTTTTACTTATCATTCATTATTTGTTTGTTAGTCATTTTTACAAACAAACAAATAAATATGAACAATAAATTATCCGAATAAACTAGAAATAAAAATAGGAATAAATATGTTTGACACTAAAAATCTTTGAACAACCATACAAGAATGTATACATAAATATTCAGTAATCCAATTTGCAGCATTAATATAAAACTATTGTACATGTTGGTCGAATTCGAGCAATTGAAAAGTTTTACAGGAGTTATTTCAAAACGAATAACAGTCATATTTACAATGAGTTTAAAAGAGTCAACTCAAAGATTACCGGTGTGTAACTGAGACCATGTTTATCTTCGTTATTGATCAACCTAAAGCAACAAATAAACAAATTATAGCTACACAAAACAACGATAAATGCACAAATTTAAGTTACAATCATGCTAACACGATCCGTCATAGCAACACAAAACAGGGTCTGACTTAGGGGAGGTACGATTGATGCATTAGTTCAAAATTCCTCCGTGAACAGCGCTGTAGTAGAGAGCAATTTGGCAATGAACAATATTGAATGTTTAGTTTACTAATCCCAAAAATAAAAATAGTTCTGTTCATAAAATAAAATTATAAATGCCTCAAATTCAATTTTATAATTTTGTTATTATAAAATTACTATCATAACCTAACCGAACTAACCAAACTTGCTGATAATGGAATAATATAACAAAAGTTTATTATAGAAAAAATAATTATGTTAATTAAATAAAACTAGAAATTGCTCAATACAAATTTTATAATGACTTAGGTAATAATAAAATTAAACTGTCAAAACCGAACCAAACCAACAAAACTTGCTGATAATGAAATAATCCAAGTCAAAAGTGCCACCAGCGGGATTCGAACCCGGGACTCTCAGCATATCAGCCCGGCACTTTTTACCACTAGACCGCCGAGGCCGAATGCTACAAACTGTATTGTTACGGGAATGGTGTTCCCTCAGCTAATGAGAACAATTTAGAACAATATTAATGGGTGTGCCTCAGGGATCAGTCCTTGGACCTCTTTTATTTATTATTGCTGTGAACGATTTTGCTTCAAATATTCCTTGTGCCACAGTGTTATATGCAGATGATACCACACTTCTTAACAGTAAAAAACACCTAGATGATCTAATAAGAACTGAGAACCAAGCCTTAGAAATAGCAATGGAATGGTTTCATTCTAATCTTTTAATTGTTAATGAAAAAAAGACTGAACAAATTATATTTTCTTTGGACTTTTCTATTTATAAAGATGTGAAACCTGTTAAGTTGTTAGGTATTTATCTTGATAGTAGGTTAAGTTGGGAAACTCATGTCGAGCAGTTGTGTAGAAAACTGTCTAGAGTAATTCACCTTCTTAGAAAGTTGAAAGATTGTGTAACCAAAAACATGCTGATAACTGCCTATTATGCTTTTTTTCATTCTCACTTAAAGTATGGCATAACTTTATGGGGCAACTCGTGTAGTGCATTAGAGGCTTTTAAGTGGCAAAAAAGAGCTGTAAGAGTCATTACAAATGTTTCAGATAGGGAGTCATGTGTTCCTTTATTCAAAGAGCTTAAAATAATGACTCTTCCAAATTTGTACATATATTGCTGCCTGATGGATGTTAAGAATTCTATTTGTAAATTGTCTGTTAGAAAAGAAATACATGACTATCAAACGAGGAAAAACTATCTTCTTAACTTAATCTCTGTACGGTTGGAAAAAACAAGAAACAGTCATGTTTATATGAAAATTAAATTATTTAATAAACTGCCAGAAAACATGTGGAATATAACTTCAAAACAGTTTGAAAATAAGATTAAAATATGGTTAAGAGAACATATTTTTTATACTGTTGATGAGTTTTTAGCTTGTGACATTAGTACTTTAAGAATTTAAATTGGATAATTGTTTAGATTTTATATTAATTGTTTGTTATGTCATTCCCTGGTCTTTTTATATTTTGTTATTGTTTTTATCTATAAATTAATATTCTATTTTTCAATGTACCTTTTACTTAGAATAGGCTATTTACATACATTATATGCTTGTGACTTTGTCAATTGCACACATGTGTTTAAAGACAATAAAAATCTTTGACTTTGACTTTGAGAAGCCCACAGCTGTCATCGTAAGCTCATCTGTACCTCCCCTGAGTAAATACCCACAAAACAACGATAAATACACAAATTTAAGATACAACCATACTAATAACACGATCCGTCTGGAGGTTATGTTGACAGAAACTCAAATTGTAAATAAATGTACTCAATGCGTTTCATTGAATTGAAAAATAAATAACAACAATTAAATGATAACTTCTGATCAAAATGTAAACAATTATGTTCTTCATAAGGATAACATGGGAACTTTCAAAGCCACTGGGGCAGAGCCCAAGGGACTTTTTCAAAAATGTAAGGCCAGTTTGCAAATCTAAGCGACACGCTCTTTCCAATCTCGTCAATGGACGTCAATGGATAAATTCGGTTAAGAAATTGCGGAGGAGTTCAACCGACAAAGTTTCATGTAGCGTATTAAGTATATGAATTAATATTTAATCACAATAATAATTACTATTACACATAAACTAAGCAGTATCAAAAATTAAAATAAAGTACAAAAACAACAACAAAAATAAGTCAAATTTATATAATGTTCTCTTTTTATCAACTTGGTTTTTTGTTTACATTTTTAGTATTAAATATCTTTAAAAAATTAATGATGATTTTCTTTCATGCCAAACTGTGATATAAATAATGAAATCCTAAATTTCTGATAGCGTGAAAAGATACTTTTTAAACAGTTTTTTACCTGATAAGCAGGCTCCCTTGAACTAATTGTAGCGCGCAAAAAAGCAAAATGGTTGATTATAACATGCATAAACGTAGCTAACTTCTGCATTTACTTACTTTTGCAGCACTAATTTTACTTTGCTGCACTATAGTATTCCAACCAAACAGGAAGATTTTATAAGACACGTAATACGTGTACGCTTGAAAATAAGTTGGCAACACTTAAAGATAAAACTACGATCGGCTGGTGCAGCGTTTCACAGCTTTTGATTATTGATACCACGACTTAACCTATTGTTTCGTGTTAACATTGTATTGTCGTTGAACGTTTGGATCTAACCTAACCTCAAACGTGTAGTTCAGTGTTTAAAATACTAATTATTTATATGCTTTATGGTAACTGTAGAGAAAATATAATGAGCAACGCGAGCGCAAAGTGCCACTTCGCGCACTAGTTACACAAATAACTATAAACGGCTAGTAACTTTGTACCAAGTTTTGTTGCTATAGCTTTATTATTATTTTTTATTTTACAGTCCCGGGACATTTTTCCAACCTGTACATATATCAAAAATGATTTATCTACCAAATTTTTTACCGCGTCTCTGTTTTATAAAAAAAATAACTTTCTTGACTTAACCTAGAGTGTTGTCTTTATAACGGTGTATGGATTATTTTATTGTTTCAGCTGATTATATATACGGAGAAGAAAAGGAGTTACCAGTACAGAGAGATCAACTAGTCACCAGATACATCAGTGCATCAGAACTCGGACGCTATAGTGCGAACTGCTATAAAAGTGAAGGCAATGAACATATATTGGTCATGAGACGCAAGCAAGAGTTCATAATGTCTTTTAAGGGAATCGATTGTTCATATTCCACGGACAAGGATCCAATATTTTATTTCGCACTAAGTGTCGCGGACCCATTTATATATACTGTAGGGAAATCCTTTAAAGAATCCAATCAAAATGGCAGACTTTGGCAACTGGACACCCCTTGGTGCCTCTACAACGTCAATGTTCGGTATCCATCGAAGATCATCATTGAACCGGCATTTACTAATAAATACCTGACAAATCTTCCATGGACCGAGGTAAGAAAAACTCAATAAATATTTATGTTTTGATCAGGAGATATTAATCAAATGTTTAGTTTTGTGTTAGCTTACAATCGGATTCGTGCTGAATTAGATAAACACCTTTGTCGTTATGACGACACGTGCAAGTAAATAGTTTTAAAAGCAAAGTCGATAGTTTTTTTTCATCCTCTTATCACAAGATGTCAAATAAAATGGCTAAACAAGCGTAAAAGCGGTAATTTAAATTGATTTTGATTATGGTTTCTCTGCATAATTTCTTTGTTAATAATAAGTAATGGATACTAGATGTGTCCGTTTTTGTATATCTGGTTGTTAATAAATAATTAACTTTATATTTAAATCCTCAAACTACATAGTTTTTGTTTTTTAGCGAATTTACAATATTCCCGTAGTTATTGAGGTAGGTCTCATGGTAAGACTTATATCCGAAGCCGATTACTTTTTAGTTTTGATGTCCCCAGAGGCCAAAAACACCATCCGTTCACATTGCATGATAACTCCTGCAAACATAATCTACGTTTGATAGCATTTTGCTCAAGCGTCTTAACCTACACTTATTTTAAATAGTTCACAAACCAGCAAGACTGGACGAAGGGGGCAAGTTTTATGGGGGTGAGTGGTTTATGGAAGTAAAGATATTTTTTTTCTATTTTTAGACCCTCTAACTATCTAATTTTCCAACTTCTCTAAAACTGTTTGTAGAGCTTTTAACATATGAAATATTTTACGTTTCAGGAAAGAGACTGCGCAATAACAAGTAAGTTTGATAAAATTATTATAATCTAGACTAAAAAGATCTACTCATATTAGCACATGATATAAGTACATTTGTGTAATCCAAATTTTTTTGTTTAAAATATACACTTTCTTACTACTTATTAATTCAACTGTTACTTGATTTGAATCATCTTTGTCTACAGACCATGTTTCGTGTCAATCCATTAGTTGTATTATTATTTAACAACTTTTAAAGCTTCTCAGTGTTTGGAGAAATAGCCTCTGGATCGTTATTAACTTTTGGACATCTCAACTTTTGGAGGTTAGGATTGACAGACAAGATCATGGCCATGCATCTAACCTCTCCATTTGTAAATATCCTACTCAACCGACAATATCTCAAGTAAGAGATGAAACACAAAAAGTTTAGCTTAGCCTAGGACTGACGATAACGCTCCGGCGTAGAAACCTAGGTCTCCACAATAAATTAATTGGATCGTAAGGTAAACTTCTCAGTGTGTTTTAAACAGAGAAATGCGTAGAGGATGCAAGTTTATGTAAGAAAAACATACTTCTACTGGTTTTATTTACTCTGGCTAAGACGTTCCTCTTATTTGGGAATCATAGTAATATTTATTGTTGTTTAGCAATTACATTAAAGCGTTTTAAACAAAATATCTTACAGGAAATCGCATTACTAGAATGAATACGCCAACTACCGAAACATCAAAAGTTAAATATTACAACGGAAGATCGAAACCATTTCAACTGGATTGTTACTATCCTCAGCATAACTGGCCATTCGCAATCCTCAGTATATCCGGCGACGTAATTAAAATTGACAAATTGAACTGTGCATCGGTTAACAAACTGGACAATATAGACAACAAGTTGCTTGCCGACCAAGATGAAGACTCGAAAAACATCATTATTGGAAGTAGACGAGACTCCACTACTCCTTGGTGTTACTATGTAATTCCACATGAAAAAAGTAAAGACATTGTACTAGGGGACGATGAACTAAATCCAAGTATCTTGTTGTCTCGGTGGTACATGGTAAGTAAGATCAATTACATGCACGTAATACAATTCTAACTTATTACTGTATTAGATTCAAATATATAGTAATTAGTGAGCTTGCGAAACACCATGTTGAGTCTTATTCACAATCAATTCTCTACAACATTAAACTGTAATTATGTGACAATGCGTCATCATACGTCAGGGAAGTAAACGATGCAGGGATACCAACTTATGAGCTTCTTTGTCCGTAAACAGTGTGCTTTGTTAATTTCAATGTAGGATGGGTAAAGAAAACACCCTGCAGAAGCATTAAGTTGTTTCTCAACCAAATTCTTTTAAGTAAATAAGTATTTTCGGCTCAATAAAACATCAAGCTCATGTAACTTTCTTTCAGCTATACAATTAATAATGTACTACTTATTTTCAAATACTGTTACAGAATACTAATTAAAATGTTTACATTTTGGTGAATTGCCTATACCGGGAATAAGTTATTACCATAGGTCTCATTTTAAGATCAAGACCCGGGATCGATTTAATTTTCATTTTGATTTCCCCAGAGGCCAAAGCACCATCCGTTCAAATTATATATACAGGGTGGTAATAAAGTCCGAAGACAGTAAAATATTTTAAAAAATAATGTAGATAGAGCTACAATACTTGGTACAAAGTTACAGAGCATAAAACACTATTTAAACACATATTCATTGATCCAATAACTCTTCAGGGGGTTGGCATACAAGGAGTCGGAAGAAAATCTTAAATAGAAGCATAGGTCAATATGCACATCAAATGAAAGTTTTTTTTTTGTAGAATACAATGCCGCAAACCGCACTTCAAAAGCTGCGCAAAATGGCGGCCGTTCAAAGATTTCTTGAATCAGCCTTTTTGAATCTTTGAACGACTGCCATTTTTTTTTCCTCAGGCGTTCTTTTGAGCTTGAATTTACGGTATTGTAATCACTAGTGAAGACCTTTAATTTGATGTGCATATCGACCTATGCTTACGTTAACAATTTTCTTCCGATTCCTAGGGCTGTGTCCCCTGAGGAGTACGCGTATAATAGCAATGCAAATTAAATTAATCTTTGAACAACTGTCATTAATTTATCGGTTGTCCGTTTGAGTTAAAAATGATTCTTGCTGTTACCAACGGTTCAAAGGAAAAGAACCAGTACCAAAAACCAACGTTTACAGTTAAGAACTATAGTACCTCCGACCAATTATATGCGTTAATCAAGGTTATTGATCTCTTGGTTTTGGATTTTCCCGTAAAAATTTATCGGCAATCAAAGTTATTTCCCATTAATTGTGTTATTTGTAAACAACTAACTCTTAATGTAAACTTAACGGTGTCAGTTTGAAAAAAAAAACAACCTTATACAACAACTTTCTGTCATTTAATAGATTACCTATTCCCTAAACAATAATTGGTGGCCTATATCTATTAACGATAGAAGGAAATGTGGCAAAAATCACACAACGTTGGGTTTTTGGAAGTTTGTAATTTTATTTCTTAAGTACCTAGGTAGGCCGTGTATTCTAGGGAAAAGTACCGGTATCAAGGATCGTCGTCGAAAAGGTTGTTATAAATAATTGTTACCCAATTATTACGTACCGAAGAGATGGGCTATGGGCCTATTGGCTGTATGGTCCAGCGATTGCATCACACGGTGAGTAGGAACTATTGACTATATATAGTCAATGTTAGGAACAGAAAGTGACACATTGGAAAATCGAGTTTAGCATCATCCGTAAGCCTCTGTTACAATCACCCACTGCAGTTGTGATTTTTACTTTACACTTTACACAACCACCATTGAAGCGCCGTCAATGAGTGGAACCTTGTTTCTAAGCTATTGGCGACGATCATTAATAAATTGAAGTTTCCCAGCCGTATACAACACTGATTCAATGTCTTCCTTCTGGTTATCAAAACTTCATAACAATTTTATACACAAAGAATCTCTGGTTACTGACCTGGATGATGCCTAGTTATTTAATTTAATTTACGGTTACACTATATTATTCCACTTGCGATTAATTAAATCCTTTATGTAAGAAAAACGTTTTTAATCTCACTTGGATGGGATTTGCCTTCAAAACGTGATCGGAAATGGTTGCGGTATTTGTAAACAACATTTGTAAACATATCAGTGACAGCTTGAAAAAATAATCTTGATCCGAACAGCTGTTCGTTATTTAATAGATGATTATGTGATAAAAATTGGACGAAAATTTGACAAAAATCGCACAAAACTGCATTTTTGAACGTCCGTAATTTTATTTACAAAGTATTGAGGCCATATATTAATGGCTAAAGACACTCTCGCCAATCCAGTGAACACATTAAAATGACTTGGATCTTGATAGGTACTCTCGTTTTCCTGGAGAAGATTGCGTAAAATGCCATCTTGATTGTTACAGACAGACAGACAGATAGAAATTTAGATGAGACATGTTTCGGCTTCTTTAATGTATAAAACATAAAAATAACCTAAAAATTTATGATTCTGAGCAATGTACAGACAAAACTCTAATTTTATTTATATAGATAGAAGAAGATGTCTATTTGTATACTTTTCTCTATTCAACACAAAAGCTGTTTTTCCTGAGAAACAAATTATTCGATTTGAGAATAATCAAACTCTTGTATTTTGCTTCTTTATGGATTCGTTTTGATAAAATTGGTTTATTCTATCTTAAACTATAAGACTGTCACCAATAACCCACCTTATTACCTTTCCTGTAGCAGCAAACCTAAGTACTAGTTAATCTAATGTTAATTATTAGTGAATACATCTGACATGATTACGGAAATATTTAACTGAAAAATCCAATTAAGATAGAAATTTGCTTAGTCTGCAGGTTTGCTGCGGTAGGGGTGTTCTATTTGTTGTCTATTATTAATTTAAAATGAATAATTTTCAGGGCGCTAATGGATATTATCCAGTCGAGTCACGTAAGTTCTCCAGACTAAATCTCAATTTATACTTCATAAATGCACAATTATTGTGGTTCTGCAAACTATATCTTATTAATACTACTGTAAACTTTGGGTGCACTTTAAACTTTACGTTAAATGATATAATACAAAATGACTAAAGTGAATTAGCTCAGTATATCTGCTTGGAAAATCGTGAGAATACTCAAGAAATCGATTGAACTGACACATTGTTATGAGTAACTAAATTTTATTGCACTGCTCACTCTAATCTATAACCCTTTACGAAAGACAAATATAATCATAAATTCAAATAACATATAAACAAAAGAAATCAATTATGTTTGGGCCCCAGGATTAAAGGAGAATTGAACACATAAATTATATAAGAGATATTAAGACTATTTCGATATGAGAAAATACAAGTTTAACAAGGGATTGATATTATACAAAATCCCAAAATGAATTGATGTTAGTTGTATTTATATCTCTGTAAAAAAAGATATTGGTAGTGACAATAGAAGAATATGAAGTCACTTCAAAATTTGTTTGGCCCAGAACTTTGAAAATTTTTGGTGAAAAAATGTCCAAAGCCCCAGGATCTTTTTTTGGCCACCAAAACCAAAAATCCTGATCTTTGCCTAAATATCCCTATATAATTGTCAAACCTTATTTTTTACTTATTACCCATAAATATATTCAATATCAAGCTAAAAAAGCTATTTCTTACATTTATTGACCATTACAAGTGTAAATGTAAAGTAGTGGCAATATAGCGGTATGACGTCACTTCAAAAATTTGTTGGCCCAGAACTTTAAAAATTTTCAGCGAAAAAATGCCCAAAGCCCCAGGAGCTTTTTTTGGCCACTTTTTTAAAGACCCAGTTCTCGACCTATACACCCCTATATAAATTTTCTACTTATTTAATACTGAAAAACACATCTGTAAATCGTAAGCTTTTTTTGGCCACTTTTTTAAAAATCCAGCTCTCGGCCTATACAAGCTTATATAAATGTTCAATACCATTGTACAACTCCATTACTATTTCAAATCCACATCCATTTACATGTATATTCTAAAAATCACCGACTTGACAGTGCGAGGTTTGTACGCGAACTCGGGCGCGCTCCCGACCCATGGTTGGGCTCCCGTTCCTGACCCATGGTCAGGCTCGGTCTTCTCGTCTCTAGTGGTGGGGCTGTGAAATGCCGCTCCCATAGGTCTTGCTTCTTGTTCCTGTGGTAGCTCTATATCAAGTGCTGTGTGGGCAACCTCCAGTTGAAGTTATTTCAAAAATTTTGAAAATTTCAAAAAGTCTATATAGATGGGACATCAAACCGAGACCTCATTCCTTAACATGAAGCCGTCATGTCAACACTGCTCCGTGTCGCTCTCCAACAATAGCAACCTGATTCGCCACTATAAGGTAATTCATCAGATGAATGTGAAACTGTGCAAGGTTTGTGATTTAATCTGTGATAATAACGTGGCTCTAAAGTCGCATATAATACAAAGTTACAAGACTTTAATTTTTGAAAGAATAATGTTGTTGGTCATTTTACAAGACATATCAATTCTTGCAACAATTATTGTCAATACACAATGATTAAATTTGTTGGTGAGTCAATTAGAGCTGAACTTTGAAAATACTCTGAAGTCTTGTTCTCTGAAAATAAATGGACTTTGGTAATGAGAATCAAATTTATAAAATATTCAATGGATCAAAATGGAAAATTAGTTAATGAAAAAGAATGTATAGCGGATTTTAGAAGCCTTACTACCTTCATTGAGAGGAGAGATTTAAAGTCTCAAATTGAAAAAGCACTTTTAAAGATTGACACGTCAATTCATAAATATCAAGCCCAAGGTAGTGGATGGATATATGACCATACTAAATATTGTCAGCTGCATGTTCACAAGTATAAGCCCCTAACTCCAAAGTCATATATCCCCACACCAAAAAGTATTCAATTGTTAAAAGCAGTTCTAAATATATAAAATTCAGACAATAAATGCTTCCTTTGGTCAATTTTAGCAGCTTTATATCCAAGGAAAGCTAAAAATGAAAATGCTAAAAAAGTCTCTAACTATACACCCTATGAAACACAGTTAAATATGACAAATATAAAATATCCCGTAAAATATCTGATATAGATAAATTCGAAAGACAGAATAATATAAGTGTCAATGTATTTGGAGTTGAAGACCAGAAATGTATATATCCATTAAAAACAACCAAACTAAATAGTAATACTGATGTAGATTTATTATTATTACAAGAAGGTCGTAAATCACATTACTGTTTAATTCGTGATTTTGATAGGTTAATGCTCCACTCTACAAAAATAACAATAAGAAACATTTTTGCAAGTTATGTTTCCCCAGGGAAGCTGTCTTCGTCATATTTCAGGCATTAAAACAGTATGAGATTTCGGGATTATCTATTCTTATGCTGATGACTGCAAAATCTTCTTATCGTACCAGCCTATTTTGGTTGGGGGAGCATTATTGCATATGAGTAGTGACCTTTCAAAGTTTGTGAATGGTCTAGGGCCGGATCATGGGTTAAAGCTAACCCCTGAAAAATTTTCCGCTATGCACTTTGCCAATGCAGCAATCTATGAGCAGCTGGAAAAAAACACAGCATCAAAGTCACAGTTAATAACTCAGAGCTATCAATTTCCAAAATCTATAAGATTCTTGGGGTGACAATAGACTCACTCATTGTCAGCTGACTTTGTCTAGCCATGTCAAACAGATAAGCAAACGTGTTGTTGGAGAGTTAAAAGTGCTTAAAAGGTTTAGAACATTGCTCCCAGCAAAAATCAAGTTGAGGTTGGTCAAATCCCAAATGTTTCCCACCTTAAATTACTGCCTACCTGTTTTTGTATACAGTTTAACACAGGAACAGATCACAATACTTCACAGGCTACAGAATTGCTTCCTAAGGTTCGTCGTATACAACCTACAAAATATGATCATAACACAAGTTCTGTAGAATATCAAATACAATGTATATCCGAGAGAGCTATGATAAGCAGGTGCACGTATCGTCCACAAAACACTGATCACTGAGGCACCGCAATACTTGAAGGAAAAACTGAAAGCGAGGTCGGCCGTGCGAGAGCGCAAAACTAGACAGGACTTGTTGCTTGACATCCCAAGGGTTGTTCTTGATGCTGGTGGAAGGGGTTTACCTTACTTACTCAGTGCAATGCACTTCTTCGCACGCTAAAATCACTGTCTTACAACAGTTTTAAGAATACTAACGGCTAGTCCCTGCCCACCAAATCTGTTCGGGAGTGAAACTTAGTTTTACCAACAGTGTCATTTGGAGGCTTCTGATTTACTATAATGAAGGTTTACTAATTGAAAAATTAGTTTTGTTCATAAAATAAAATTATAAATGCCTCAAATTCAATTTTTTTTTATGGAATTAAACTGTCATAACCTAACCAAACCAACCAAACGTGCTGATAATGAAAAAAAACCAATGAAGGTTTATTAATCAAACAAATAGTTCTGTTCATAAAATAAAATTATAAATGCCTCAAACTAAATTTTTAATTGTTTAATAATAAAATTAAACTGTCATAACCTAACCAGACTCACCAGACTTGCTGATAATGAAAAATCGAATGAAGGTATAGTTATGTTCATAAAATAAAACTATAAATGGCTCAGATTTAATTTTATAATGTTTTAATTATAAAATTAAACTGTCATAACCTAACCAAACCAACCAAACTTGCTGATAATAAAAAAATCCGAGACAAAAATATAGTGCCTCAGGTGAGATTTGAACCCGTCTCCTTCAGATTATCAGCCCGGCACTCTATCCGCTATACCACCGAGGCCGATGGCATCATGCCGTATCGTTGCGGTAATGGTGTTCCCTCAGCCAATCAGAACAGCTGAAGTATCGCTCCCGAACAGATTTGGTGGGCAGGGACTACCCGCTAGTTTTAAGAATCGCCCAAAGAATTGGTAATTAATCTTATTTTGTTTCGTAGCTATGACAATTTTTGTTTAGTTTCAGTCCTGACTTGAGTCAATTTATTAAAAAGTTTTGTTACTGAAATTCGCTCATGAATAAAGACCTCATTTATTCATTTATAAATATAATTGAGGTTATTAAAATAACTAACCAAAACAATGCCAAATGATGCAAATAAGATTGTGACAGACAGGCTATGTAGGAAATAAGATAGGTAGTTCTTATGTAATGTGAACAAATGTTTTCTTTATTACAAAAAACTGCTGACATTTTTTAACGTACTGGCTTTAGTAGGTGGTACCATGCAGGCTACATTATCAATGACGAATATAAACATGGACAACCTATTGCGGCTATGCGTGGGAATCATTTTTAAAAAACAAAATCAGCTTTTAAAAAATTATAAAATATTGACAAAAAATGTTGATGATATCGAACTGATATATATATATATCGTTATATATAATCTTTGAGTTGACTCTTTTAAACTCATCGAAAATTATGACTATTATTCGTTTTTAAATAATATCTGTAATACTTTGCAATTGCTCGAATTCGAGCAACATGTAGTTGCACACAGGGCTAGAGATATACAGCTGCACATAGGAAGTCTAATTGGTTGCACTTCAAGTCTCAAGGAATGTCATGGACGTTTTGGTTTCATTAGTAGTTCAATTACCTGGTAAATAATGTTAGATGTTCAATATCATCAGTTTGTTAATCATTATTGTTGAAGACACTTTCCATATAGGCCTAGATTGCTGTTTCGTGTAAACAAGTTTGTAAATTAAGATAAATCTATGGAGAGGGGTCATCTACCAAAAATAAATTGGCTTTAAAATTTAATTAAACGTAGTAAAACTGAAAATTAAGATGATTTACAGCTAAACCTAATAAATGTGTTTCATTGAAACGTATTCTAAACGTCGATCAGTATAAAAAAACTAACCCCTCAAGACTCTTGTAAAGGATTACACCTTAGGCCCCTAAAATATATATTTTAATTAATAGGTTTAAAAAACATTTAATTTCTGAAGGTCACTAAACTTAACCATATGTTTAGCTGCTAAAATCTATATAGGTTGCTTCATTTATAAGTGCCTCGATTTCTACCAAACTTTTCAGTATGAAAGGTTATCTCATTACTCTCTTTTGAATCCAAAACACCTCAAGATCAGACAATTGCGACGATTTTTACCCGCTAACTCAGTGATGGGAGTGGTCCTGCAAATTTTAATAGTCAATCTAGGCCTACTATTCCTCTTGGTCAAAGTTTGAGGGCACTACCTCGCTAAAGGAGAAGTCCTGGAGTCGAAGCGAGGGTCAAACTCCACTCTTGAGTTGTTGAACCCGTAGCTGATATTCAGGGAATATTTGATAATTTAAATTGAACCTCGACCATTCAAAATAGAAGACCAAAATTTGCATACATCTAACACCAACTAATAACTATTGCAGTATAGTCAAATTTCTAATCTTAATAAACTCTGTATTGATTTGTGAAAATTGATAAAGAGTTGAATTATATTTTCTAAGAATGTAAATGAACCAACTATCTAGATCATAGGTAACTAAATAAATAACACTGAATGAATAAACAAGGAATGTATTATGAGAGATAAGTATTTCAGTTGATATAGCAAGATAACAAAGGGACTGTCCAACAACAGTAGTTATTCCACAAGATAATATTTGTTATCTGACCCAAGAATTATTTAAGTTTAAGGATTGATTCAGTTTCAGATCTAAATGTAAAAATGATTAACCCAAACTAACGATTAATTACTTTTGGAATAATCAACTGATAAATCAAGAACAAGTATAAATATATATATAAATCAATAAAGAACAAGTATAAATATATATATAAATCAATAAATTCGGTGGCCACCAGCTAAGAATCAAAATCACATAAGAACATTTACATACACTATGACATATAAAACAATATAACACCCAACAAATATAACAATACTTAAGCTAAACAAAATTACAGCTAGATATTCTGGCAAAATCAGGTGGAGTCCTGTCCAGGTGTAGGTAGATCTCACACTCACGGTCTGTGTTATTGATGCTATCAAAATTCACTAGTTCTAGTGCAAAGTCACTGCAAAAATAATCATTCAACCAAGAACTAAGTGTCCGAAATCCTCAATGATGTAGGTTTGCAGCAGTTATGTTGGTCTCAGAGTAAGATAAATATCGTACAAATTGGAAAATTCTTACTTTTGGTACGAATGTGTCGACCCACGATAGTCCATAGGCTAAGGCACACACGAGGTCCTTCAACAATGTAGATCCTCGGTAGGTTTAGACGATAGTCGATACAGCGATAGTAGGCTAGGTAGGTAGGACGAGACACCAGGAAGTCCAGGTCCAGGTCCAGAATCCAGCGATAGCGGTAGCGGTAAAACCCTAGGATATTCCATAAGAATGTAACATATTCTTAAATTTACATTAACACAAATATATTTATTTAATAATATTTGATTCAGAATTTTATACTTTAAATATTTGTTTCCAGTTAAAATATGTTTTCTGATAGGCAGTTACTAAACACAAAAAGGGACAAGCCTAATTTTTGAACATTAATTACAGAGAGAAAGATATTTGGTTTGATTACAGCAATAATAATGAACAATTAGTACAACACAGTGAACATTAAGACAATAAAGGCAACAGATAATATTTTGAGTTAGTAGACAATGATTAAGATAGTAATTCTTAGCAATAAACAATTAATAGTCTTCTTTAAATTGAAGTATTTTAATAAAGGACAAATTTAACATTTGGCTGTCTTTACAGATAAACGACAAAAATTTACTCTCTGCTCTACTAAAGATTGTCCTGTCATTACCAAACAGAATTAATTTACTCTAAAACAGCTTGACACTATAGAACACAAAAATATTTAATTATTACAAACACATGGAAATCTACATTTTTCCTAAATCTAGTTATCCTGAAATTTCCTGAACTTTTGCAGGTTAAAACAACTTTTAGCACTTGCTTTGCAATCATCAAAAGTAATCTTGTCACACAAATATTTACCATAATTATTTTGATGAAAATTAGTACACTTGAATTACAACAAACAAATTATTTTATATATACAGCAACTTTAAAATGTACAATTGAAAACATGTGACTACTAGGCTTGAAAACTTCCATTTCCTTTAATTTAACTAAATGAACTAGAAAATATTAATCTAACAACTTATTACACATTTTTAGCAATAATCTGTTTTGATTGGTTGAGGTTTTTAATATTTCATTATTTAAATTTGTTTGCAATGAAAATTATTCAAACTCTTACCTTAATTAATCCAGAAACCTGAAGGGTGAACAATCTGCTTAAGTTCCCATGACTGCCAGAACAAGACAAACCTAAACCCCAGTCCACCTGATATCAGCTAACAGGATAATGCAGGCACTGATGAGTCATCCAAACAGCTGATGGTCGCTTTCACTTGAACTTGCTAAGCTGAGCTGGTATTGGGATTTTGTGGTTCCTTCAATTTCAGTAGGCAAAAGGTGAACACTCTTGCAATGTGTTGGGTTTCAAGCAGACGGTAGGCTAGCACTACAGCTGAATAAATTCTTGGGATACATGAGGGGGCCAACCTCTGTAGTATTTGAAAGTGGCAATAAATTTGCGAATGTTACACAATGTATACTAAGGCATTTTTTGACATGCAAACCCAATAGTATTCAGAATGTTTAAGTATACAGTATATTTAATTTACGTTTCAATGTGTTGGTCTTCGAATTGGTTTCGAATAGAAACTAATAGTACTCTGTTTTGTTGACAGGTTCCTGTTTTACCCGAGGACAACCCTCTTGCGGCATGGTGGACAATACAAGGATTTTACCATCGTACTCTGGTAAAACTATATAAAAGATGCCATGGTTTACGATATGTTGACATTTTAGTTATAAGCTCAATTAATTAAGTTTAGGTGTGCACTTTGAAAACGAGTCATCGAGCTCAATGTGTCTAAGGTGGTTTCTTATTCAAAGACGGGCTAACGAATCTTCTGTCGTTGAGTAGTTTTGCAATTCCAGGTGATGCCAGTACGGTATATAGTATGTGTAGGAATCCGTCCGGAATCGAAGCTGGTTGGAGACTAAATTCATCTACGTTATTTGATTCAAAACTAGGTAGGCCTACAGGTTCGACGTGGGAATGGGATATGTATAAATGGTCAAAGCCAATATACAGCAGGATGACTGGTTGTGCTGGATATTGATTTTAGATCCATTTAGTCAACGTTATTTTACAAGTAGTATACGTAATGGCATAGACGAATAGAATACAAATTTGTTCTATTTGTCTATGGTAATAGCTTATCACTTGTTAACCGTCCACACGCAACGACTTGACTGCAACGTTTTACCTGCGAAGGTAAAACGTACAAGAAATCCTTGCGTGTGGACCGGCCTCAACAAGCACACTTAAAACACGTTCACTGCGGGCGTATCCGATCGGATACGCTTGGCAATGCCTTTCGTATATCCTCGTGTGACTATTGGCTTGCTTTTTGTTGTGGTGTGGGTTGGTAGTAAAGCTCCGCAGTTAACATCCCCGTCCGGCAAGCTTAAAAACCAACTTGTTGTCCCGTCTTTACTCCTTCCAATTGGCAATACAATGGGCCGGCTACGTTTCAAACAGTGATGCTATCTGTGTGTCTTTCAGCGAACTACGTCAACTCTCGTCGTAAAGCAGGACATCACCGCACGTTATTTGCAAATCGTTAGATCGAAATTGGAAAGCCGATCATCCGGCAATCGGGTTTGTTCGACGCTGTGCTGTACTGGGACTACGCCTGCCATTTGATGGACCACAGTGAACGTGTAATAAGAAGATAGAAGATCCAGATATATGCTAATATTCATTATTTAAGATGCTGGTTTAAGTTACTTTCGTGAAGTAAACATCTCGTCTGATGAGTCGTTAGAGCTTTGTAGGTCCCGTATTTTTGTATTAATGTATTTTTCGTTTGATGGTAGGACTGTATTAATGATTGTAGAACTGTTTCACTAATTGCAATACTGCATCACTGATTTTGGAACTTAAACACTGATTGTGACATTGTATAACCGGTTGTAGTTCTGTATTGTATCGTCGTCCTGTATTACCGATTGTAGAACTGTAGCCTATTACTTATTGTGGCACTGTATTATAATTATGTATTTTTCATGCTGTATAGGCTGTTATGTGCAAAAAAAACTTACTATTTCATTCATTTTATTCTTTCACTTTATTACTGGTTGTATTCCTGTATCACTGATTGTAGTACTGTATCACTAATTGCATTACTGTATCGACGATAGTAGCAGTAGGCCTACGACTAAACGCCATTCGATATCAGTAACTAACATATTAACCTTTTTCTAGGGGAAAAAATAACTACAAGCTCTGAACAAGTAAAAAAAATGGAAAAACAACTTGTAGCTACATACGCATTTGATGTTAAGAAAGACATAATGACACAGACGTTCATAGTTCAATGTTACCTTAAAAACAATCACAAAACCAAATACATTATGACAATAGCAGAAAGAAAAGAAAGTATTGCTAAAGAAGGATCCCAGAAACTGCCTTTAGAAAATAAAATTGTATTTCTAGCAGCGTTCGATAACTTCGACTGCTCTCAAAGGGATTTAGACAAAAGAATTTACATGTTCACATTCAAAGATATGTCAATGCACATCTTGACTTTTACTTTGAAATATACCAAGACGTGGTGCCAGTACGATATATGTGTAGAAAACTGCCCAGAACCGAAGCCGGTATTATCTAAAGCTTGTGATGCAGTAAACCCAGGAGCGTTTGGATCATTCAAGGTACACTAGAAACATTAAGTAGCATAATATTACAAAATTATCCAAAACCTTGCTGCATTAATTAGAAAGCCATTCAAGTTTTGAACGTTTGTTGTGTTATGTATTGCATGTAGCGTTGAAAGACGAGCACCAAAAGAAATACATATATTTATCCTTGAATTATAATACTAAGACGATAAATGTATAAAGAAACACTTATTACATATTTTACATAGGTTTTGACAAACTTTGATTTTTTTACAAATTATATGATTACTTTTTACCTTGTTAATGAGGTCCTTGTTGAATTCTTTTTAAATAAGACCTGCACTCTTAAAGAAAGGTCATTAAATTTGCCAAACTATTTAGGGCTAATACATTGCAGTATTTGTTTTTGAAGCATGAGGATTTTAAATTCAAAATAATGTTTGTACTTAACCAACATGATTTACATGCGGATGGTTATTTAATCCCACATTATAGTGAATGACTTTGAAATATTCTTAGCCTTTGTTAGAAGCCCGTGCTTTCCATCCAAAGTGACTCGTATACTTTTCAATGGCTTTCCAATAGATCGTTATATTTTACGTCATTGACTTTGGAAAACGCATTTCATGACATTTTTACGTTCTGACTATACAGTTAAAATCCCAATCGTAATAATATTAATATAGCTTTACTATATCTGCTAAAATACCACTTACATGTAGAAAACCTTTTTTTAAGGTTTTTTTTTCAAAATTAAATACTGACGAACGTCATGTTTATTTATGACCCTCACCTTGTCACCTACCATAACTCTCACGCAGAGATTTATTTTTCCAGATGGGGTTCTGGATGATTGAAAACCCTTCATTTAAGGGTAAGTTAACGCTACTTTAAAACTAATGCTTTAGACCTACTGGTTTAACCAAGATACAAAGCTATAAATATTGACCACTAGCTGTACCCGCGGGCTTTGCCCCGTTTAACTTCATGAGTATTCGCATGGCTCAATCACGTCCTGGTTGAAGTTCGTTCGCTACGCTTACTCACCTTTAGGTTAGCTCGTTCGCTACGCTAACTCGCCTCCAGGTTGATGTTCGTTCGCTACGCTCACTCACCAAATTAGCTGTTGTCATAAATAATAAAAAAATAGTGATTCACCCTGTTGGTAATCCTTTTAACTTTAAGTGCACAGGTGTGCTGCGATTGGGGTTTAATACATTTGGACTTATTCAAAAGTAAAATAGTTTTCTGTGCTGCACTCTGTAAAAACACTGTGGCACTATTTCAAATCATGACTAAGGCTAATACAGAATGTTGTGATTATTCAAACCTACAAAACAGTTGGTGAAAATAAACATCTGCTTTTAAATTATATTTATTTGTAAACATTGTAGATCAAAAAGTCTGACATTGGCCCACTTAAAACCCTCTGGGGCAAAGCCCTTTTGACGGATCTGCACCAAACTTCACTCGAACCATCCTTGAAAGAGGCTTAATGATGCCTGAAAGTTTCAATACAATCTGTCAAACGGTTTCGGAGTCCATAACGTATATACACACATACACACACACTTACATAGTTCCTCTTTTATAGATATAGATATATTTCATTGTTTTAATACATCAGCCCGTTATGAACCACGGTCCTATAAAACCTATTTATATAAAATAAAGTACAGTTTATATTGTTTGTTGAAATCGTTTTTTTTTTACATGCCAAATCAAGTCTTACCTATATTACTTACCCTCTGTTTGTGCGGAAGTTGGTGACACCCAAGATAAACATTTCCAAAACATATATCGGGATAACCAGTACACTGATCACGGTTCAAGATTAAACTCTTTGTCCCTGTAATCACTAAATTTGTTATCATTCCTATAACAATTTACACCTGGCCTAAGTTATTTCTGTATGAAATATAAATAGTTATTTGTGTAACTAGTGAACAAAGTGGCACTTTGCTGCACACGAGAGCAATGCGAGTGCGGAATGATCTCGAGTGCAGCAAAGGCCTTTTGCACTCGTGTTACACATTATATTTGTCCTACAGTCACTATAAAGCATATAAATAATTAGTCGTTCAAACACTATACAACACGTGTTTAGGCTCAGCTGGCAACACAAATAGGTGCCCTAGAGAAAGTATGACCGGTCTCCCTCGAGTTTCTAGCACTGAAGACCTGCCGGCTGGGTGGTTTTGATAATTGCCTGTATTTTTAACCCTGGCATCAGACTGACGCACTTCCCCGGCACCTGTAAGCTAGCAAGCGTCATTATGAACCCCTATGCCCGCCAAGGACCACCACTTCCCAGAGAACCAATCTCCTGTCTGTGCTCTCCAAGATGTTGGAGCTTATCCCCCTGGCGGGATTCCCCAATGGTTTGTTTGCGTTGATCAGGACCGAACCGTTCGGCTTCAGGAGAGGCCATTCCACCACTTTCCAGCTGAGACGCGTGCTCAACATTATCGCTGGAGTGATGGAAAGAAGACACCACTCCACGTCCGTCCTGATCGATGTAGCCAAGGCCTTCGACTGAGTCTTGCGTGTGGAGCTGCTCTACAACCTGGCTTCCCCCCCCTCTGCTTCGATCAATCTACAAGATACATAAGAAATACCTGACGGAGCGCCACTTCAGAGTCGCCGTTGGACGGCCTTCGTCAACTTCAGTCCAGTCTTGTCACGTGTGCCGCAGGGTGGTCTTCGAGCTGATAGTCTACCTTTGGTATCCCAACTACATACCCCCTGGCGCAAAGAGTGCAGCTCTGGATTTACCCTGACGCCACACTTTGAACCGCCACCCCCATCAACCTGAGGATGTCCAGGGTATGTGTCCCACGTCAACTGGGCCTGCTACGAAGCAGCACATCAAGGTCAACGCCGATAAGTGTGGGGCCATCTCTTTCTCAATGTCAAGGAGGCAGGACGATGTTCATCACATCACTTAAACCTAGACGGTGCCAAAATCCCGTGTAAGACCAGAGTCAAACACACCGAGGTGAGTCGGTGGCTCAGTTTGTAGCGTCACGGACTTCGGGCCCAAGGCAGCAATGTCGTGGGTTCGGATCCTGGTCACTGCCACTAAAATTTATCAGTACAGTTCACCTTCGTACTGTTCCGGCTCACCCCTTTCTTTGCTGGATACGTTCCACGCACAGATCTGCAGTCTATGTGGACGGGCAAATGCAAAGTTAAAAGAGGTCGCCATTCTCTATAAAAAAAAGGAGACTTCCAAGGTCGAGAGGTGTTACGACCTGGCCAAGAAGGGCCTTGGCTCCATCCACCCTCCGCTCGTCTCGGAGAAACTTCCGAAAACCATGAAGGTGCGCCTCTACATGACCCTGCTCACCTGACCAACAGGACCGTTAGATGGAAGCTGTTTGTCGCCCAGGGCAAGACTTTACGAAGGCAACAGATTCGCCCCAGAACGTGAGGAACTCCGTCATCAGGGACTCAAACGCCGATCCGACCACCATTGCTTTTTGTATAGTACATTAAATAATTTAAAAAACAAAAAGTCCTCAGGGTTTGATCAAATATCCGTTCAAGTTGTAAAACTGTTGCCGAAAGTATTGCTCCCATTTTGGTTCATTTAATTAATTTAAGCTTTCCGACCGGGATTTTCCAGAAAAACTCAAACAAAGCATAATTGTTCCGATTTATAAAAAAAATTCTTCGTTAAAATTAGATAATCTAAGACCTATTAGTTTGCTCTCTGTTTTTTTCTAAAGTAATTGAAAAGTTGATGAAAAACAGACTTATTAAATACTTAGACAATTTAATATTTTTCAGCAATTTTCAATTTGGATTCAGAAAGGGAAAATCAACCGAGGACGCATTAATTACCGTAACAGAAAAAATTTACAGCAGTTTCAACAGCAAAAATAAATCTACAGGCTTATTCATTGATTTCAAAAAAGCTTTTGACTTAGTAGACCATAATATTTTGTTATCTAAACTCAGTGCAGCAGGCGTAGAGGAAACCGCGCTGAGTTGGTTCGGCAGTTTTTTGTCCAATAGAATACAACAAACCAAGATCCTAAACCGATTAAGCTCGCCGCTACATGTAGTCCCCCAGGGATCGGTGACATCTGACACCCTTTTCCTTATCTTCATCAACGATCTTCTCACACTTCCTTTTCATGGACAAATCTGTGCATTTGCCGATGACGTCGCCCTCTTTTATTCCGAAAAGAATAGTGATTTAACTTTCAACAAAATTAAAGATGACTTAATTTTGCTTAGTAACTGGTGTGCAGTAAACAAAATGCAAGTCAATGTTGAAAAAACCAAATACATTAATTTTAATTTAGTACATAGTTTTAACTTTATAAATGATCTCGTTTTCCACACTTTTGGCTGTTCCTTTAATTCTTGTAAATGTAAAAAAATTGAAAAGGTTAACAATTTTCGCTATCTTGGGGTCATTTTAGACGAAAATTTAAATTGGGATAAACATGTGACAAACCTGCATTCAAAAATTAAATTCTCCATAAGAACCTTTTATTTTTTTTATATTTGTAGTAGATTTTTATTACGAACACCCTTTACTTTGCTTTAATTGATTCAAGATTACAGTACGCCATCCAGTGTTGGGGGGGTACCTATAAATGTCATATTGATAAATTAAGAGTCACACAAAATCATTTTATTAGATTAATTTCAAAATGCCAAATAAGAGAAAGTTCCTTTCCGTTATTTTTTGAACTTAAAATACTTCCGATTCAACATTTATATATTTACAAGGTTTTAGGGTTTTTTTATGTTCGAATTGGAAATACAGGAACAAGTAACCTTTTGTGCAATACTAGAAATCACAACCAAGGAATGTTCAGATTACCTTAAGTAAACAAATCGCTCTTCAGACATTCTTATCAGTACAACGGACCTAAATATTTCCATCAATTACCGGGAGAAATCAGAAGTTGTTCATCCTTAAATTTGTTTTCTTTAAAATTGAAACATTGGCTTTTCAAAACTCCAGTCATTGATTTTTTAAATCAGGTTCTTAGTTAACAAAATATTTTTGTATGGCTTTTTCAATTTTATTTCAATTCCATCTGTTTTTTTCTTGCATATTTTGTTTGTGTTATTCAAATTAGTAATGAATGTATTTGGTTTAACGAACAAAGTTCTCAATGTTATAAGGTAATTATTTGATTTGTTGTTATAACAATAAAGAAGTGTTATTTATATTTACTGTATATGTATAAGTTAATATAAGTGTCAAACGGCGCCACGGAGAGCGGTTATTAATCACTTGTTTCAACACCTGGACTCATACAATTTTTTATTACTTATAAATAACTGTGTTGATTGAAAGACAACATTTTCTTAAGCATTTGCTTGATTTATTTGCTGAACCAGCATTTAATCTATAATAATTTTATTTACTACTTAAACAACCATTTTCAGATCAAATACCAGTCGAGAACGATCCTAGCTACGAAAGAAAGCAAATCGAAGTTAAAAGTTATCTAAAACAAACTTTAAAGCCGGGGAGAGAATACTTTCTCCTTGAATGCTACAAGTTTAAGAAATCAAAATCCGCAACGGCAACTTTCTTGGCAACAATTAAGACCAGTAAAGGACTTATTTTGACTACAATAGAAAATGTGGACTGTATTGATCGTGATGTACAAACTATTGGATTGAATTTTGTAATGGTAAAGAAAAGTGATGGAAGCAGAGTGATGATTGATCTGGACTTTGCAACTCCACCAGAACGAAACCAAGATTCTTGTTGGTTCTACGGATGTGCAACTGCAGATGCTGAAGTAATGTTTTTTATTGAGGCGCCAAACATTGCAAAAGAACATGTAACAGGTTTTCATAAATGGCGTCAGGTACGTAAGTCACAACAATACATTAGCCTAATGTGTTTAAAACAAACGATACAAGGTTATGCGGTACTCCTTCCTATAAATATAACATAACTTGATAAGTACAATTTTTTCTCGTCGAAATTATCTCGCCTAGCAATCAAAAGGTTGCCGGTTCATTCAAGAGAAAAGTTAGAAGCTTTTTTGGGGTTCGAAACTGGACCCAGGTGTTTCTGGTGATTGGGCTTGAACTAGTTGTTCTGTCTCGTTCAGTGCCTCGCCACGGAAAGAGAACGCAGAGAAGATAGGGCTATTCTTCACCACCTTGTCTATTGTCTAATGAAAAGTACTGGTTGATTAAGCGCCTGTACTTGATGTAAATTAATTTTATAAATGTCCATGCCTCAAGGAAAAATTCTCTACAGATTTTTCCGCTACTGGAATATATAAGACACCGTCCAAACTCCATAATTCTTGCGTCACTTTATTTTATACACAAAATTTGTCTGTGTTTTAAAAATATATAATACTAAACTATTAAGTAAACAATTGAAGCATAATTCAAAGGTTTTAACACAGCCCCACAATATAAGAAAAACATACTTTCACTTATCTTGGTGAAATATAGAAATCCATGGTAGAATCAAAAGTTTAACGCAAGGACAAGTAAGCAAACAAAATAAAACTAAAACAAATCTACAGCTGATGTATATCTTCAATATTTTAAATGTAATAGATACAGCCCAGCGACCACAGAATTAAAATGTTAATTCTGTGGTCGCTGATACAGCCCATTAATTGAGGTTCCCGCCCTCAGTGTCCCGCGACAGCCGCTCCAAGCAAAAAGTACCTTCAGAGTTTGTTCAAAAACTTATAATTTTCAAGGAAGTTTCTTCACCTAAGGTGCGTCCCCCATCTCAATTAATTGGTAGTATGGTAATATAAAAACAGTTTGCAATGAGTATTTAAACATTTTTTGCTGTCTACTTGTAATTTCCCAGATAAGAAGCAAAGGTTGGGGAATTCGCTTAAACCTAATTGGCTTGTTGGGAGTAAACTTATTCATGACCTGCTTTAGCTTGATATCTATATCATTAAAAGAATTTGTTGGATTTTTGTGTGCAGCAAAACGACTCCTAAACATTTATTTTTATAGGCGTAATGGTTATCAGCTTAAAGCTCTTATCCTCTAGATGAGTAGATGAGCCTTTTGCGGGTTTGGATGATATTACGTAAAAGCCCTTTGTCCTTTAGGCTTTAAAAATGTCATATCTTATGCTGAACATAGCTAATAAGCTTCAACATGACAACAATTTATTGCTCTACAGACGTCCAAACAATGATCTATTTCATTACATTTCCCTTTTTACAATGGATACAGCATCTCTGGTTCTTTCTAGTAAATTGGCTAAATTTCGAGTTATTGTTAGAATAAACTATGTTTTTGACATCCTAGATGGCCGTTATACTAGAGTCACTGGCTTTAGTTAACTTAGTTTACACGATTGGCGTTTCTTGGCGGATAACATGTTTATAAGATTGTACAACTTGAAGTTCATTTAAAAGAATAAGTAGGTTGTCGATTAGCACAACAATCAACACAGCTGTTTCAATTAATGTAAACAAAACTGTTTAAGCTACCGGAGCAGTGGCATCAATATGAAATATTTAATTTGTTTTATAATATATTTACATATAATTAAAACCCTACCATTATTTTATGAAAACCCAGTATTTATATCAAAACAGATGGCCATGATACAATTTTGTTTACATCCATACGAAAATTGTGTTATCTGTAAGTTGGTGATGTTTCAATGAATTCAAGTAAAATGTTGCAATGTTTTTCTTTATTTTGTTTAATGTAAAGAAGAAAATGACTTACGTTAGATTCTATCACAGATAATAGACCATTAATTGCTTCTATAGTCTGTGATGTTATGATGGGATTTTGTGTTTTCATAGTAGGCTACACGTGTTATTGGTCTTTTAGGGAATTCAAGTAAAATATTGTAGTGTTATTTGTTTAAAATGTAAAGAAGAAAATGATTACGATAGATTTTGTGTTTTCATAGTATCTTTCATTAGTATTTGCAATTTTTCTAAGATGTCTCAAAGAGATTTCGCACGCAATGAAAGTAATAGGGCTCGCATTGCAAATGTTAGGGATTATGATAAGAAATAATCATTATCATCCTTATCAACTATATAAAATGTATCACGGATTTTGAAGTCACGGAAGCAGGATTGCTTGTTAACATTGTATTAGTTTAGAGTAGCTTTATTTATTTATTCGGAAATATTATGATTTTTTTTATTTTCAGATTCTCCATGTTGATGACAGCTGTCCTAAGATGTGTAAGTGGGCTAAAAGTGAACAACTGAATTCGACTCTAATTATCCTAAATATATAGGAATATATTACGTATTTGAAAGACATACTATCATCTAACAGTATTAGTTTTATAAGATTGAACATGTGATAGCTCGTTCTATCGATATTTAGCTAAAAATCAGGATTGAAGCCACCGAATCATTATATTAAGTTTTACTGATTTTAAACCTTGTTCTATTATTCTATCAAGAACACATGCATACTTTTAAATAAGTAGGCCAAATATAACAACGATGAAATCAAATTTCGCAGAAAATCCAATCGAAACACGTTATGAACTCTAAAATATATTAACTTTATAAACATTTATAAATTCTAGAGTATGAAAAAGATTAGAAATTTTAGGGCCATAATTGTTTGTCAAACATGCATTTTCTTTGTGTCTACAGCAAACAATGTTGTACACATCACTCTTATACTCGGTAAAACATAGGCTTCTTCAAACCCCCTATTTTTTACTTTGCTGCATTCTCTATAGTAATTATTATATTGAGTTCGTATAGCTGCACCTTACAAAGAAATATTTGTGTCGACCAAATAGGGAGGATCCGCAAGATTTTGTTATTAAAATAGTTTAAAAATAATATGGTATATTAAGTTTGAGTTTGAACGTAGCATATTTTTAAATCGACAAAGCCGAAATGTGTTTGTTTTGCAGATATTACCGAGAATCAAGATACTAGAACACCCCTACAAGAGGATAAATTAGTTGCAGAATATGGATTTACGCCTGCTTCTAAAAGTGGTTTCAATAAGATGCTTACACTAAAATGTTACGAATGGCTCAGTGAGAAAGGGGGCCAGTTTTATTTAGAAGTTTTTGATAAAGAAAACCAGAACTACTTGGGAATCGTTCAGAATATTCGTTGTGATTCACTACGCAGACTTCGCTACAATTTTAATATTGAAAAGGACAAGATAAACGAAGTTGAATTGATTATTTTTAAGGTTAAAAGTGGAAAACCAAGTTGTGATGACTACTCTTTAATAGTTTGTGAATATTGTCAGGTAAAGAACTGGAAATATTACCAACAGACGAGTGTCTACAATGTATTGGATGATTCTCAATGGGAAATGGTACGAAATATCACCCGTATCAAATAGTGGTAAAGAATAAAATATAAACAGGGTGTCACACAAAAAGGTTTATTGACCATTTATGCACTAGAAATTCCAAAACAATACATAGTTTAAAAAACAAATTTAGGAAATATTTTGTTTAGCTTTCAGATTTCTAACATACTTCGAAGCAAAATAGTGGCATTTTGAAAGTTGATTATACAAATCAAACAAATTTAGGAAATATTTTGTTTAGCTTTCAGATTTCTAACATACTTCGAAGCAAAATAGTGGCATTTTGAAAGTTGATTATACAAATGACTATCTTTATTTATCGTTCGATTCATTTACCGATTTGCAGTTTTCTAACTTATAGTTGAACGGCCGTTTGATTGGAAATTGAATAACATTACTTGATCACCCACTCAATTGCTGTTTCAAGTGCAGTTTATACTGCAAATGAAATTATAATACAGATTCTTCTACCAGAACGTCAAATATTGTCTTCAAATATTTGCCGTCACCTAGAATCATTTGTTGCCAAACTTGAGCAGTGGCCACTGCGGTGACGATACCCTATGCCCTCTTCGTCCCAGTCTTTAAGACTGGTTATAAGATACGGGTTATTTGTTTGTCAAACAATACAAACAATTTGTCAAACAATTTGTGTTTTTTGTGTCAAATACTGGCTGGGAAAACTGTTTTATTTTAATTGGCAAGACGAAATAGATGTGATTCTTTCACGAATCGCCTTACAAATATGATGCCAATTAAGACGCCAGAGGGTGTAACTTCAATGCAACTGAAGTCGGAATGACTTATATTGAACAAACATGATAAGTGCGGGGATATCGCTTTTGGTATTGTTACCGAAGCAGTCTAACGATTTCAGGTTCCCTACTCGCAAGTTAAACTACTTTGTTAAACCCTATATAATAACTTAGTGGGGACATATTGTTTTAAGAAACTGGTGGTGTTAAAAAAATATCCAACTGATTTTTTGTAACGGTTCCAAACATTTCACCTTTTGTGTAAAAATTCATGCCTCGAAATTTAGCCGTCATAAAATTGCACTTGGAAAGGTTAGGTTATGTTTTTACGACTTAATTAATTAGTGAGCTTTATTCAAATAACTATTCAAGATAAGATTCGAACATAATACAAAAAGATGCTGTAAAAAATCAGGTAGGCCTAATAGCTTGAGAAAGTAGTAATTGGGATTGAAAAGATTTTCACAACACCATTTAGTTTCTAACAATCTTAGGAAGCTGATAATTTCACAAAATATTTTGAAACCCATATCTATATAATTAATACGCTACATGAAACTTTGTCGGTTGAACTCCTCCGCCATTTCTTAACCGATTTTATCCATTGACGTCTCATTGGAAAGAGCGTGTCGCGTAGATTTGCAAACTGGCCTTACATTTTTGAAAAAGTCCCTTGGGCTCTGCCCCAGTGGCTTTGAAAGTTCCCATGTTATCCTTATGAAGAACATAATTGTTTACATTTTGATCAGCTGTATAATTTAACTGCTGTTATTTATTTTTCAATTCAATGAAACACATTGAGTACGTTTATTTACTATTTGAGTTTGTGTAAACATAACCCCCAAGACGGATCGTGTTAGTATGGTTGTATCTTAAATTTGTGTATTTATAGTTTTTTTGTGTCGCTATGACGGATCGTGTTAGCATGATTGTAACTTAAATTTGTGCATTTATCGTTTTTTTGTGTATAGCTATAATTTGTTTATTTTTTTTCTTCTTTTAAATGCCTCCGACGCGACGACAACGAAACATAGACAGGAGGTGTAATCGTGATAACGACCGCAGCTACAGAACAGTGGCGTGTTAACTCATCACAGTCAGCACCTGACCCTGGACAATCTCAACTATTGGTTACAAATGCACCCTAACACTACCCCAAAACGACTTTTCGTTCTCAATTGGCCCTCTGTCAATGACCTGTGTTGCCTGTACAGCGAGGTATTTTGAGAAGGAGAAAACCGGCCGGAATGATTTAGGTTATCAATAACGAAGATAAACACGGTCTGAGCTACACACCGGTAATCTTGAGTTGACTCTTTTAAATTAATTGTAAATAGGCCTATGACTGTTATTCGTTTTAAAATAAATCCTGTAACACTTTGCAATTGCTCGAATTCGAGCAACATGTACACTAGTTCATAATTATAGCATTAAGTTTCAAAATGTTGGTGCATGTATGGGCAAGTAATTTAAAATCAAAGTTTTAACCTCTCTGTAGTGCACTCTGTATGTATGCTAGAGATTTATTTTTGTACTTCTAATATCGTTGACCATCTATACAAATCCGGGTTTATAATCAAACAGATTTGAAGTTGAATTTTAAAATACATATATTGAATTCATTCATGTATAATATTTATTTACATATTTAAATATATATCCTTTCCAAAACAACCGTCTCACTTGTGAAAATGAAAAAAAAAAATCCAAAATGACAAACCATATATTAATAACTACTAAATAAGTACACCTACACCGTAGCATTTTTCTTTATGCACCAAACCTTAAGTTCAACCCTGTAATTCACATTCAAACAGTAAATTAAGTTACTTACGATGTATCAAACTTAGTCATGTGTCAAAGTTCGTAAAACGTTGCTCATTATTCATCATACATTTTTGGGACATAATTTCAGAACAGTCAAACCATAGTTCATATTATCTTATAATTTGTTAGAACGGTTGTTTAGTCAGTAGATGTTTTCTGGTTTTATGTGCGAAAAAATGTATCAATTCATAATAATGGGTAAAAAGTTGGCGTTTTGTATCTGGGCCAAGTTGGCCATGATCATCGATAGTTGATCGTGGAGTATGACCCTGCTTTAAGAGTCAGCCAGTCCTTACAACTAACATAACTATACGCTATTTATACATCACGCTTTTTCATAATCCTTGCGAACCGGCGTCGTAGGTTAACAGTGGTTACCGAATTTATTATAACTTGTTAAAAATCTTATTTATTTTTCAGCTACCCACTCCATCTTGTAAAAGATTCCAAGGTGAGTATGAATTATAAGTGTTATACTAAACTTTTTCGCTCACTAGGTTGAAACTGATATCACTCAGCCATAAATAGGCCTAATTATAACAGTACACCTGACAGTTTTGATGTGATTTTGCCTCTCGTCTCCACTTCCGTATCAGATTTTTATACTCAAGTAATGACTGTAGGGGCCATTTGTACCTGCTTCTATGCAGTAAGAACACGTTTTATAGAAGTGCTCACTTTTAAAGATTGATAACTACTCCAATACATGTTTAGGCCTATATACAACCTGTCACTCTCTTGATGGCTTCTTTATACACGAGCTTTATTTTTTAGAAATAATGTTAAGGCTATGCTTAAAATCTAAGTAGGCCTAAATGTTTTCATCATATAAAAATAGTTTTAATATTCACACACGCACGCACATCCAAATCATGATAATAAATAATTGTGTTGTTTATAGAAGAAAACATACATTTGGATAACAAAGTCGATGATGGATTCAAAAAACATAACTCGCTAATAAATGACAGTAAAGATGATACAAGCACGTACTTGATGACTTGCTTCAAGACGGCTGATGGTAGATTTACTACACGTTTTGAAACGGTGAATGGAAGGCACGTTGTTTCCATTCTCTCCATTGACTGCTCGTCATCCAAAACGTTCAATCAGCTCGATCTGTCTGAAAAAACAAGAAGATTGTATACGTCTATACAGAAACACGGGCAGAAAACATATCTCTCTTTTATTACTCAAGACGAAACATTCACTCATACAGGAAATTGGTGTCGTTATGACGTATGTGTTGGGTGTCAAGAAAAAGAGATGATTAGTGGCATCGTAGATGACCACTACGAACACGTGATGGAATGGTCTGAGGTAGGTTTGAGATTTATAAGTGATTTATCAACAAACTATCCAATATTTTTTCTTACACTGTGTTTCTTTAACGAGCGACTAGTTTTACTTTTGGTTTTGACATCATAAGGAAAGTGAAATCCAAAACTGATATTGATAAACGCTTATACAGGCCTACTCCTTGCCTAATATTTAGAAGGTTGTACCTTCAGAAAAAATTCAGTAGTGTTTACCAAACCCGAACTGTATCGATTTTTTTATTTTTATTGGCTGAATTCAAAGCAAAGTATACCTTTGAAAACATCTGATTAATAAACATTCTTAAAAGCCAGGCCTGTTGTAAGGTCAAGCTAAACAAGAAGACCTCATTACAAATTGACCCTGGCTGAATTCAACACTTTTCAAACTGATAAAAAAAATTATTTAAAAAAGGTTTTAATTACTAGAAAGAAGCAAAAAAATGTATCGGCTTCGTGGTTGTAAGATTGTAAGTTCTGTTTAAATACATGACATAAGTTAATAGTGAAAGGTTAGTTAAATATAGGGTTCGATATGTGATTCATATAATTGGCCAAATCAGCTAGAAACATATCTATATATATATATACGGATTACGTGCAATAAAACGCTCTTTTGTGTTGTTTGGTAGTATACTGGTGTGTGCCAAAGTAAAAACCGTGCACCAAAGTAAGGTTTTCTGTACTATAATATGTGCAAGGAAGCCCACTTTGTCGGGTGCCTGTAGGAAAAATATATTTTGAACACTCTAGTTTTTTAAACTATGTTTCTCGCTACATAATACTCGCTCAATAATGTCTTACATATAAAAATGAATCCTCAAAATCTCATCTGTCTAATGGTATAAGATTCATTAAAAGCGGTTTTTATATTTTAATAATAGAAAACCCCGATCCACGTCTTGGTCGATAATCAACCAGCGCCAGATCTAGAGTGTGGTTTAAAATATTTTATAAAATAACCATAACATACTTGAAAACTTAACTTACTAGATATAAAACACAACAGCTAGAAAATTGGCTGGGCTGCTTTCCCTCTAAGTCTTTATTACTGTATTATTTTGATATAGAGTCAATATATAACACGGGCGAATTTTTCTTCGAAATTCATATGTTATTTGATTTGTTATCATTGACTATTACATACTGAATTAGACATCCCATCTATGTGGGCCAACTTTTTGTTAAAAAAGAACGTAGTTGTGTGAGCCAGACACAGAATGCCGAATGCCTAGTGATAAAAAATCTATTTTCTACCGAATTGTTTGTTGCTGGCCGAGTTGATGGGTCTTAACAGTTGCTATAGCTCAAAATAAGTAATTCCATTAGTTTGAATTGGTAAAAAAGATTGTGTTTTCGACATAAATCAGTCATTTAGACCAACACAATCTGTCGGTGGCTCACATCAACTAGTGTACAATGATTTTGGTTAAAAAACTGGTTACAGATTTAACATGGGGATGGAATGTCTAGTATTAATAGTCAAAGTTACTATCCAATAATAGTTCCATAACCTGTTACAGAATGGAATAGACGTACTACAGAATGGAATGGACGTGCATGTGGACTTCAAAACTGGCAAGTTTTACATTCACGTAGTCTACATAACTATAGTATAAGATACTAAAATTAAGAAACTCAACCTAAAATACTATCTTAAGTACTCTACATTTCCCCCTGAACGCCGTAAAAATATTTTGCAATAAATTTTTGCTTTGTTCAACCAAGCTACACACATTGGTTAGCACAAAAATTAAAGAGATTTTGCACGTTGAAAGATTTAGGTAGAAATACAAAATTGTGTATTTAATTACCATTGGTGGATTTATGAACTCAAACTAAACATAATATAGTTAATCCATGTTTTCCTCCTGGATTGATAATGAGTAATCTATTCTATATATAATTCAGTTTTAAAAATCTTTGTACAACTAAATCTAGAGTTCTACTGGACCGATTTTATTAATTAATGGGTCGTTGGAAAGCTTAAGTCGTGAAGATTTGCAAATAATTATGAAAGTTTGTTTTTGTTATGATTTATGGTGATAAATCTATTCTATATATAATTCAGTTTTAAAAATCTTTGTACAACTAAATCTAGAGTTCTACTGGACCGATTTTATTAATTAATGGGTCGTTGGAAAGCTTAAGTCGTGAAGATTTGCAAATAATTATGAAAGTTTGTTTTTGTTATGATTTATGGTGATAAATTAAAGAAAACGTGTTTTCCATAAGAAATACATTGAAAACGGTGTTTTTCACACTTTTTATTTGGGTGCGACTTTTAGCTGCCATTTTTGAATATTTCCAAAAAGTGCATGATATCAATTTGTAGGAAATTTTATTCTTTTTCAGAATATCACCTTCCACTTTGGTCGATTTCCTCACCATTTAAAAGTTATTTGCAAAAAAGCTAAGCAGCCTCCGAATTTATAGTAATGAGAAAATATTGAGTTTGGGATATTTTTTTTAAACTTTGTACAACTAAATCTAGACTTCTACTGGACCGATTTTGTTAATTAATGGGCCATTAGAAAGCCCAACCCATGTAGATTTGCAAATAATTATAAAATTGTGATTTAATTACATATTAGTGGTGAAGAATTAAAAATAACAAAAATACATTAAAAACTGGGTTTTTCAAGTTTCTGTTTACAAGATTCTATTTGTAGCCAGATTTTGGCTGCCTTTATTAAGTACTTTCAAGAATAGCACAGTAGTTATTTGTAGTAAATTTCATTCTCTTTCAGAATATTACATTCACTTTGGTCGATTTCCCCTCCATTTAAAAGATATTGGCAATAATCTAAGTGATCTCCAACTTTATAGTGGTTAGAAAATACTGAATTAGATATATTTTTGTTAAACTTTGTACATAAATCTAGACTTCTACCGGACCGATTTTGTTATTTAATGGGTCGTTGGAAAGCCTAATTTGTGTAGATTTGCAAATAATTATAAAAGTTTGATTTTATTAGATATTTAAGGTAAAAAAATAAAAAAATAAAAAATAATGCATTTAAACCCCCTTTTATTCCAGGTTTATATTTTCACTTTTATATTTGTAGCCAACTTTAGGCTGCCTTTATTGAGTATCAAGAAATTCATAGAAGTAATTTGTAGGAAATTTTATTCTCTTTCAGAATATCACCTTCCACTTTGGTCGATTTCCTCGCCGTTTCAAAGTTATTTGCAAAAACGTTAAGCAACCTCCAGGTTTATAGTAGTGAGAAAATACTGAATTAAAGATGTTGTTGTTAAACTTTGTACTATTAAATCTACAGTTCTACTGAACCGATTTTATTAATTAATATGTCATTGGATAGCCTCATTTGTGAAGATTTGCAAATAATTATGAAAGTACTGTTGAGGTTGCAAGCAAGATCTTTGGCTATAAATCGATGATAAATAAATCCATTTTTTGAACTATTTGTGTTGGTCGTGATTTAGCTGCGTGCTTAAAATGGAAGCTGGTATTTCAATGAAGGTTCTTAGGTCAAAACAAACAGAATAACGTAATTAGAAATAAGTAAATGTATAATTATAAAACTAAATTCCATATCCAAGATATAATCAAATTTATATTTTCTGATTGAGCGATACAGTATCTTGAACTTAACTGATTAAAACTATCAATATCTCAAGTGAAAGCCTTTGAAGTATTTGAAGACGAGTAAAAAACATATAAAATAACATAAATAAAAATAGAGTTACGTATCATTGATTGCAGATAGGTACTAAAATGATTGTATTTATTGTTGATTCGTGATTCAGCAGTGTGCTTTAGGTAGTCCGATCTTAATAATCAATAGCTCAAATGAAAGCTGGTATTTCACTTAAGGTTTTTAGACCAAAATGTATAATGTAATTAGAACTGCTGGAATACATCTTTAATTAAAGAGAAAAAATTCTTTCGTCGAGTAAACATTAAATAAATTAATGATGATGCTTGATGACAAATATGTGCTTGCATAGCTTTATTTTAAGACCAAAATTATGAAAATCGGGCAGGTAGAAGAGCTAACCCGACTCGGAAAAGAAAAACCAATTATTTTTATAGATGGCAATAATTGGTTTACCAGTATGCATAATCTAATCATACGAAAACCAATTATTTTTATAGATGGCAATAATTGGTTTACCAGTATGCATAATCTAATCATACGAAACATGTGTTAATAATTCAACAGCTTATTGTTATATTGTTATTTAATTAATTTTTCGTTGATTAAATGTTGTTGTTAATAATTTGCATTTATGTTTAAAGTGTGTTCCTTATGTTAAATGTGTGATTCTAATGTTATGTACTTAAACTGTACCATTAATATTAGTGAGTAAAGTGGTGTATGGATTTCATAACCATTATTTTACTAGAGACCGTTGTATTTAACCACAACGGGCACTGTTGCTAGTACTAATAATAATAGGTTAAATACCTTGTTTACGTCCTCAATCCAAGTCGTCTTTTTATAATGACTATAGTTTCGGGGCAAACAGTCCCATTGTCAAATTTTCTGTCTTGTTAAATTACTGTTAATAGCATCGGTCATCGTTGAAGTTCGCATATATACATACACTGACACACGAAACATTTACATTTACACGTAACGTTGAGAATTTATACTTTTGGCCGGCCTAAACAAAAGGTATTATATCGTTGTGCGGACCGGTACACTGACTGACTGATTCATGTTAGCCGATACCTAGGTCTCCAAGTATTAAACATATGATCGGATTTTTTTATAATTTTTGTTATTTCTTCACCAGCATAGCAACCCATAAGCCCCCCATGTTATTATTTTATTTTAATTTAATTTTCGATCCTAATTTAATTTATAAAGGGATTATCCACACCTACGGAAAGATATATTTCTAAGAGTATGCGTGGATTTTCCCTGAGAAAAAGTGTTATCAAGAACATGCTTTCCTATTAATATATAGGATAACTTTTAATGAGAACATTGGTTTGCTGCTACAGTGTACGTAATAAAGTACTTTTTTATTGAAATTGTAATTGTTATGAATAAAACTGACAAAAATGATGAATATTCAGTGAAAGTAGGGAATAACAATATTTTATTTGAACCATTCAAACATCTTCTTTATAAGACAACACAAACTATACTAACTCTTGTTTACATGCTCTCATTAAAATTAATTAACATGTGTTTAATTGTTTAATTATTATCAAGCATTTCTAATGCACATTAGTATTAACATTTGCTAACAGCTGGCAATTTAAAACCAGTATAAGCTAAACCATAGATTAAACGAAGTAACCAACTCAGCATATATAACAGTAATAGCCTAATTTTGAAATAGGCAAATTGGTCAATTTCGTTGAGGATATATCCACGGCCTAAACAATCAAAATAACAGATAATTTATTTTTCATAAGAATAACATGAGAATTTCAAATATTCAGTTGTTAGGATCAGTTTGTTACAACTAATAGTACAACAACGCTTAATATACTAAATTATTTGTTGTGTAAGCTCAACAAGATACTTTTGAAACAAACTGCAACTATTTATATTTTGAGGTGCAAAAATGTTCAAACAAATTTTTACCCTGTAAAACCTCCCATTCAGACCAATATCAATGGCTATACAGTTGAACGGATAGTGTTTTTGACCACTGGGGACAGCAAAACGAAACATGAATTCCCAGGTCTAGGTCTTGCCATGAGGCCTAAAGGTAATATCTAATTACCTTAATGGAAAAGTCACTAAAAACATTTATTTATGTCAATTATATGAGTATATTTTATGATTCCACGAACTGCCATAATTGTGTTAATATTTTACAGAAACCCAACCTTTGTCTGAGAGAAACATGTTTTCAAAGCATGTTAACAATGAGAATAAAGGTTACGGTATGGAATGTTATCATGACGAATCCGTACTTGGAAAATTTACATTGACAATCGTAAATGGACCAAATAGAAACTTGTTTAGAGTTAAGAGATATGACTGCGATTTACTCGTGAAAAAGGTGTACGTGCATATTAAATACAATGACGGTTCGTACAACCTGATCAGACTGAATGAAAAACAGAAAATAAGAGAAGAAACGAAAGTCGAACAGGATAAGACTGTATTTGTATTTGAGAAGGAGTTGATGAGTTATCAGATGGATTGGAAGCTGGTAAGACTCCTCTCTTGGGTAACTACCAATGTTTTTTTTTTTATGTAGTGACTAATATTTTTATGTTTAAGGTGTGGCCAATACTGCAGCACTTTATTGGCCATGCACATAAAATAATGGAGCCCCATCATCTGAAATCAAATAAATGCTGAACATGCTAGATAATTTAGCACTATTCAGTTCAGTTCAGCTCAGCTCAAAAATATTTATTCATATAAAAATGATTCATACAATTCCATATTTAACCATGTGTTGGAAAACATAAAACTATATCTTATATTCAACATAAATACTGTATTGAGGAGGTCCATTTTATTTTAATAACTCACTGTAACTGATACCTAATATCTATTTATCAATTCCTTTAATATACTTTTTTACGATTAAATTTCCAATTCCTGCATATTTTTGAGTACTTCAATCAAAGTTTAAAACATTTAATATTTTATGGTAACTCTGTAATCTGCTTGTGTCTTTCATAAAAGCTGGTATCACAAGCATACCCTCAGTATAGTTTCTCGTATTAATATTAATAACAACTGTTTGAAATAAACTTGTAAAATTGTTATAATAACATAATATTGAATATAAATATATCTTATCTAACTGCTGAAACAGTGGAGTAGCTGAGTCAAATGTCTTCACGCCCCAAATAGTTCACTTCTTTTGTGAGCAAGTAATGGCCCGCCTTGTCCAGGGCGCAATGCACATAAAATAGAGCAAAATACAAAATTATTTATTAATATAATCAACAAAATATTTTACCTTTAAAAATAATAATACAACTTTTTATATCGGGAAAACAAAACAACTGATGGTCGAAAAGGCGCTTGTTAGTAGATTTTAAAAAAACCGGAATACACTTTTCTGTGCCATCATTATGTTGCAAAGCACGTGTAAAGTAACTAGGCCATACATAAAGCTTATAAACACATATTTTTGAGTAAACTCTGAGTTGCACAACTATCACTCGCATACGTGAATGGAATGCGCTGGAATAGGAACTTTCCGGGGGGAAAATATTTTGTTATAAAATTCTCAAATCAACCTTAATTCTATATAAAGGGGTAGAACTATTTGATCACATTAAAATAATGAACAATTGTCAGCTGTTCCATTAGTTTTTAATTATAATTTTTTTCCACACTATGATGGTTTTAGCTGTTTTACATACGTTAATTGGTGGCTGAAAGTTACGTTTTGCTGGCCATGCCAGCTGTAGTCGTTAATGGGGACCGAGGTTTTTACATCCCTAGGGCCGCAAAATCAGCTGCCCGCTTACTTACGAAAGCATAAGAACTATAAATACGATAAGAAACATGAAAGCATATTAAATACACAATCAGTATCCATAGCATTTCAATAGAATTGTTTTACTGTTACCGTTACCTAGCAACTATTTATTATTATTTTTGCTGATTCCTCAAACTATTTCTTCACATAACCTTAAAGTTGTAGTTAGTTGACTATCAGTGTGCATTATTATTGTGGTGAATAGTGGTAATAGGGTATAGTGTGGTGAAAAATAGCGTTCGTACCACGGACCGAAATGGTTTTTTCAGCTCTCGATCGTTTTAAGTAGTTTGTCGACTTCGTCTCGAACTTAAAAACTAACTCGAGCCGGAAAAACCTAATTTTCGACCCTAGGTACGAAATATACTATTACCTCTAAACTAAACTTGACATAATTTTTTTAATATTGCATCCTGAAAAGTTACAGAACGTTATAATATTTACTTTTCGTGTTCTAACCTTCCAGTTACTTACATAAACACTGTAGTTGATGCTGCGAGAAAATGTTTGATGTAATCATGTGAATCAAGAATCGCACTTTGAAAACGAGTCTTGTTTGTGGCAATTAATTGGTGAAATATAATTTATCTGCAGAGTAATTCGCCATGGACACACAGAAGTTCGCATTAAACGAGGTAGTGATGAGCCACATTTCTCTGCACACACGTTATCAGTGTTGAACTGCAGGGTGTTGAACAATGATTCAATATTTGCCAAATGTTTGTTGTTGCAGGTTTCCGAACTTAAGTTACCAATGTTGGATCGCATGAACTTTCCTCCAGTCGAGGATCCTAAGGAATGTTGGCCTGAAGCTAAACAGCCAACCGATCTTATCAACTGGTAATGATAGTGGTCAAAACCAATCTGACTGTAATACACACATATAATGCAAATAAAAACAATGTGTTTATTAACTTAATCTGATGTTATACAAGTTACTTTCCTAACAATGTATCACCGTTTCAACACCACGATACATTCAATATTCGGCATAGTATTCTTTCAAACACAATAACAAAGAACGCATGCGCAGAATCACCTTTTTGAACTAGATTCAATTGTGCTTATTATGCCAAAGTGTATTAAGTAGCAATTTCAAGCATTATTTTAAATTGTAATTGGTGTAAAGAAATTGTTCTTTGTTATCACCAAACGATATTGAACCAAACGTATTCCGATTGGCTTGTCAACGGGCCCTTATCACGGGTAGCAGTGGTATTGAGGTGGTGGGGAGTAAAACTATGAGATTTCATGGGGAAATCACAACATTTAAAGCAATTTTTTTAAGTTTAATTTTTACAGAATTTAACCATTTTGTTTATAACTTTTAGTTTGAGCAGTTTTTAGGGATTTCTGTTATTTACCGTATTTTTGTTATTTTATGGGTATTAGAAAAAAGTTTACATAAAAGTGTAAATCTATAAAAGAGGAAATATGTATATTTGAATATATAAATCTTAATATATAAAAGAAAGTTGTGTTAGTTACAGCGTTTATAACTAGAAAACTACTAGAACCAATTGGCATGAAAATTGACAGGGATATTCCTTAGGTACTAGAATAACATAATAGCCTGTTTCCGTTTCAAAAACCCTTAAGGGAAGGGTCCTATGGCCCTTTGCAGTTTACATGTTAATCTTATGGAAGAATGTTTTATTTTGTTTTCCATGCCATGTTTGTAATTTCTTGATTAAATTAAATTAAGGAAACAGCTGTCGTAATGATAACCTAATTTTTTAAAACAAATCTGTGCATAACAAATGAGAGCTATCAAATAGGTTTCTATTCCATTTGTTTTTTACGAATATTTGTTGCCAAATGTAACTGAAGGCAAGTGAGCGCAGCGAACGAGCTCCAATGTAAAGCTGAGTGGGCGTAGCGAACGAACTTCAACCAGGACGTGATTGAGCCATGCGAACGAGCTCCAACCTAAAGGTGAGTGAGCGTAGCGAACGAACTTCAACCAGGACGTGATTGAGCCATGCGAACGAGCTCATCTTGAAAATGGACGAGCATTTGACATAAAACCACATTAGGACAGGTCGACGTCTGTCGGGCCAACTAGTATATTATATAAACGGAGGGTGTTTTTGGCTTCTGGGGATCTCAAATCGAAAAAGTGAATAGGTCCCGGGTCCACCTTAGCATGAGACCTACAGTAATGGCTTATTCTCTAAATGGGAAATTAGCTAAAACGTTTATGGATATAATACGAAATACAACTATTTCATCAATTTAACATATCAGTTTCAATCATAACTATCAACACCCATAACAAGTTTCTGAATTTACATAAGTGGACATTAATGTGGACATTACATACGTATCCTTTGTATCGGTATTTTCCCTGTGTTTGCTTGCTGACGTCATGTGGTGAACCGACAGTTGTGGTTGAACCCGACCTCGAACCTAATAAACCGATCGACATTTTCTCAATCTTGGCCAGATTTTTGCAATTCAGGCAGAAATAATCCTGCATGGATCCATACGATTAGCATATGTAACTTTGAGTTGCCTGCTTTGAGAGAATTGCACAAAATGTCACCATAGCTTAAGAGGTTTGTTTTCTTAAATTTTGTATATTTAACATAACTAGCTGTTGCCCACGTTTGACGGGCTTCACCCAGTTTTACTTCATAAGTATTAATAACACAATTGATTGATTAAGTTAACCTGAAATTAACAAAATATAGTAAAAACAAACAAATAATTACACCTGATTTTAATAAGGTAATAAATTGACATAATAACAAACAAATTTAGTACAGCTGAGGTATTTTTAACATTAGGTATATGGAAAGTTCCCTTTGAAAAGAAAATACGACCTTAAAGGGCAATTTATGAAATAATGGATAGTTTTGCGCAAGGTTTCTCGTCATGACGAACATTTTAAGTATATGGTTTATGGGGGTGTGGCTTGTAGTTTTCTCAAAAGTTCATGAGTACTTTTGGCTTTATATATAGATTATGAAAAGCATTCGTTTAAAGCAAGTTTTCTACATTCAACTATCTCAAAACATTGCCAGAGATGTAGTTGTTCGTGCATTTCGGGCGTTTATTGCTCGTCTTAATTTTCTACAAATATCAGGCAGTTTTTGAGAATTCATTCTAAAAGTTTCCTTAATAAGACACTCTTATGCAAATTAGGTATTTTCTTTAAAAACAAATGCGCAAAAATACTTTATTCTTATTGGGCAATAATATAGCCTGAGTCGTTGCCAACTCAACAATAAATACAACAGTGTGTTACCAACACCAATGATATCATGAACAATATTTCAAAGTAAATAATAAGAAAGCATGATCATAAGCCTATTTATATTAATTTGAGAATACCTAGTTATTTGAAACTGCAGAATCATAATAACCTTATTAGTCCAAGAAAACTAAAAATACCCCCGCCGCAGCAAACCTGCAGACTAAGCGAATTTCCATTTCCCTGAATGGATTTACACTAAAATGTCTCCTTAAAAATATCACATTTATTCCCTATTTAAATAGATACAGTTTAAAACATACTTAGGTTTGCTGCAACAGGGAGGGTATTTTTATGTAAAATGTTAATAGTTAGTAAGAAATAAAAACATTATCCAAATTTGGGCAAAATATGTTTATAAACAAGCATACTACAACTTTTTACTTATTCTCCATAAGAATAACATGGGAATTTTAAATTTACAATTTTTTCGAATTTTCTCCGTGACCATTAGGCGTATTATAACGCTTCAATGTACTAAATAATTTGTTTTTTTAAGCTCTACAAAATAGCTTAGAAAGAAATTGCAAAATTTTATGTTTTTTGGGTCAAAAATGGGAAAAACCATAAAAGCCCCCATAAACCCCCGTTCCCATGGTCTGATCATGCTGGTTCGCGAACTCGTTCGAATAAACGTAGGTTTAAACGTTTGTACCAAATTTCATCAAAATCGGATCATTTTTGCTCGAGTTATCGCACTAACGGACACACACACACACACATATATATATATATATATATATTCTTACTCTTACTCCCAGGGCCATTTATATTGGAGGTGATATTTGGCCGCACCAACAAATCTTCGCCAAGTCAACCGGTCTTTCGCATCATCCTCCGTTGCCCCAATTCTCTCCAAATCTTCTTGCACTTGCTTCCACCACCTCTGCTTAGGTCTTCCCCGGGGTCGTCTTCCTGTAGTGTTTCCCTTTAAAACTCTTCCCAGTCTACAATCTTCATCTCTTCTTAATATATGACCAGCCCATCTGATTCTTCGGCACTTGATTTCTCCAATTACATCTACAGTTGCCTTAATTCCCTATTGTGTCTTATTCTCCATTCTCCTAGCTCGAATATTGGTCCAAAAATCTTCCTTAAAATTTTATTTTCGAATACTATTAGTTTCTTTTCATCTCTTTTATTTAATTTCCAGGTTTCTGATCCATATAGGAGAACTGGGCAAATTATTGTTTTGTACAGCCTGATTTTTGTTTTCCGGGACAAAGATTTTGATGAAAGTAATTTATTGCAAGCATGAAAACATTTATTTGCTGAATTTATTCGGCTTTGGATTTCTAGTTCATCAGTATTTTGGTTGGATATAATTACTCCTAGGTATTTAAAACTGTTGACTTTTTCAAATGTATGGCCATCAATTTCTATTGGTTCTTCAGTATTATCCAGGTATCTTGAAAAGTGCATGTACTTAGTTTTTGAATCGTTTGTTTTTAGGCCTACTTTTTCTGTTTCTTTCATAAATACTTCGGTTAAGGCCTTCAGATCTTCTAGTTTTTCTGTGATTATAACCACATCATCTGCAAAGGCTAAGATGTTTATTTTGGTTCCTATTTTCACTCCTATGTTCTTCTCTGCTACCTTCTGTAGACTCTGCTACCTTCTGTAGAGCTTCTTCAATGGCAAAATTAAATAGGATCGGTGATAGCCCATCTCCTTGTCTGACACCAGAGTTTACTTCAAAGGTGTTACAGTTGTGGCCATCAATTCTAACTGAACATTTAGATACTATATATATATATATATATAATTATATTTGATACTGTTCACGTGTAGGGCTACTGTAATTAATATTAATAAATAATACACCATAGTACCCTTTCTTTAATTGTTTTTAATGACTGATACATTTCGACACTAAGGTCATGGTCACAGTCTTTCACAATCTTGTGATTGTCAGTCACACAAAAATGTGAAAGACTGTGACCATGACCTTAGTGTCGAAATGCATCAGTCATTAAAAATAATTAAAAAAGGGTACTATTGTGTATTATTTATTAATATTAATATATATATATAGTATAAATATATATATATATATATATATATATGAATTTGAACGGATGGTGTTTAAGGCCTCTAGGGACCTCAAAACAAAACAAAAATCGGTCCCGGGTCCAGGTCTTACCGTGAGTACTACGGTAATACCTTATTCCCTATATGGGAAATTCGCTAAAAAACGTACATACATAGGGATCGTTAAAAAATTTCAGGAAAACGTTTTATGGTTTTATTTTGTAATGTTGAGTTTGCAGAGTGACACACTAAAAGTTACTAAAAAATCGGTGCACGAGAAAACCACTAAAATCAAAATATAAAATGGCGGCTTTCACCAACATTGGACAAATAAAAAAAAAAATATATTTCACATGCATTTGTTATGCACATCTTTCGAGCTATTGACTTGGGACCACCACCTGTATTAATTAGGTGGTTAGTACTTCGTTTTGATAGGGAACACGTTTTTGGCCGCCATCTTGGATCCGCATTATTGGACATAGATAATTTGTTTTCAATGTAATGATAGTGTTGTGACACATCATTTAGAAGATATACTCAAACGAAAACTCTCCCCCATACATTTCTTAGGGACGTTTCGTGGTTTGATATTTTTTTTTTAAATTACTTTTCTTATATCTCCAGTTTTT